ATTTCCCAATTTTCCAAATTATGGTTAATTTGTGAAAGTATCATTGATTCGATGTGATGCCGATGTATTATGGGGTCGTTTTGCACACATTTGTATGTGTTTTAACCAAAATTAGGCAAAAGTGGCGTCCCCTCATCAAACTGTACAGAAGTGTTTGCATAAACGGCAATGAATTGGACCGTGCCCGTGTAATAGGTTGAAAGAGTACATATGTGGGCTTCAGTCTCACTGAGTGTTTCCAATAAAACAATTAAACATAAAACAAAATTCAGTCATATACTTACCGAAAACAACAAACGGCCATATTTTAACCACCGCTTCTGCGACGAATACTCCACCGTCGCTGCGGTAGACCCACCGCTTCTGCGAAAGCTATGGCCAGTGTGATAAACCACTGAGCCAATTTCATCCAAACTTCACAGGAATGTTCCTTTGGTGGTCACCTTTAAAAATTGTTCAAAGAATTTAATTCCATGCAGAACTCTGGTTGCCATGGCAACCGAAAGAAAAATCTTTAAATATCTTCTTTTAAACAACCCTAAGAGCTAGAGCTTAGATATTTGGCATGAAACATCTTCTAGTGAGTGTCTACCAAGTTTGTTCAAATAAAAGCCCTGGGGTCAAAATTGGCCCCGCCCCAGGGGGTCATTGATTTTCCCTATATGCATATAGTAAAAACTTAAAAAATCTTCTTTTAAAGAACCCAAAGAGCTAGAGCTAAGATATTTAGCATGAAACATCTTCTAATGAGTGTCTACCAAGTTTGTTCAAATAAAAGCCCTGGGGTCAAAATTGGCCCGCCCCAAAAACTTAAAAAATCTTCTTTTAAAGAACTCAAAGAGCTAGAGCTAAGATATTTAGCATGAAACATGTTCTAATAGGTGTCTACCAAGTATGTTCAAATAAAAGCCCTGGGGTCAAAACTGGCCCTGCCCGGGGGGGGGGGGTCATTGATTTTCCTTATATGTGTATAGCAAAAACTTAAAAATCTTCTTTGAAAAAACCCAAATAGCTAGATTTTAGATATTAAGCATGAAACATCTTTAAGTAAATATCTACAAAGTTTGTTCAAATAAAAGCCGGGGATCAAAACTGGCCCTGCCCCAAGGGTGTCATTGTTTTTAACTATATGTGTATAGTAAAAACTTTAAAAATCTTCTTTTAAAAAACCCAATGAGCTAGAACTTAGATGTTTAGCATGAAACTTCTTCTTATGGGTGTCTACCAAGTCTGTTCAAATAAACAAATAAAAGCCCTTGAGTAAAAATTGGCCTGGGGGTGGGGGGGGGCCTATATACAGGTGAGCGACCTCAGGGCCATCATGGCCCTCTTGTTACTATTATTATTATAGTTATGGCTAAAGCCGTCCATATGGCAAATACGCCGAAAAATAACAGGGACGGCATAAGCCGTCCCTATGGCAGTGAAAGAGTTAACACAGTTATTAGGGCGCTGTTTAAACTGTTAGCTTTTTACTTCACAACAACAGGTGTCAAGTGCTGTGTGGCAGCTCGTACTTCACTTCAGTGTTGTTATATTTTTCTGGTCCTTCAGGATCATTGATGCCAGCACTACTAAGTGTTGAGAATTGAGTACCGCTCAAGCCGGTGCTAGGGGGCGTGAGGGATGTTGCACGTATTCATTATCCCTTATGTACAGACTCAATCAAACCGAGTCTGCAATTCTCTTGTAATTTTGTTGTGATTAATGCTTCCGAGGGATCACTTTGTTTCCAGATTTTTATACTTCACAACAGCAGGTGTCAAGTGCTGTGTGGCAGCTGTAAAAAGTTGTCCCGTACTTCACTTCAGTGTTATTATATTTTTCTGGTCCTTCTGGATCATTGATGCCAGCACTATTAAGTGTTGAGAATTGAGTACCGCTCAAGCCGGTGCTAGGGGGCGTGAGGGATGTTGCACGAATTCATTATCCTTCATGTACAGCCTCAATCAAACCGAGTCTGCAATTCTCTTGTAATTTTGTTGTGATTAATGCTTCCCAGGGATCACTTTGTTTCCAGATTTTGACACCTTTACTAAAAAGCACTGCCTTGCAGGACATTGGTGTTGAACCTTATATGTATACAGTAAAACTCTCAAGCATTATCTTCACTGAAACTATGTGGGCTAGAGCTCTAAGATATTTGTCATGAAACCTCATCTAACGGATCTCTACCAAGATTCCTCAGGTATCCAAAATGATCTTGCAGGAGTGGAGGATCTTATTTAGATATAGAAACAATTAAAAATCTTTAACTCTCAATCACTGTTTGGGTCTACAGTCCGGAGGCTATACATGACTAGTAAATGTCCCCTACTGATTTTGGGGTAAGTCAAAGGTCAAATCACAGTGGCTTTGACAACTTAAACCTTGTCCAGCTCAGGTGAGCGCTTTGGGGCCAATGGCCTTGTTTAACTCCAAAACTGATGTTTATCATGTAACTGTATAATTTGTTGATAATTTTAAAGTATTTTGTTCTGATTCACTAATATGGTATCAAACTACAAGGTCTTAATTTGTTATGCCTGTTATACAGGGCATATAGCCATATACAAATGGAAATAACTTAATTAAAATACTGATAAATTGCATTCCAAAAACAATCAGGCTTGTGGGATTCAGTGAATGGTACCGGTATGTCAGTCCTGTTGCTGTTTCCTTCCTGGCTAGAGGATCAACTTTTTACCAACCCATAGAGGTGTAGCCAAACGGGAAAATTCTTAATACATAGGTAATTTTTTGAACAAATGACTGAAAATTGTATTTAACTAATGTTATCTTTGATTTTTATAAAGATGCAGATCCAGTATTTTTACTAGAGTGCATCATTTTGACAAGACTTAAGGGTAATGTATATTTTAACCTTTACTTGGTTCTTTATAGCGTGGCAAGTGTTTAAGCACTCATATACGTGGACCTTGATTTAAAGTCTCATCAAAAAGGCTGCTTTAGAACTTTATTAATAATTTACAATGGCTTGATTATTTTGAAAGAAATAAAAAACAAGTAAAAATGTGTTCGAAATAAATATAGGCTGCAAGTTGACATTGTTCTAAGTTAGGGAGCTAGTATGAGTGTACCGAAACCCCCAGGACAAAAGCCTGACAAGGCGGACAAAAATTGTTGTCATGAATATTTTTGTTTTCCATTGGCATATTTAGCATGTTTGTATGAGCAGGCATGCATCTGAATAATTTATGCTAAAATATGTTAAGAGGATATTTTTTCGTTTTTCGTGAAATATGGAATATATTTTTAGAACTAGATGAAAATGCCACATATTTTCACGAGCCGGGACGGCGAATGAAAATTATGTGGCATTTTATCATGTTGAGTGAAAATATATACCATATTTCACGAAAAACGAAAAAATAACCTTTTTATTTAATTTCACTATCAAAGAACAATGGTAATACACCCCATTGCTTGCTACGCAACTGCAATTGTACAGCGCGCAGTAATATATTAATGCGTCTTGTTTTGCACGCCATATTTGGCGCTATATTGTGACATCACGTAAACAACTCTTAAAACGTCTGTACAGCTTTAATAACTGAATTAAAGATATTGGTGTTCGGATTTATTTTCTTAGTTAGACCATTTTCTATCATTCTAGATAGTTTTCAAAACAAAATTCAACAAAAAGTTGTTTTGTATTTATCAGATTTTTCAAACAAAATGGCGAAAGAAGTCCCTTAAAATAAATATGAGTTTTGACTCCGCCCACTTTCATATTTATATTTCATATTTATTTTTAAAAAATATGAAATATATTTGACTGATATAGCACCATATTTCATGGGTAAAATTAAATAAAAGTGCATATTTATTCATGTAAATATGATCGAAAGGATTATTCCTATATTGTGAAGTTCAAGGATTAATAGAGTAATAAATAATGAAAAGAAGTGTAAATTAATAAAAATTAAAAGTCCAAGACATTTATAATGTGAATTGTAATGAGTCAATTTTTTTTAAAGGTGAATTTGTTTTGAACGGCATTCGTGTAGTTCAGCATTTTAGATAGGTATATTGCTCATACACATACTTAGGCCAATTGAAAACAACAACAAATATATATGTTACAATTTTAATTTGTTGAGTGCATTGAAAAAAAAAACTAGGTATATTTAACTTACATACAATTATATTCTTGTTACAGGAGGGTTTTTGCCTGCCTTGTTAATTTCACGGGAGGGCTTTTGTCCGCCCTGTCACTTTCACAGGAGGGCTTTTGTCTGCCCTGTCACTTTCACATGAGGGCTTTTGTCTGGTTTGTCTTTTTTGGACGAGAGGGCTTTTTTCCCGGGAGAGCATTTGTCCGCTTCCCAGCAAGTTTACCTAGATTTTGGAATGTAAACATGTAGTTTTATGACTACCTAAGTATCTAAAATAACAGTATAATTTACATATTAGAGAGCTCTACCACTGTGATTACCTAGAAAATTGTTGTTTACTTTAATCATGATGTTTATAATAATGTGTTATTATATGTGTGTTAATATACTCAGCCCCCCCCCCCCCCCCCCCCAATATGCCAAGCTTATTTTTGGCTTACAATATTGTGAAATATCTTTATTGCTCACAGTCTATAATGTAAAATACTGGTTTATTATTTAACCTTTAACATGTAACATTTTAAAGATATAGTGCTTTTTTTTAAACCTACTTAATGAAAGGTGACCTGATCTTTTGATATATCAAAATATAACCCTGCATGCACATAGATATTTAAGACCATTTTATGCATGACATCAAGATTTCTTAAATTTAAATGTATACAGGAAATAATTTGTTTACATTTGTTTCCCAATTATAATTATGGCTGTGCATTAACATTTACAATAAATATCATTATTTCCAGCAAATACATATAAATGATTATTTACTATCAAGTTTTTAAGTTCATCTTTTCAAGTTTTTACCAAATATCATTAACTGCAAATTAAACCCCATTGGGAGCCTCTCTCTATTTACACAGGCATTTAATCAATTTACAGACAGCCGACCAATCACAACGATGTAACCATGACATTAAAGTCACATGATCTGCATCAGCCGAATGTGCCTCTTTTGATAAACAGAGGCCTTGCTCATTCAACCCTGGTGTTCTAAAAATAGATTTGTGTATACATGTGGTAGAGTGGTGAATTACAAATGGCAGCATACACATGTGAAGAAATTTGAAGAATTTGGCATCAGATACACAGTTATAGAAGAGTTGAAGATTAAAGAATGAAAGGTATTAATGTAGATAGGTTGTGCATTCTGTTTTAAATTTCGCGCTTTAATCTGAAAAGTTTAAAAAAAGATTTATTTATCTTTTTTTCCTGCAATGCAGGGATATTTTTTCCTTTATATATACTGTATCTAAGTTCTGAGTCAAGCAATATGCAGACTTGAACATGTGCTAGCTGTTCTCTTATCACTGGTGAGTCTCACATATCAAGAGTACTGTAATTTGAGGTTAATATTAATTTCTAAATGCTTTTAGTTAAGGACAAGTGCAAATTTTGTAATAATAAGTCCAATTTTAATTAAATTTAATTAATAAATTTATATTGAAAATTTAATGCCTAATTAAAATTTAAATGCTTTTATCTTGATATTATTAAAAATGAGTTGCATGGTGGAAATCACGAAATATTACTACATGTATCAATTAAATGTCATTCAGTTATTTATTGTATTTAGTAAAAGGTTATATGAAGATAATTGATGAGCTTGAGTTAAGTAATTAAGTTACAAAAGTTGACAGGTATGGGTATTTAAATTGTATTTCATTTGACGTTTCTTTCCAAAATATGAAATAGTATGAATGAATGACATTATTAAAGATTCTGAAACATAGCTGTAATATTGTGCATCGTTATAATTAGGTGGAGCGATAGCTGAGTTGGTTAGACCACTGGCTATCACTCCTGAGGTCCCGGGTTCGATCCTGGGCAACACCCTTGGGATTTTTCAGAGACATTTTCAGTGTTTCACACCTAACTAGAGGTAGACTGGTAAGAAATCCAGGTAATTCTCGCATGTATCAGTGCTATACAATGGGCATATAAAAGAACCAAGGGGTCTATTCAATAAGAGGGACTGGTTCCCGGATTCCCTTGTATCTCATAGCTTTCTCTCAAGTGACTTAAGTCTATAGTCATGTCTACATCCTGGAGAGGGGTTTGACTTTAATGGAAGATAGATAGATAGATAATTATATATGTTACGTAATTAAATATTAACAGAAATAGTTTCATGTGTTAAAATCTGCATAAAAACCAGTGAAAAAAACCCCAAATAGTTGCATTAACATGTATATATTCTCTTCCTAAGAATCTTACAATATAATATAATCAGATGTAGATTTTTAGCTCAACTATTTAAAGAATTGGGAGAGTAATTGTATTCACTCCAGCCTCTATGTTGGTTGCATTGTCACACTTTGGTTAAATTCTTGGGTAAAAACTGCTGAATGGAATGGATTGAAACTTCACACACCTTTTTCTCTATGATTACCTTATATGTTGGGGACAGATCCTATAGCTCTTGGTTACCTGTTTACAGAGTTATGCCCCTTCTCTTATTGTCAAGCACTGAGAATAGTCAAGCCTGCTGTCTTAGTGACTGCTCTTGTTAGTTTTCTGCGCACATCTTAAACCTCAAGTCAAAATGTACCATCAAAACACAGTCATGTGTATCACTATATATATACTACTCAACTTTTGCTAAGCACCATATGTTTGAGTGTGAATATTTTTTGGTATAATTTTATTAACCCTATGCAAAAGGTTTTAAAAGTTGATTAACCATGTTATCAATTCAGCTGAAGGACGAATTTAACCCTATAAATAAGTTTTACACTAATTTTGTGCAAGAGTAGAGGATATTGATGACCCCCCTCTTTGAAGATTTCAGAACATGCAGCGTGTTTTCCAAATTTGTTAAATTGGATTTTTTGTTTACAGTTTTAGACTTAATACTGTGTGTGTCACCCATGACTATCAAGGACAGCTTGGCAGCGCCTTCTCATACTTCCTATTAGGTTTCTGATCTTTTAAACAGGTATGGCTGCCCATTCTTGGACCAACATGGCTCTGGGTTGCAGCTGACGAGCTGAAATTCTAACTTGCAGCTCATTCCACATGTGTTCTATTGGATTTAGTCAGGTGAGTGAGCTGGCCAGTCCATGCGCTGTATAGACTCCCTCTCCAGGAGGTCCTGGACCACCCTTGTCCTAGGGGGAGAGCATTATCGTCCATTAGCATGAACTGATCCCCGACTGCTCCAGTATGCAACTGAACCTGACTGTCTTAGATGCCGTATATGTATCGCTGACCTGTCAATGTGCCTCTATTTAGCACAACCAGGTTGGTTCGTCCATCCCAGCTGATGCCTCCCCACACCAAAACTGACTCGCCTCAGTAGTGGTCATGCTCAGCAATATTTGCAGTCTGAAACCATTCACCTTGTCTTCTCCAGACTCTAGCACGCCTATCTGTGAAGTCAAGACAGAACCTGGACTCATTAGTGAACTGAACATGTCTCCAGTGTTGCATGGTCCACCGTGTAAGCTCCTTGGTCCATTCCAAACGGGCCTGGCGATGTTGATGCATCAAGTGGATATATATGCAAGGTCTTCTTGTCCGCAAATTACCTTCATGCAGCCTTCTTCGTATCGTCTGCGTGGAAACATGGACCCCCTCTGCATTAGCAAGGTCATTTTTGAAGAGAAGTTGCTGTCGAAAACCTTGCACACCATGCCTGGATGACCAAAACCGATCCTGAGCTGGTGTTGTGACCCTTTGCCGACCTCCAGCATGCCTTTTGGCAGGTGTACCAAGTTGCCGGTATCTCTCCTAGGCTCTTGTGATGACAGTGTGGTGTACACCAAGCGCTGCACCAACCTGGCGGAAGGTGGCCACTCTACTGCACCATCCCTACAGCCCTCCATTACACTGCTTCACTAAAATGCTGCCTAATGTTAGCATTTGCCATATCGAAGTGACAGATGTAAGATATGTAACCACTGATTGACAATAGGCTCGTCATGTCACATTATAACAAAAGACATATGATTGTACTCCCCATAAAAACATGAAAATATTGGGGTGCATGCTTTCAATCGACCTAGACAAGTTGTAGCAGATTAGTCAATACTCATGTAAGGGGACTATCTCAAAACATTGCTGAATCAGAATTTTCAAAAATTGGAAAAAAAAAATGTTTTATACTTTTGATAATATCAAAATTAACTTATGGTGCTTAGGAAAATTTGAGTAGTATAATATAATGAGGTTTAGAATGTGCAATTCACCACTTAAGTACAGTGTGAAGAGTTCAATTGATTGCTTTATATCCTAGTTTACAGAATACCTTTTTAACAAATTCCAATAATTTCCTTTATTTGGTACTACATGTATATGCAGGTTGTGCCGTTGTGCAGCAGCTTTGCCTGTTTAAGGTCACCCTTGGAGGTCAGATTGTGAGCCTATGAGGGGACATAAAATGTCTCGGAATCGGAGTAGCTGTACCAGTTCATTGCTCACATTTGAAAGTCAAATTGTATCTTCTATCACTATATATTTTCATGAAAAGTGGGTCAAAGCTCATTGAATTGAGCTGATATGCAGAATGCAAAGTGCAGCTACGCTCGGTCAAGGTCATACTTGATCAAGGTTTTATTCATATGTCTGATCCACATGACAAGTCCTTCGGCTTGGAATATTTTCATGAAAGTTTAGTCAGATATTGTTTCCTGAGATGACATTGGGGTAAGATAGATCGACTGCCCAGACATGACCAAAAACATTTGCTGAAAATGGATAAACAAGAAAAATATTACAAACATTCGTATGTAATATAGGTACGATTGCATACTACTTTTTGTGAAGACTTTTTATGTTTGCTGCATTCAAGGTGTAATGTAAAATGAACAAACATGTCATGAGATATTTTATATCTTTAAACAATTACATTTTCATGGAATGTAATTAATGTATCATCATATTAAAGTTGCATGCCTTCAGATGAGAAAAATGATTTCAAGGAAATCAAAATATGAAAAGAAAATTCACGGTCAATTGACTGCTTTGAATTATAATCACAGAATAAAATTACAGGAAATTAAAAACCTTTTTAATACACTAAAGGTAGAATTTCATTGTAAGTCATAGTCACAGATTTGAGATATGATTATTTATTCATATTAACATCATTATCAGTGTTTATTCTAGGATTCGAAAAACAGGGGGGATTTTTATCGAAAAGTGAGAATTTGTAATAGATATACCATTGCTGCGTTGACGATTTCTGGGTTTGTGTAAATTATACCATAATCACGTGACCTTTCTTATGCCTTAACCTCACGAGACGAAGTCAAGTTGATGTGTTTTCATTGTCTTAAATATCACGCTATCAATACACTTAAAGGTGTGAACTAATTTTGTGTTCATTAAAATCATTCCGTTAATAGACATACAGTCAAACTTGTATTAAGCGACCGCGCAAGGGAAACACCCAAAACAGTCGCTTAATGTAACGGTCTCTTAAGACAAAGCATGATAAAAAGTCAAAATTTATACATGACATCTTTCTTTTGCTGTGGGAATGTTTTTCAACTTCATTTATATAAATGTTTAATAATTAGAACGCTCCGATAATCTAAATGGATGCTAATGTAAAAAAATAACTTTCAGATATTTATTGACAAATCAGTTTTGATCCCTTACGTACATGTTTGACATTTTTCCAAAATTTTTAAACTTCTCCGTTGTATTTCCTTGTCTTCAACACAAAAACCCTGATAAGTGAAGCTTTTTATTTGTTTGGGCGTCAGACCAAACAAATAATGGTAGCGAAATTTCAGACTCTCTGTTAATTGCAAATGCCGAAAGTAGTCTGCTTTTTTGAAGCGGTTACTTCCCTTTATATGTACACTAGCGCCGAAAAATTCAGGGGAGATCACTGCGTAAAGATGGTCAAATGACAGGCACATTAATTTCCAAGCAAAATAGTTCCCGAATGGTCGAAGATTTCTAATATATTTTTATTCTTTATAGATATACATGCTTATTGTAAGCTCCATGATTATTTACATCATTCTGTGTTAAACAACAGTTAGCGTCGTTACAAACCCTAATTAAGAATAATATGGTTTTCTTCAGGCAGCTTACATATAACATCACCGTGTCCGAGGGGTTTGCGCGCTCGCTTAGGAAGTGAGAGGTCTTGAGTTCAAATCCCAGTTAAGGCAACTTATTTTTTTTTCAAATTGTTTAAGTCAAATAAACATTGAATTGAATATCAGTGTTGCAATTTGTCTTATAGCCAATTTACTACAATTAAAACGCTGGAAAGCATTGGTGGCACTATACAAAAACAAATTGGTTTATAATCTCACAACCTTCATCTTTCTGACATTCTGAGTCCCAAACAAATTCAGCACCTTCTGTGCTTTGATTTCTGTTGTGCATTGAAATAAACAAACTACGTCTGATTGTAACGATTAATTTAATTGCTGATCAAGTTCAAGGTCAATTCAATGCAGTCTAAATGTCAACAGCTAAGCGTATACACCATCTGAGTAGGGGCGGAGTTTTGCATTGTTTTATCGATATTATATGATACCATCATGTGTGTACTTACCTTTATTTGCATACACTAAAATGGTTTGGCAAATAGAGTTTTTCACACATTTATATATTGTGTTTTGATTGTTGACACTTGTGACATTACAAGGCGGCGTTCTCTAAAAACACAATTACTTGACAGGTAAAAGTGGTCGTTTAATTAAAAAATCAGCTGACTAATTAGAGGTCGTTGGTCGCGTTGAGCAAAAGTCGCTTAATACATTAAAGATATAGAGAGAAAATGAACGGGGGGAAATGAAACTGGACGCATAAGACAAAAGTCGCTTAATACACGTGGTCGCATGGGCAAGTTAGACTGTATAACAATCTTATTTACAAATGAATTGATAAAACAACAATCCCAGAAGCATTTAAGATAATAACAATCATTGGAAAAAAATAAATGCATATAAATTGTAAATTTGTGTATGACAACTCACCCCCTAAACAAAACATAATAGTCTCAACCAAAACAAGCGTCTGCTTCTTTACCTAACTATGTAGTAGCATGACCATGATTAGCAATAGCAAACCAAATGTAAGAGCTAAAGCTATTGTAAAAATAATACTATGACCACAGCAGATTTCGTACAGAAAACAGATAAAGGAAGAAAAAAAAGAGTGAAGTTAAGAAGTTTTTACTGTAAGAAAAACATACTAATTTTATATATACTAATTTTCATAATTTCTGTCCAAAATGTGATTTATATGATTTGTATTTGATATGCGGATGAAGAATTTGATACACAAGCTAATGTTACAGCAGAAATATCTAGATCTCTGGTAACTATTTAGTGATAACTTGGCAAAGCCTTGTTACTGTCATTTAAGGTAGTTTTACTGTAATGCTTTCCCGCATAAAATTTCTAACATCATCCACTATCGTAGCAAATCAGTTATTTCCGGAACGTTATTTTTTCAAAAGCATGGGCATTAGATTATTTACAACGGAAATGACTGATTAATTATGGTATTGACCGATGTTAGAAAGAATTATTTTGGCGGGAAAGCATTACAGACTACCTTAAACAGTTACCGTCAAGCTATATGTTCCAGTCTGTACCAGTACCTGGTGTAAGATTCTTTTTGGTTATAAAAGTTATTATAATAGTTTGGAGCATAATCCAAGATGTTACTAATTAATCTGTCATAATACTCCATATTGGAAACTTGTGTCCAGAACATCATTTCAGAACTTGGTAAGCATGCTGTTGTCTGTGTCAATGTAGGAATTAAGTTTAATGGAGGCTTGTTTACATGAAGTAGCTACTTGCCAAATATACAAGAATTTTTCCCTTTAAGATGTCCCCACATTTGTAGCATTGTACCGCTTGGTAATTTATTATGTGTGTTTGTAGATTTCTGTTTAACTGCAGACTTGGATAAATACAGTCTGGTCATCTTGTGTCAAAAGTCTTTTTCTTCATTGTTGAGATTTTTTTTGTTGGCCATGGTCTGGCAGAATTCCATTGTTTGACACTTAATGTCTGACGCTTTTTGTCGAGCACACTTGCGAAGAGCTGGACATATATGTCACAATGGCGGTTCAATGTATGTACATGCGTAAGTGAGTGTCCAGAATGTAATTCTATCATTGATTGGCAGTTTCAAATAACTTGGACCAAATGTTCACAATAATGAGACGTGTGTCACACACAAATGTTCACAAGGTCATACTTTAAGGTCAAATGCAAAAGAATTGTCTCAAACAGTGTGTCTGCACCAATACTCTTCTCATTAGCTGGTGGAATTTCAGAACAACCTGGCACAAACGTTAAACATCATGAGACGGCAAGTCAACCGCAAGAACTGTTTGACAAGGTCAAAGCTCAAGGTCAGATCTGAGATGTGACAGCAGGTTGGACATGTTACCCTTGGGCATCTAGTTTCTTTTTTAAACTTTCAGAAGTGTGTGCCAGAACAAATTTTTTTCTTGGTTTGAAGGATGTTTTATCACCAAGCTTGTTTTGATGCTTCCTGTTTTAGTCTTTGATTAAGTGTTTACTTAATTCATTTGCCATGACAAGTAAAAAGATAACAAAATAGAGAATTTCAGAAAAAGGGAATCCCAAGAGAACGCTCAATATGACAGTATTGAAAATATTGCAGGTGTAAATGAAAATTATTGAGCCTGTTCATGGACAGTACCGGAGAGTGTAAGTTACCGTCCACACCCCAAAGCACTGGCTAAACATTTTGTTACAGCTTGTTATATTATGGTATATGGTTGCCACATCAATCTTTAGGTCAATTCTGTCCACACCCCAAAGCACTGGCTAAACATTTTGTTACAGCTTGTTATATTATGGTATATGGTTGCCACATCAATCTTTTGGTCAATTCTGTCCATCGGTACAAGTTATAGATAATAAATAACGGAAGCAAAGGAATTCCATGACGTACATACATGTATATGGTCTTAATGGCTAGTTACCTATACTGTGTCGGTGTGACGTAAAACCCAATCAAACAAACAAAACCCCACTACAAGTTAGTTAAAAAGTCTGTATTAACCAGAATCTTTGATAAACCGAAATTTTTGTCTAGTCTCATATGTCCGGTATACTACTGTCTAAAAGGTTGTAGATTTATATCTTGAATCAATAGTTTCAGGCTTTTTAAAATAACATGTCATCATGTAACATAAATAGATAGGGCATCATACATGTCTGTGGCATGATTCTGGTTAAATAACACTATAAAGTTTGACAGTGACAAAATGATATGTAAATGAAAAATTGTGATTGGATATAGCTATACATATACATGTACAAAGTAAATACACGCATTTATTTGTATATATGCACAAAACAAATCTTACTCTTTTCAGAAGAAACTAGTATTTCAAATTAAGGAGTAAAAACTGTTTTCTGGAGTTCCTTACCCTGAGTCAGTATGAGAAATATAACAAAATTCTTTAAACCTTAGAGTGCTGAAAATTCAGGGGTGAATTCTCCCTTTTTGATGTTAATTACCCCATTTCCAGGTTAATTTATCAGAGTAATTTTGAACACTGAATCTTAGAAAATTGCTTGATATTTAAACAAATGCTAATTTGAAATGTTTTCAAAGAAGTAAAAAATAACAGAAAATTGGCATTGGAGTGAATATTTTATTAAGACCAAACTGTCTGTTTTATAATGTATTGATCCCAGATTGGCAGAAGACTTTGATATAATGCTTAACTTGTCTACTCTGAGAAACTCCGGGCATTATGTTGGCTTGGACACAGTTAATGAAATAACATTAACCTAGGAATCTTCACAATATATAAGGCAATTTTGGTAACTTGGTTGTAAATTATAAGGTTTTCATTTAAGAGCTGTTGTAGAAATTGTTGGAATATATTTAAAGTATCATGCATATAGCTGCCTACATTGTATTCCTACCTAATGATTTTTGTCAAGAGGTAACTTAAAGTTAGTCACTTGAAATAAACTGATAAAGCATGGTTCAGGATTTATTTAATATTTAAATTGTGTATTTTTTATTTATTTATTTTTCTTTTTTGCGCTGGGAATTTGATTTCAATTCCTTGTGTTTATACTAGTATTGCCGGACACATTTTGAACACCACCTTATGCATAAATTTAAACAGTGTGCTAATGATTTATGCTAAAATCTCTTTCTGTTTACTTGTCTGCCACAATATAATGTATTGAATTTTCTATTTATAGACTCTATTTATAGACTGTGTTCTTTCTCTCCAGGCAGTAACCGTGGAAACATGAAAGAGGAGACTGGTTCTGCTGTCAAGCCTCGTATTGGTACCAGAAGTACAGGTATTATTTTTTTACTGCGTGTATATTTAGAAATGAAACTGTCTGTCCGTCTTTTATGTTCTTTTGTACTGAAAAAATGGCTTAAGAATTTATTTCTTGAGAGTGGTTTTAAAACATGAGTATTGTTGGTTAAAATTTGTTAAGAATATGTTAAATTGATTTTAAAGGCTGAAATCTAGGAAATTTTTGCCGCATTTGGAAAATTTTGACTAAGAACTCGAATGACATTAAGGACCATTTCATCTTTGATATCATATACATCTCTTTGATTTTATATGTTATAATGTATATCTTGATTTTATATGTATATCTTTGATTTTGTATATCTATTATCTAGACAATAGATAAAGCATTGTTTGTGTTCTAAACATATCTGCTGATGAAGTGAAATTCTAATTTAAATGTCGAGCTCTGCTGAAACTGGTACTAGAGGTGCAGGTTGCCTTGAATTTACCACTACCGACCAGGAACAGGCTGAATCAAATTTTGCTGTATTCTTTAGTTTATCTTTATTTAAGTTATAAGTTGATTGTGTTAGGTGGGTAATTCAGAAAAAAGAGGCTTAGCATGTTTTGATTTGAAACTGTAATATGACCAAGAGTTATGGCTCTTGTTCTTGTCTTATAGTAACCAATTTACTTTACAAAATGTGTATTTATGAATTCCAAAAGTTTTGTTGTTGAAACAACTTGATCTAATGGTTTTTATATCTCGGCTAGGGTTGGAACTTCATATTGATTTTTGTACTGGTAGTGGATTTATCAGTTATGTCAAAGAAAATTTAGGGGATTGCCTGTAGTCATTTTCTTGTTTGAGTAGGTCAGGATTTTATGATTTTTTTTTTTCAATTCACCAAATGCTGTAAATTACTTTTTATATTTTATATGAAAAAGAAAACTAACAAACTGGAATTAAGATAAGAGTTTATTGAGCTGTGTTGAATAACAGGTTATGTAATCCAGTTTATATCAAAGGTTTAAATTGTTTTGAAAATAAGATCAATAACCTGACTCATTCACAAGTTTTAAATTGACATGCCATAAGTTATTTCCATTCCCAAATTCAACTTATTCATTCAAAATGTTGTAATTCTTGCAGTATGGTAAAGGTAACATGATGGTTAAAACAGTGACTGTAAAATTTTGTTATTGATAACTAAAAGGGCCTGGTATGATGCATAGGATTGTGTTTCTTTTCATAAAAAGACTTTCATCTTTCATTTGTGAGTCAAATTTAAATGACATGATTAACTGTAAGCCTGCTAGCTACCTCTCAATGACATGTTTGGTCCTCTAGAATAAAGGGCCTGGTATGATGCATAGGATTGTGTTTCTTTTCATAAAAAGACTATCTTTCATTTGTGAGTCAAATTTAAATGACATGATTAACTGTAAGCCTGCTACCTCTCAATGACATGTTTGGTCCTCTAGAATGTCTCATGACAATGTTTCTTCAAGTGACACTATTGTTATTGATTGAAAATGGAGTCAATTAGTATTTAATATGATTCACCATTCTCCTGCTTGTTGTGACTAAATATACCCTCGTGACCAGTGCTAGTGCTGGCCATGATTAGCCAGCACAGTGGTGCCATCTTATCATGGTCTGCACTGTTGGTATTCAGTCTGTAAATAATATTGAAATATTCCTGGTTTAAGATATTAAGTGCAGAAATGGTTAAACTAAGTATATAATGTAAATATTTAGAAAATGCAAAGTCATATTTACTCTTTAAGACAAATTTAAATAGATTGCCATATAAATGCTGCTTGTTTGATTTAGGTATCATTTACTTTAACTAAATTAACTCTTATTTCAAAGTTTTTTTTTGTTTTTTTTCAAGATTTGCAAACTTTAATGTGAGAAGTAAAAACAGTATTGGCATTGGCCTTCATCAAAATTTGTCAGTCCACTGATTTTTCAAGCAACAATCTGTTTAGGATTATAACCTGGGGACTTAAACTGAGCGAGACAAAAGGTTTGATAATAATTTAAATTAAGGAAGTTAGTGTGTCACTGTGCTTAAAGAATTATGGGTGTATAATTACTAAAAAACATTTTTTACACTCTTTTATTTTCCAGGTTTGTTATTGTCTTGGTTGACTGATTATAGAAATGAGTAGGAGATGGGGGATTGGGGAGGGCACGGTTGTGAGATCCAAGTCTCAGGATTAGGCATTGTCCTAACATGTTTTGCTTGCTACTTCATTTATTGAATTGTCTCATTAAAAGGGGAATGTATTGTAAGAAATGTAATTTCTTGAAATGTTGAAACATGTTGTTTTGTTTTTTTGTACCAAAATGGTCACTGACCAAGACCCATTACTCTAGCATTGAACTATTCCCCTTTGATAGTTTCATGATACAAGTGGTCAAGCTTCTTGTTGGATTAATAGATTGTTTGTGACGATAGAGTAATGTTTCTAACTGACATATTTTAGAGCTAGTGTTTTATAGCTAGTGTTTTCTGGACTGATGCAGTTATGTCTGTAACTGACAAATTGAGGATTTTTCAGAGGCAGTGTTTATTGAATGTTATTGATGAGCTAGAATCCTGCACTTGGCAAACATTGTCATGCAAGGAAATCAAACAGCAGGTTTCGGAAGGTACCAAGTGTTGGTCTTCTATAATGCATATTGGTAGTCACTGTGACAAAAGTGGTTAAGGTTGTTGACTCCTCGCTGCTGTAAGTTCAAATCCCTCCAGGGCCATGGATTCTATCATGTGAGGATGCTATCCAGCTAACTTACAGAATGGTAGTGGTTCTACACGCAGGACAAAAGTCCCCCTGTCCATCAAACAATTGTTATTGAGAATCCCGTCAGTTTAAATCCGGAACTTGATGTATTGAGACAAATCAAAATGGGTATGTTTAACTTAACTGTTTTAAAGATAATTTACATTAAGATTTAAATTTAAAGGTACAACGGTTCTAATTTGATTTATTGTGTAATTCGTATATATAATTTATTGATGATATGAATGTTTTTATGTTTATTATATATTGTACTGTTCAAATGTAAATGAATATTTTCAGAGAATCGCTTATCAAGGAAATAAAAGTTAAAGGCGCATACACGTTTACATTTATTTGAAGTATAACACAAGTTCCCGAACACTGAGTAGGCATGTGAAAAAGATAAACCTTAGGGGGGCTTTTGTTTGATGGACTGGGGGAGGGGAGGGGGGGGGGGGCTTTTGTCCTGCCTGTATTTTTGATGGAGGTCTTCCACCACCGATGAAGATGGGAAGTCACCTTTTCTGTGTTTGTTTGATGTAAACCTCTTCAAAATAGGTTTTTCACTCAATTTTGAACTTTATAAAAATGATGATATCGTAAATTATAACTAAACTTTTGCAGAGATGTCAGAGGTGTGTATAATCTGGTAATGTAGACAGTCCTAAATATTTGCTTTAATTAAGATGTATGGCTGCTAGAACAGTAAGATTGACAGATAAACAAATCCATAGCAGATAAATTAGGGTGAAATGCTAGTAAGGGTGAAATGCTAGTATCTCTGCTGCAGGTAATTAGTGTCCTGCAGTTTACACATCTGTGTGTTCAGTCTGACCAAAATCTGTACTACTTGAAGTTGACCACTTAATTTTTACCACATTTATTTTGAATTCCATTTGATTTACAGCTAATGTACAGTTCCAATTCAATGCAAGGCAAGTCCATTTTCATAAATTAAATGGGTTTAAAGGTTAAATTTTGTATTTATTAATGTATGAAAGTTTTGTCTCTGCACTTGGATATCCATTTATGCCTTTATGATTGTTCTGTGTACAATATTTGGCCTATACTGTTTGTTATATGTAGTCAACTTGTGTATTGCAGTTGTCAGATTGATATAGGGCAGTATACTGGGAGGTACAAAATGGGGATTGTGTTTACGTTTTATAGAGTTGTACAGGTAAATGTTATTCATAAGTGGATTTCACTAAACCAGAGAGCTGTTTATTAAAAAATAAAGACTGGAAAAAAAATCCACATTTTAATGACAGAATCTTTGTGTGAAAAATCAAGGTTAAAGGTTAAGAGTACATTTTCCACAGGGGCAAAAATTGCTTTGTTTAGGTTAACATTTTAGGGTCATGCATGTTTAGTTTTCAATTTGAAGAGTGTAAGATGTATGACTAATATAAGGTTTGATTTTACTGAATTCCGAAGATAAGTTTTGTAGATTTGTTCATATCATTTAATCCAACAGATCACATTATTTTGTTTTGAAATTGAATTGATTTTTAACAAGAGAGAAAGCAGAATGTTAAATTTTCATTTTTTATATGTTAATTTGCTTGTCAAGGAATAAAAACATTAGAAGTCATGACCCGTTTTTACTGTCCCTTTAAATGAAGATGTATTTAAAGTTTGACTGGTTCATTAGTTAACAATAGTGAATTTTTTATGTATCAATTGGACTGTATATAGTGTTGTTACAAGTGTGAGAGGAATAGGTTATTTTTATGAAAGTATATTTAACCTACATATTTATGTATAGTACTAAGGTCCCTTTATAATACAATAAATACTGTATGTTCTTAATATCAATCATTTATCCACTGACATTTATTTAACCTAACATGAAGTAATTTTCTTTTTTTCTCAAATAAAGTAACTGTGTTGAAGCATAAATTTTTAATTAAGATTTTTTTTTCTTTCAAGAGGTTATATGGGCCATATATAAATGTAAACTGTTTTAAAGTGCCTTGGGTTATAATTTTTGGTTTACAGGCGTTAATTTTGGGTCATAAAACTGCAAGCCCTTAGTGGCTCAGGGGTTGCCGTTATTGGTTGAATCTTGAGAATTGCACCCAGCGTGATTGTTAGAAGAGACTTGATGGGTTGTTCTATGCATCTCTTAGCTAAGTAGCAGGTGAGGTGGTTTTGACACCTGGTGTTGCCTTGAAGTTTATAACACCAGAGGTGCTGTTGGTTTTTATCTTACTGGGATCATTAAATTGCTGTGTTGAAAGAGTGCTATACTAACTTACTCGCTTATGAAAAGTTGGTAGTTTTTCTCCAACAAAGCAGTGGCTGGAAAGTTGCCATATGATAAATAAAGTTGGGCTCAGTCTTCATTTAAACAAGTAAAGAAAGATGGTGTGGTTGTATGAAGTGATTTTAGTTGACTGAAATGCCCAAGTAACTAGTTAGTTACCCAATTTGAATTAAAGTGTTCGTCATCCGTCCATGATAATTTAATTAAGGGAATGGTCATCCATTTACAATGGGTAAAATGCATATTTTCTGTTTGACTATTCAGAGAATAGGGAAAACTATTGTACTCACCCTGGCGTCGGCATCACACTTGCCATATGATATGAAGTTTTTTTGTGCAAGTATCTCCATTACTACTGAAGGTAATGGGTTGATACTTCATACACTTATTTTAGAGCAGAATAGGAGGCCTTTTTCCAAGGCCCATAATTCTTTACATAGATTTTTACAGAATTATGGCCCTCTCTGAGTTAAACGTACAGTAATTTCTTTTTAGGAGCTTCTGTGGACATGTAGTTAAGGTCAATAACCTCAAACCACTTGCCAGTCGGTCAGGTTAGGAAGCTATCTAGCTAGCTTCCGGAACATCGGTGGTAATACGAGGGTGTCCATTTGTGCCTGAAAAAAGGTCTTCTTCCACCAGTACAACTAAAAAATGCCACCCTTTTACCTATATTGTGTTGGTGCAATGTTAAGCCAAACAAAAAGATTATTCTAAATCAAATAAAGTACGTGAAATTTTGTTTTTTCAATTACAGGTCAGGCAAGCATTAGCTCGTCAAGGAGTCTTAGGGCCATGAAGTCAGGCAATTCAAGTGCAAGCCCCAACATGATCTCGCCAAGACGTTTGCGGTCATTAAGTCCAGGCACAAAAGATGTGAAGTTGAGACCAAAGAGAGCTAAAGTGGAAAAAGACCAAGGTAACGTTGTCAAAATAGTAGGCACAGTAACTTTCTAAGGATCTTTGGAATTTAATTACTTACCACTCATTGTCTCCTGCTTTGTACTAAGAATTCGTATAATTTAGTTGGCATGAAATTTACTGCTTTTGTCACAAAGGACATTAATATGGGTTCTTAAACTCGCAGAAAGATTATTTTTGCAAAAAAAAAATGGAAATAATGTAGTAGGCCCCCCATTTTTTAAAACAAGCTTTCTAACAGATATTTTTGGAGGGAGTCTTAAGTTATTAAAACGTAAACAGATAAATATTCTTGGAAGGAGACTATGTTATTAAAATGCAAACTGGCAGATGTTTTTAAAGCGGCAGTGTTGTTCCAGGTTTATTTTGTCCAATAGACTGCTTCTCTATAACAATGAATCAACAAATGATAATACAAGCTGTACAGTAGGTTATTGATTATTCTGCCAGTGGTCTGGTATTCACAATTAGATTTCTACATTGATTTTGAGATTTTGTTATGGTCTAATACATGTATATACATACAGTCAACTATCGTTATCTCGACATCGCTTTTCTCGATATTTCGTTATCTCGATGAAATTTTGATAGTCCCGATTTTCTACCTTCTTTATTTATATTGGAAATATTTGTTTATCTCGATATTTCTATTTCGATATTTTCAGTATCTCGATGTAAAATTTCAGCCCCAACAGTTATTTTCACACTATTATCCTTTGTTTATCTCGACTTCGTCCGTTCCCTTCAGACGTGTGAAAAACACAATCTAGACGATAATTGCTCAATTAATAGCGCGTGTCATAAGGTCGATTATGTTTGTAACAAGTTTAGCTGTTTTTATAAAAGTTAATCTTTTTAGCGTGTTGATTGACTTTTGTCCACAATGAGTGAATTTTACATTCTTTTTAAATATTCGAACACTGTATCAATTCATTATGACTTTAAATGTAAATGAAAAAGTGAAAGTATAGAAACGCTATCGTTGCAATATTGTTTCACAACATCACCACCAAATCAATCAGCGGTGGAACAATCTTGAGAAAGACCCGATAAATAACCCGGGAGGATATCCGGATCAACCATATCCGATATCCGATTCACTATATTGGTGTATTACTGAGTAAACCTCACTATGTGTTTTTATCACAGACACCCGTATTTCCGCTGGTAAACATCCGCTTATGTTACTTTGTTAAATGTTGACTAGGCCTATGAAAACAAGACATGGGGATATTATAGTTCATTTGACATAAGGTATGCACATGTCTTTTGTAATAATCAGTTTCGCCTTGTTCTAACCCTAATATGTTTATCTCGACATTTCGTTATCTCGATATTTTTTTGACGGTCCCAATGACTTCGAGATAACGAGAGTCGACTGTATATATGTTTTCATGCCCTTCCTGGGTGTATGTAGGATATCCTGGGGTATTATTTTTCATCTCAGAAGTTTGCCTGTCGTACTGCTGACCTTTTACCTTGGCCAAGAGTTACAGTTTATAAGTTAGGGAGGGCATCATTTGTGTGGATATCAAGAGGTTTATGTTAACATGTTGAAATTAAACCTTAATCCCAAAATAAACTTGGCCCTCTAGGTTGTATTTTCATGTTTAAGGATATTCCTCTATAATTACTTGTTTTACACATGTGTATCTGGAAGATTTGCACAGATTTAGGAGGAGCACAAATATTAATTCTTTATATTCTGCCAAAAGTTTCTGTGACAATTAAGACCATTTTGCTTTAACTACAGCTCAGATTTCTTGACCCATTTATTTTTACTACACACAAGATAATGATTGGTTCATCCCATATGTGTTCTTTGTATCCGTCTGGGGCTAATGAATTAATCTTTTCTCTGAAATGACAGACATTGGGTCTATTTCTTGTCTCTTTAAGTAAAATGATTACTTTGAATCAATTTTAACATTGGTTTTAAAGACCAGTATCTATTGTAGGACCCTTTTTTTATCACAATGTTTGTAAATGTGCTTTAAATATGTGAGTCATAGTTTGTCAGATCTAATCTTATGTTATACATATATACACCAAGGCCACGTCTAGAATGTTAATTGAGAGGATGTCTCGGTTTTATCAGACAAATTAATAATTGAAGAATGTTTTTGTCCTCTTATTTACCTATCACCTCAGATTTTTTATTATATAGGGATGGGACTGGTGTGTATAACCACCCCTAAAATATCATCGGGTTTAGTCCCCTCAAATATCATGAGGATAGGCCCCTCAAATATCATGGTTAATATGCCCCTCAAATATCATGCTTTTTACAGTCTACAAGAGTCATTAAATTATTTCAAGTGAGGAAGCTATCTGGCAGGTATTTAGATGATCTGTGGTTTTCTTTTGTCATCGTATTGTTATATTATAATGCATGAAAAATCTTCCTGTACCATTAATGGCAGGAAATATAATGCATGAAAAATCTTCCTGTACCATTAACGGCAGGAAAATATAATATTTCTTGTTAACTATATGTACATCTAGATTGATAATATTTCAGTGCTAGCTCCAAAGGGTATGCATTAAGAGGTTTTAGGTTCAGCTTCTAGCTGTGTGTATATACTGACATGCCATGCTACCTGAGTCTGTGACCCTTTAATGAATGCATATGCCATGGTTTCTTTTAATTTTTTAAACAGTTCAGTCCTGTACTGATGTTTATCATGTTACCACTACATTCAGATTCTGAAAGATTTCTGAAATGCTGCATTAATTATTAGTCCCCTACCGGTTTACCGGAGGGGACTTTAGGTTTACCGTCCGTCCGTCCGTCCGTCCGTCCGTCAGTCCGTCCGTCCACAAAACTGGATCCCGCGATAACGCAAAAAGTACTGAAAATATTTTAATGAAACTTGATATATGGATAGATGGCAGTATGGAGATTATGCACGTCTTTTTCTTTTCTTCCTATGTTGAAAATTCTGGTTGCTATGGCAACAAATAGACTGAAAATATGGCAAATTTTACACATAACCTGGATCCCGCGATAACGCAAAAAGTACTGAAAATATTTTTATGAAACTTGATATATGGATAGATGGCAGTATGGAGATTATGCACGTCTTTTTCTTTTCTTCCTATGTTGAAAATTCTGGTTGCTATGGCAACAAATAGATTGAAAATATGGCAAATTTTACACATAACCTGGATCCAGTGATAACACAAAAAGTACTGAAAATATGTTTATGAAACTTGACATATGGGTAGATGGCAGTATGGAAATTATGCACATCCTTTTCTTATCTTCCTATGTTGAAAATTCTGGTTGCTATGGCAACAAATAGACTGAATTTCAAGATTTCTGATTCTAGTTTTTAAGTTTTTTCACTATAAGTTCTTTATTTCTTAAGGTATTTTCTTCAAACTTTAAATATAAGTTGCTTGTCATCAACCACATCATATGTGACAAGGTTCACAACTCTAGCACAAAATTTATCAGAATTACCTCCCTTGAACTTAAAATTTTCATGAAAAAAACATTGTTTTTTTTTAATAACTTCTTTTTCTGAATGTATCTACTTCAAACTTCATATAATTGTTTCTTATTATCACTCAACATTTGTGAGTGTTCAATACTCTAGCAAGACTATTTCCAGAATTATGCCCCTTTTGAACTTAGACTTTTTTTTGAGAAATTGGTAATTTTTACTCCAACTTCGTCAATCATGATAGGATTTTAAAAATGTTATATTTTGATAACAGAGATGTTTAAAAAATAACTTTAGAGTGTCCTTCAGTCCATCTGTCTGTACATAAAAACTGTTTCCTGTGATCACTTTTAAAGAACTTTTTCAACAAATTTACTTAAAATAGGAACCTAAGTGAATGGCCAATGGCCCTTCAGAATGTTGCTTGGGCTCTTACCGGTAGGGGACTTATGGATTGCTTGCAATACTATGATAATTGCTTGTTAATTTAGAATTAGACTTTGTTTTTAAAGTATTTCGCTTCATTATTTCATTCTATAAAGAAAATATTTTTTTATCAAAGACACTCCAAAAGCTCCAAAGTCTGCTGAATCCACACTGAAACAAACAAACTTACCTAACCCAGAACCTAGTGAACAGAGCTTACAAAGTGTACCACTTAGCCAGACCACACCTAAAGGAGCAGGAATACGCACACGGCTCTCTACGGGAAGTATTCAGATGAACGGCACCATGACGATCTCAGCTGCAAAGGAAAAAGCAGAAATGGATCAGATTATTAAGCAAATTACTAAAAGTAGGTTTAGTTTATACAGATTTTATTTTATTTTTAGTTTGATTGTGAAGGAAGTTATATAAGCTTATAGATACACTCTGGAGTGGGTTTAAGCATGTGTTATAGTATTATTACATAATTATGTTAAGAAATTATGTAAACATGGTTTGCATAAGTCTTGAAAAACACTTGTGTCTTGAAAAAAACATTGAAAATAAAACATTATATCAAAAAAAATCTTGAAAAACCCTTAAAAATTGACTAACTGATGGTCTTGAAAACCCTTGAAATTTCAACAGTGTTGTACAAAAAATTATGAAGTTGTTGAAAATTGAAAGAAGTTCAATTTTAATTAATTATAAGCAATAGTGCTTACAACCTTATTTAACTGCTTCCAATTTTGAAGGCCTTTAATCTATAAAATTGTGCTTAATTAAGTAACTTGTATGAACCCTGATATAATACTTTAAGCTAGTAGATATGGTATTGATTTATTTAGCTTTTAATATATACACAGCATACCATGTATATAAATAGTGTTACGTGTTCTTATAAAAGTCTATATTGAAAATATAGAATATGCAAATCTATATAAATTGCCAAGTTGATTCAGTGCAGGGGTATGGATTTTTATTGTATAATTTTAATTTTGCAGAAAATTAATTCTCTCAAGACTTTGAACAAGTTAAAAATCAAACAACAATAGACTTGACCATGGGCTTTGTAAAAAAAGTCATTTAATGATGAATTGTTCAATTTCTTTTATTGTAGATGACCCAGTGTCAGCAACGAAAACTCCACCATCTGGTGTTAGAAAGAGACCAACAGCAATCACACCAAATGAAATATTACCAGGTGACCACCCCCCACCAAAAAAGAGAAAAATCGGCAGAAATGATGGGAGTGGCGAGGTATAAATTGATTTATCCTGTAAACTTTTTGTTTCATAAAGGAAAAGATAATAATGTTTAAGAAATGAGCCGCATCACAACAAAACCAACATAGTGGGTTTGCAACCAGCATGGATCAAGACCAGCCTGCGCATCCGCACAGTCTGATCAGGATCCATGCTGTTCGCTATCAGTTTCTCTACTTGTAATAGAGTTGGTAAGCGAACAGCATGGATCCTGATCAGACTGCGCGGAGGCGCAGGCTGGTCTGGATCCATGCTGGTTGCAAACCCACTATGTTGGTTTTGTCATGACGCGGCTCAAATATACATTGATTGTGGTATAGTTCTTAGTGTCTGTATAACATTTTCTCACAAAAAACAACTAATGTCCCTCTCATAAACAACAAAATTTCCATTCCCTCATAGATCCAACTCCTGTCCTTAATATTAACAACAAAATTTATTCCACCCATTTTTGATGCATTTTTCTCTCTCAGAAACGGCAATCTACCACATTATAATTGATGTATGTAATTTTCACCTAGAGCAACATCAGCAATATCCATACAAATTAATAAAGATTTAGAGTGCAGTATAACTGTAATACTGTAATGAAACCTTAAAAATTATCTTATGACCTCATTATTATAGTTTTGAAACATTCATGTACGCTCAGTTGTGAAACATTCATGTACGCTCAGTTGTGAAACATTCATGTACACTCAGTTGTGAAACATTCATGTACGCTCAGTTGTGAAACAAGTTTGTACAACTTGTAATATTCACAATCGAGATCATTTCCTCGAACGAACCAGTACTGGTTATATATGAGAAATCTTGGTAGTCAACCAAATAGGTCTTAAATCAATAGTCCCTGGGTTGAGAGGCAGACACCTTGACGACCAGGCCACTGTTCCCCTTCAATCTTCTCAGTTTATCATATATGTATATCTCAGCCATGATTGTAATTTAATCATACAATTCTTTTCCTTCCAGGACAATTGTAATGACTATTTCTGTTGGCTTTGTCATAAAGAGGGGATGCTGGTCTGCTGTGAATTGTGTCCTAGGGTATACCACACCAGGTGCCTTGGCTTGAGTGCTGAGCTCCCTCAGGATTGGGTCTGCCCTGAATGTGAGGTAAGAGCAATTAATTAATTGATTATTGGGACTTAATTTATAACTTAATTAATTAATTGACTAATTATTTACTTGTTAACTTTGTTAATTGATTTGATCATATACCACAGTGACACAAATAACTGTTTCTGTGTGAAATACATTTAGCAATGTTTACATTTACAGTAGATAAATCTTTATAAAAGTTCTTGACTGGATTTTTTTTTTCAGTTTGATCATTTTTTCTTTCAGAAAATAATGAGGGCAGAATGTGTTGACACGAGGTCAAAAGCCATGGAGATGTTGACTATAGAACAACTTTGTACTCTTCTTAAATATGCCCTCGAAAGAATGAAACATGCAGGGGTAAGATATTTTAACATTTTATGTAAATGATACAACGTAACGTGGTCCATCATTAAGGTACATGTATGCCTGTAGTTTGGACCCTTTTCTGTATAGCTGAGCAGATTTTATTCTAACTATGGAATTGAAAAAATAATTGAATAATTAAAATTTCTTTCAATTTGCTATGTATCAATGTTGGGAGTTTTAATTTTACATAATACTGTTTACTAATGAGAGACATAGAGGATATTGAATGAGTGTTAATACTGAATTTATTGAAGGAGGGGAATAAAATTATATGATGCGAGTCTCTGGCAAGCATTATATTATTTTATTCAACAAGTTCAATGAATTCTGCAATGAACCTACACAAATATGACATTGTGTGTATCACACACCCAAAATAAAGGCTGTTTAAAGTGTAAAAGAGTCATTTTTTATGGACACACCTAAAGTGTAACACTATCATTTATTGTGTCTTAACAGTAAACACTATGTTTGTATAACGCAAATGACACTTCAAATTTTAACAGAGTCACAAAAGCAGCACTGGTATATGATAAATGTGTATTAAGTAATTTAAGTATGTAGACAAGGTTGATGATTGTCAATCACAATTGTCAGTACATCTTTTTGCGTTACTCTTTGTTATTTTTGGAATTTGAAGGTCAAGATCATTTTACTCATATATTGCATTTTAAAGGCATTTAGCATAATGATGGCCATAAATAGTATCATTGTATTAAATGCCTTGAAGTGGTCACTTCCAAACACATTTAGTGATTTACGTCTGCTCGGAAATTTCCATAACTTTCAGTCTGCTGGCAGCAACAGATTCTACACATGCACTAGTGCAGAACAAAATCAGCCAGTACACCTGTGGCATCTGATCATGGTTTACACTGTTCTCTATTCAGGGAGTACATATTTTTAGAAATTTCCCTAAAATGCCAATTTGTTATGTTCAGATAGAAAGGTGGACAAGTCCATTCAAGAAATTCTACAGGTAGAAGGGTTAATATAATGTCAAACCTAAATTTTGTCTACATATTTTCAGAGTGAACCTTTCCAGAAGCCAGTAGACATAAGTGCCGTTCCAAATTATTCAGACTATATCTTTCACCCGATGGACCTTACTACTCTTGAGAGGGTATGTGTACATTAGATATCTGTTAGCTTTATTATATATACAGTATAGCTTTAAATATATGATATCAAACTTTGAGGGAGAAAGTTTTCATAGTTCAAGATTTTTAGACTTAAAAGCAGTCTTATTCAAAGACGAAGTGCTTAATTTAGAACTTTGAGGACTTTTTTAAAATTTAATTTTCACCCATGTAACTAAATGTAGTACATAAAATGTTTAGGTTTTATATTTAAAAAAACAAACAAAAAGAAACCTTACCTTTTATTGATTTTGTTAAAATGACTTGAATTAAAGTATACAATCTTATTCATAGTGGCCGTACTACATGACTTTCAAGTCGGCCTCAGTAATCAGGTATAGAATATGCTATTTAGGGGGAAAAAAATCGTGACCAAGTAAAAATTATGCATGTTTAGTACCAGATAAATACTGTTGTATACACACTTTGTACTTCTGTGACCATCAATCGCATAAAAGGGGAAATTGATTGTCATATAATAATGCAAATACTATGCCAGATTTTATCCTTGAACAGTTAATATTTGTTATTTTGAAATGTTGTCAGTGGATGTAAAACATTTCAGAACATCAAGAAGAAGATGTATGGTTGTACAGAGGCCTTGCTTGCCGACGCCAAATGGATCCTTCATAATTGTATCATATATAATGGAGGTAAATATTTGTTTAATTCATAGGCCTTTTGGCCACAACTGATTTTACCAACGTAACCAGTGCAGACCAAAATTAGCTCTGCACATCTGCACTGTTAGCTGCTCAGCACTTATTCTCATATTATCCCTAAAATGACGAATGAGCCGCGTCACGACAAATCTTTAACGTAATGGGTTTGCGACCAGCACGGATCCAGACCAGCCTGCGCATCTGCGCACTCTGATCAGGATCCATGCTGTTTGCTATCAGTTTCTCTACTTGTTATAGGGTTTGTAAGCGAACAGCATGGATCCTGATCAGACTGCATGGATGGCTCATTAATGGTTTTGTCAGATAGAAAGATTGATAAGTCTGCTTAAGATATATAGCATGGTAAAGGTTAAACATATTTATTTAAGCTTGATTTGTGATAAAACAAAAATAACAAGCTTATGCATGTCCACTACCTGAAATATACCAATACCTAGTTTTATTGAACCGACTTGTGGTCGATTTGACAGTCCATTAGTGAATGGATCTTGCATACTGAAATCAGTATGAGAGGGCATTTATTGAGTTCTTCTGTTGTTAAAAGATATTCAAAAATATGTGTTAGACAGAATAAATAGAATTTACCATTACCCAACAAATATCCTTTTGTTTGTCGATATTACACATGTAATGGAATTAAGTATTTCAGGAATCGAGAAATGTGTCTTGCATAATAATCATATAAAACATGTAGAATGTACCATAATGAAGTTAATTTTATCACATATGTAAAATTGATTATGAAAAATGTATCGTGCTAACCAGTGAGATACTGGGTATATGGCCAACAGTGTGGGTGATATAGCTCTGTCGGACTATTTTTGGTGTGCGTTTTATCTTATATTATCCATTTTGTTCTAAAAAGCATATTTCTTAGATCAAATATCATTATTTCTCTATAATTGTGAATAGTTACTCAGCAATAATGAATAAAAACTTAAATTACTTTTTGTTTATGCAGCATTCATGTATCTGTTGAACATCTGACATTGTCATGTTCACGGGTCTTTTTCCAGTTGTATTAATGGAAACAGTTGAAAATTGCTCTTATAAGGCATAAAATGAAAAGAAAAAACTTGTTTGTTTTACATGAATGTGATATATCATGCATCGAAGTGGCATAATATCCACATTTTCTCTCCATCAACATGCTTGTCTAAATATTGCAATTTTCTCACTTTCAGTAAGATTTATACAATGTAGCATATTCACTGTAAACAAAACAAATATCCTCTATTTTTATTTTTATTACATGATATTTTAAAAGTATGTATAATTACATAAAATAAAAGTTGGTATGTGTATACTGTATCTAGAATGATTACAGTGACTGGATTTTATAAAAAGTAACCCAACAATCATTTTCTGTATTTTTTCAGCTCACCATAAATTAACCAACAGTGCTAAGATGATCATCAAAATATGTAAACATGAAGTAAGTAAGATAATGTACTTTAACTTATATTCTCAGAAGTTCTTATGTTGTATATATTATTCAAGTTTGTAATAAGTTCATTATACTAGTAAACATATATTTTATGACAAGTGTCAACCAATTTTTTGCAACTTTTATTAATCATTTACGAGTCCCCTTCCTGTAGCTAATCTGGGCTGGTGAAACAGGCCACTTGACTTAAGCTTGATGAAAATGTAGTTTTATAAATTAGTAAAAACTGATGGTAAATAATACCAGACATTGTTTAGTAAATCATTTGTTTTGATCTACTAGTTTCAGCCTTATTTCAAATTTTGGATTAATTGCCCATGAAGTCATTTTGAATCATGCAAGGGAGCTTTGGGTGGGATTCTTTATAATGTTGGGGACCTATACAGCTATCTTATGTACAAATACCGCCTCCGTGGTCGTGGGGTTAGAGTCGATGACTTCTAATCCAGTTACCTCTCTGGTGTGGGTTCGATCTTCTGGAGATGTTTTGGTAGTTTAGCATGGAGGAAAGTAGTCTAGTACTGGTGTAACTCTCCAGGAACAATGGTTAGTAAACTACCCTCCTATGTGACTGAAATACTGTTGGTAAAAGGCGTAAAATGAAACAAACAAACAAACAAACATCTTATGTAGAAAGTCAGTGGTTCTTTTCCGGTGTTCACTCAAACCTGGAGAAGTATATGGAAAGGTTTTCTTCCACCAGGAATGGGGGAAAGTCGCCTTATTGTCTATACAGTGATAGTAGTGAAATCAGTCTATTTTAAGTTAAATTTCATTATCAAAATGCTTGTATTAAGCTACCAACAGAGGCTGATCAGACTGCATGGATGTGCAATACTGGTGGCAAATGCTGTTACTCTTTGTTGAGCAAATTATATTTCTGAATTTCAGTGCATTTCTGTTGCTTTTCAAGACAAGTGATATGCCTAGAGTATTATAATTTATTGTGTAATATATTTTCAGATGAATGAAATTGAGCTGTGTCCAGATTGCTACCTCAACTCATGTGTTCGTAAAGATGATGAATGGTTCTCTGATACTTGTGTAAGTTTTACCTATTTAACATCATTAACTGTAACACAGTCTACTCTTGTAAGTTTTGCCTATTTATCATCATTAACTGTTACACAGTCTACTCATTAACTGTAACACAGTCTACTCTTGTAAGTTTTGTCTATTTATCATCATTAACTGTTACACAGTCTACTCATTAACTGTAACACAGTCTACTCATTAACTGTAACAAAGTCTACTCTTGTAAGTTTTGTATATTTATCATCATTATCTGTTTCACAGTCTGTTAAAATGAATAGCTCTCCAATACTTTTGCAAAAAGTTTTTATATTGCCATTGAAACTATATATGAATGTATATTTTGAAGATAAAAAAAGTCTCAAGTTTTTGGCTATCAATAGTATAGAGCCTGTCAAACTACACAGATGTGACTGATGTGCAGGCTGGTCTGGCTCTATATTGGTCACAAAGGCTAATAACCATTTACATTTCTAGCAGGTTAAGGGTTCAAGCTTTCACAATGAATGAGGCATTCTCAATTAGTTCCGTAATAAGAGCATTTGCATTATGTATAGCAGGTTTGCAAAGTCACGACAAGACACATGTTTATCTCTGACTATTTAGTTGACTGGTTTATTTGTCTTCTACCTCAGTGTATTGTATTTGAGAATTTTTTCTGTTACTTAGCTGTAAAAATTATCACTGGTTTAGACTTCCAAAACACATTTTGGAAATTCTCTGTTGGTAAAACATTGAAATAGTGATATTCGAACTGATGCATTTTTCAACATGAATATCTAAAGTTTCTATTTTAATCTGATAGGCTTGTATGCCTATGAACCTGTACCATAGGTTTGTTATTCTATTTGCTAGTATTCAGAAGGTACAAATTCAGGGTATAGAATCTGTGTGGGTTCAATATTGAATCTATTAAAACTTATTGAATAAGTTGAACAAAATTATATTATGAGAGTCTTTTAGTAATAAAGCTACACAAACATAATAATCTATTTATCACATACCCTGCAAAGAGACTGTTTACAAGAGTTGTTTTTTTTAAAGATGCACCTATAGTGAAAAGCTGACATTAAGTGCAAATTAACGTTTTGTATACGCATATGGCATCATGATATATGCACATCCGTGCAGCATCATTTTTACACAGTTACAAAAGCGGAATTTGTACAAGATAAATATATTTTCATTTAATTTGTTTCAGAGAGTGCCTCATACTTTGGTGTGGGCTAAGTTAAAAGGGTATCCATTTTGGCCTTCAAAGGCGCTCAGAGAAGTTGATGGACAGGTTGATGTGCGATTCTTTGGAGCACATGACAGGTAATCTTGTAGTTATATAAATCATCATCTTTTTCAGCACTGGTTATGTTTTTAGCAAGTTTTAACAGTATGGTACAAGTAAAGAACTGGAACAGCCTGAATTTCCATGCAGTTTAACCATACCATATCAACATACAATGTTGGCAGTTTTATTTTTAGTTTAAACATATTTATTAATTCTGAATTGTGAAATAGGTTAAAGCTGCTCTTTTTAACCACTTTTGAACTGATGTAGGTGTGTAAAAAACATGGTTGTGACCAGAGTAGGGTTCGGACCTATGGTCAATTGGTTAAGAGGCAAACACTTAACCACTAGATTATCTCTCCCTTTGGGGCTGAATGGTTAAGGTCCTTGACTACATACCACTTGCATGTCACAGCTGTGAGTTTGAATGTCCCAGCCGTGGGTTTGAATGTCAGCAGGGACATTGGATTTTCTTTTTATGTGAGGAAGCTATCAAGCTAGGTTATGGATGATTTGTTCTTCTCAGATGCCTGTTTGTGCTTTAATAACTGCATGTAGGGCCACCTGAGGTCTTTCTCCACCAGTAAAGCTGGAAAGGCACCATATGATCTTTACAGTTTTGATGCAATGTAAAATCCAACAACAACCACTCTCATAAGTATTTTAACACTGAAATAATTTACACTAATAACAAGTTTTAGTTTCAAAGCAAGAAAAAGTATATTATCAAATATAAGGTGTTATTGACATCTTTCCATGGCTGGAAAAATGAAACATGTTAAACGTAACATATATATGATATTTTATTTCTGATCAAGTTCTGTTCATGGCTATATTTCAGGTCTTGGGTTCCTGTATCTCAGTGTTTCTTGTTGTCTAAAAACATACCTACCTCCTTACAGAAAGGAAAGAAAAACAATGGTCTAGATATGGCTATTGAGGAGCTTAACCTTCATGTTAAGAAACTGCGGTAAAATTTTTAATTTATGATGATAAATCTTTGCTAGACTTTATTTTGAGTGATGAAAAATAATCTATAAATAATTGGGAAACATTTTTGTTAAGATACATGTAGTATAAACTGTATTTTATTTATAAATAACTTTCTTTAGTTATTTTAGAAGAGTGTTGTAAATGGATTAAAAAAAATAGCGAATTTTGAACTTTTATTTCTTATATCAGTGTATTTTTTTTATTCCAATCTTTTGTGAATGTGTCTGGGCTCTTTGAATTGCGAAAATTAGTACTGATATGCCATCATAATAAAATAGGGGGAAAAAGTTAAAATCATGTGTTGGAAAGTGACATAATTTATGATAGACAACTTGATTAAATAAAGTCTACTAGTTTAATGTCTGCTACTCTTCATGTTTTCAAGTCTTTGACATCTTTTGTCAATGACGACAAATCAACAATTGTGGATTTTCATCAAACAAGTTGAAAGAAAAGATACATTTTGGCTCTCTGAATGGGACTTTTTTTGAACATGTGATGTAAGGCAGCAAAAAAAGACTTGAATATATTGACAAATAGTTTCATACACAATAATTTGTATTTTCTCTTTTTTTCCACAGAGAGAAATTTGGTGGTTTTCAATATGCCCCATTTAGAACACCATATGACAAAAGTGACAGTTACAAACCAATTACGCTGAAACCAGAACTTCCCTCCAAACCAAACAACTCTCTCAGGTTATCACAAAGTAAAGAATCTAAGACTGGAAATAGTTCTTCCTTTTCTGGTAGTAAACCAAACATTCTGCGAAAATCTGTTGCTAAAATAAGAAACAAATATAATGCCATGGTGAGTTTGAAAAAACTAGAGTTGAGCCCAGAAAAGGGGAAAAAGATACCAGTTGTAGATGGAAAATGTGGTGTAGTGGAAGCTAATGATGATGAAGAACATGTTGTACAGGTTGAACATGATATTACTGATAAATCTGATGAATCTAGAAATAAGGATAAAATAGAATCTGGTGTAAATAAAGGTATTCAACAAGACTCATCTGAATTAGAGAAATATTTGACAGGAAATGTAACAGTTGAAGATAAAGCTACTGGAAAGGGTATTAAAAAATCATTTGTAAGTTCTAATTTAATAGAGCAGATTGAAAATAAACTGAAAGGTCTTGTTGAAGAGCCAGTGAAAGAAGGTGAGGTTACAGATAAAGAATTAAAAAACTTGACAGATGAAAAGTCTAAAACAGTGGATGATTCAATGCCACCAAAAGAACATGTGGCTAATGCTGATGAAGTAAGTAAACTCATTAGTAATGAAAGTAGTCCAGAAAAAAGTGACAGTAATGTTAATCAAATAATAGGTGAAAATAAATTAGAAGGTCAATCACTAGACTCTGTTTCTGAAGTTGTTAAGGAAAACTTGCCACAAAAGATGGTTGATAATGCAGGTTCAGATAACCAATTGGAAAGTAAACAGACAGATGTTGTTAGTAAAGAAATTGATGTTCCAAAGGTAGAAACTAGTAAAACTGAGACTGAATCAAAAGATTCATATAGAAAGAAATTAGATACTATGATAAAATCATGTAAAGAAAAATTAGGTATGGATAATGAAAAAGTAGAGGATATTGACAGTGTAATAAGTGAAAATGATGAAGATGATGAAGAAGATAGTACTGATGATGACGAAAATGAGGACACAGTGGAAAGTGATGATAATTCTGAAGAAAGTGAATCTGAAGATACACCTGAGGAAAGCAAGGATAACTCTGAAATGGATTTGGCAAATACAGATGTAGCAAAACTTACTGACTTAAAGAAAGTTAATGAACAAGACAAGAATGGAATATCATTGAATGAAAAATGTGGAAAGGATGGTGAAAATGAGGGAAAACTTAACGATGATTCATCTAAAATAACTCTTGAAAAACATTCTGGTGCTCCTGATTCAAATGAACAAAATAAAGAGCCAAAATCTACCAATATGCCAGGAGATAAAAGTGAACTTGATCATCAAAAAGACAAAAATTTGCCCGTTGAGATATCAAAAGCAAGTGATACAAATACTGAGAAAAGTGATAATTCTGAAAGAAAGTCCTCCAAAGTGGCTGATTTAACTAGTTCTGTTTTGCAAGAAAGTGCTGAGAATTCAAACTCTTTAAAAGGAAAAGATGTGTCCAAAAATGAAGGTAAAGGTAAATCAATGGACATAGATGGAAAAACCCTGGATCCATGTTCTGGTGAATTTATAGACAAAATTTGTGATGAAGATTCAGACACTGAGCGGCTGGTTATAGATTTGGAAGATGGAGGAAATGACAAAAAGTCAAAGAAAATTGAGGGGAAAAGTAAAATGTCTCATATTGACCCTATCCCTAATGTTCTAGATATAGAAAAGGAGTTAACAAAACCAAAGAAAGTTTGTGTCGAAGACAAAATAGTGGAAATTGACACTGCACCCAAACGTAGAATAAACACTTCTGAACCAAATGCTAGTACAGATAAAGACATTGTACCATCTGTTAAATCTGTAGAAAAAGAAAATTCAAGCAAAGTATTGGACAAGACACAGTCTAGTGATTTGAATAATAGAAGAAGGAAGTCTAGTTCACCATTAAACAAAGCACAATCTACTGAATCAGTTAACAAGGCACAATCAATATCACCAATAAACAAGGCACAGTCTAAAGAGCTTGATGATAAAGATGTCGAACTTATGGATATAGAAGATGATGATGAAGTTCATGAAGACTTTAGGTAATTTATTAAATGTTTTGTTGTTTTTTTTGTATCAATTTATTTTGAATTTATTTCCAGTCTAGTTTAAATGAGGCAACAAAGAGTGGTTCTACTCTAGATGCCAGAAATTAAACACAAAGTAGCCCCTGAAGTTCCCCTACAGTTTAGCTAAATAACTGCAAACTTTAATGTAGAATTTTGACCCATGTCTGATTAACAACCTATTTAATAGCTGAGAGAAAATAGTAACATTGTAATATTTAAAAGTGTCATTTTTTTGCAGAGCTCTGCAGAGTTTATACTATAGCTTCCTACACAATTAAATGGAAATATGTTTCATTCAAAGTCTTGAAAATGGCCGTGTTCTCACTCTCTTATAAATTCAGTATAAACTAAAGTTTTTGATTCCATTTTAAACTGATCAAATTGAGGTCTAAGTTAACCAGTTATTAAAAAAACAAAATTGTTTTCATCATATGTTATCATCATACCCTATTCCTTATATACTTTTACCAACAGTTCAGGTACAATGGATATGGAATCGGGCTTACCGTCAACCTTGGAGTCTAGTTTACCATATAAGAACTTCGCAAAACCTCCAGATGTAGACAATATTGATGAAGTTCCCTCAAGCAGCAAGATTGCAGAGAAATTTTCTAAGAAGGTATGCTTTTAATCCTTAACCTGCCGAATTTCTTTACTTTTCAGATCTGATGTATATTAGTAAATATATTTTATGTCTTTGTTATTGTAGGTAAATAGCTTTAATATTAGCTAATCTTTCTTGTAATTTCACTAATTTGTAAACCGACTTTAAATTAAGTTTCTTGTATCTTGTAATGGGCTTTTCCAGCTTCTGTTTTTGGAACTGTTAGTCATCAATTTTGGATGAAAATTTAAGTTTGTTAGCTAACAATATAGAACCTGGTCACTTGCAAAGAACATTTGTAGACTACAGACCTTCGAACAAAATTTTATATGGATTTCTACAAGAACAGATGTCAATAAAATGATTGATTTGGTGTCTTAAGTGCAGAAAGAAAGGTTATTTTCATTTATTTTGGTACCAAATTATACCGCTTTGTGCGAATTACTATCGCTGCATGTTCAATTTTCACACAATTCAAACAATGTTCTCAAAAACCACAAAATGTAGGACAATGCACTTTGTAATGTCATTTGAAGAAAATTTATAAATATTTTCTGATATTTATGAATGGTTTTGTCCAGATTAAAAGATGGACTATTTCATTCATGATATTTACTGTGGTTTTAACATATTTTGTGTTGTTTATTTTGTTGCTTGTGTTTTAGTTATTGGAAAAGATACAGGAGACCGTAGATGAAATGTGTTCCGAGGTTATAAAAGAAAAAAGTGATGCGAAATCTGTAGAATCAATGAACCAAAAACTGAAACAGGCGAGGTGGAACTACTTTGCCGAGTTGAATGAGCTGAAACATAACTTCCGTAAGATCGTTTAATCTTTGTTTTTGCTGAATTTGTTAAATGGACTTTCCCTCCTTTTAATTTGGGACTGTCCATTGTTGCTTGAAGGTGTTTCAGTATTTAAACTGAACCAAATATTGAGCAGACGGCATTAAAATATAACCTGGATATTGTCACCTTAGTGCAGACTAGGTCAACTCCTGGAGTTGACCTGTTGCTGCACTGAGGTGCAAAATAACTTGTACTACTGGCATAATGATGCCCTTTTTAGTATACATATAATTTGTTATCATCAAATGACAACATTTGATAATCTCAAGTTGGAGTATGGATACAATTTAAAAACAATTTCTTTCTGTGGCTTGTCTGAAGGGAGATGTGAGTTCTCTCCCTTATATAGCCTAAATCCTGATTTTAATTTTCATTGGTCATTGAGAAAATAATAACATGAAAACATACTTTATTTTAGAATGTTACATTTGTGATGTCTAACACTTGCATCTATAACACCATGCTGACAGTTTATATCACAAAATGCTTCTATATGTACTTGCTATCTAAGTTGATATTTATTGTTGATGTTAGTTTTGATATACACTGCAACCACATTATAACGCTCGGTTAAATATCACATTATAACAAAGTTGTGATATATAACGCTCATTGCGAAATTACCGCATTACCCCACCCACCGCTGATACATGTAACGCTAATGATTTTAACTTACCGTTAATGAATTTCGATAATTTTTTTTAAACAATGTAATAGGTAAACATGTATTATTTTGTCAAATATGACAAATTATATTTAAAAAAAAACAAAACAAAAAAAACAAAAAACAAAAAAAACGACCAGAAAACTTTTGAAAGAAAAACATAAATCACAATTGTAATAAAAGTAAGCCATTTATCTGCTGTCTCTGTAACTTTGGAGCCAAGGCCTATAAGGGTTATACTGAAGTTAGCTTTATAATAGGGCTAGCAGTGTTTGTATTGATACAAAATTTTCCATCAATATCAACCCTACCACTTGTAAGAGTTAAAGCATGGAAATACCGCCTCCGTGGTCGAGTGGTTAGAGTTGATGACTTCTAATCCAGTTACCTCTCTGGCCTGGGTTCGATCCCCGGGAGATGCTTTGGTAGTTTAGCGCGGAGGAAGGTAGTCAAGTACTGGTGTAACTCTCCAGGAACGATGGTTAGGAAACTACCCGCCTATATGACTGAAATACTGTTGGAAAAAGGCGTAAAATGACACAAACAAACAAACAAAGCATGGAAGGAGTTTAATGATCATGTTTTTACAATTTTCTTGACTGGTTCCTTGTATTTTTCAGAGCTTACAATGTTTGAGATGAAGTCGGGCTGGGATTCAGAGAAAGATCAGATTGTTAAAGCTCTAACTACAAAACTTCAGACAGAGAAAGAACTTGCCATTAAGGAAGCAAAGAAAAAACAATGGGTAAATTGTTCATATTCATGTGCATATATGAGTGGGTATTTGTGAACAGGTACAAAAATTCTGGTGAATGAGTGCATTTTGGTTAAATGTCAAATTATTTAGGATGAATTTAGTGTTATACCATAGGTCCAATTACTCCAAAGGAGTGTGCTTTGGGCTATTCACAAAGTACTATGATTTGGCCTTGTTTTCAAAACAATCAGATAAATGCATTTGTTTTGGTAATTGTCATAAAAATTAACTTCAGTATATGATAATTATAAACGGGTATAGCTTTCGGTATATAATGGTTGTGTACAGTTATAGCTATTTACAGTGACAGCTCCGACTTCCAAGAAGTCAATGTTTCTATTTTTGCGTAGGTGACTGAAGCAATGCTTGGAGGTTTACTTAAGGTCTTCACCAGTAAAGATTAAAGTCAGTTTATGACCTTAACAGTTTTTGTGTGAGCTAAAAATCAACTATAAGGCAATATAAACTTTACTTAGCTTGAGTTTTTAGAATTTTTTTTATGCCATTTAGAAAGCCTTTTGTTCATAAATTGTGATTAAAATTTGTGAATACAGGATTTTTTTTTCAGGATTTGTAAAATATTGAACTTTTTCCCATTATGTATGATATGAACTAGGATATTTAATGATATTACAGTGTGCTCAATGTGGAAAAGAGGCTATATTTTACTGCTGTTGGAATACTAGTTACTGTGATTACCCGTGCCAACAAAACCACTGGCCTCAACACATGCATACCTGTCTACAAACAAATAAAGATAAAACATCAGCTGTGAACACAACTAGTTCAGTAAATGCAGGTAATGATAAAACGTTTTATGATCGTGACTTATTTATAGCACCTGTAAATTAATCTATTTTCTTCTGAAAGATGCTTCATATCTGTGTAATGACCTGCCAACATTTTCTGACTAGCTAAATAATGCTTTTTTTATTAAGATAATTGAAGCAGTCGTCTAATTTTAGGATGACTGCTTTTGGATTGAGATATCATGAGCTTGAATCTTGCATACTGCTAGCTTCCTTGCTTAATTTCATCTATATGTTAGTTTAGAGGCAGTCCTAACTAGGTCAAGTCCTTTAGTCTCCCAAGGGTGATGGGTTGATAGGTATCTATAGGTACAAGTATTGAGGCCCAGAACTAAGGCTTGCCTCCTTACATCAATGTGTAAATGCAGAGGGGATGTGAAATTATATATTTTTAACTGTTTTCTGAGGGAAGGCATTAATGATTGACACAAAGAAAAGCTTCAATCTGGACTTGAATCAAAATAAAACATAGATATGAAAAATATTTTAAGCTCTAATTTTTGGAGCTTTTGTAATAACTTAGTGATTGCAGCTTTTTTTTTTGTTTATTGTCATAAAAATCTATACTAACAATATTATTATTAATGCAATGATACTTAATATGTGGTTTCATTTTAATGATTTCTACCTGTCACGTCAAGATCACTGGCACCTGTATAAACAAAACATAAAATTATGCCTTTAAATCAAAGTGCAGTTTACTATCCAGCACTGAGACAAGTGCAACACGCTGCAACTCCGAAAGCTTTTGTTTATTATTTTGATAATTTATTGGTAGAATGTACTTTGCACACAAGTAAAAATTATATATTTAACAGGTCAAAAGGGTCAAGGTTCAAATGTTACTCCATCATCAGCCAGTGCTCCTGTGTCAGCAACAACAAATGTAGGGCCTCTTACCTCAGTCAGTGGTGCTAATCCACCTGCAGTAAGTACTAGTACTCCAGCAACGTTATTTTACCCCATATTACAATTATTTCTATTATTTTTATTATGATAATGCATTGAGGGTTATTATGACAATCACACAACTTTAGTATTTACTCATTTTGCTTTGAAATGCTTTTGAGATAGTTGCACACTTTGAATTTTCATTATGTTCGGCCATAACATCTTGTATGCCATTAATTAGTTAACTTTCTGACTTAATTCTATTGTACTAGTGAATAAAATCTGTCTTAAACAAATGTGATTACTTGCAATCTATTCCTCATTTGAACATCATTTTACAACAAGTGTTTACTTGTATACATTATGCAATTCTGTTGTAATGATGCAATATTATTTATATTTTATATCTTAAACTGGCACACCTTCAGATAAGTAAAAGTAAAACTCAAACTTAAAGAGAAATATGTCTAAAGTTTAAGAGGGTGTATGACTATTCACAATTAAGGTGTAACATTGAATATTGATTTTTTTGTGTGCAAAACTTTACCAATTTTATTCTTCTTATAACCAAAATTTTACTCTCTTTTTAAACAGAGAAAGAGAAATTCATGCATATTTTAACGAGTTAAAAGCAGTAGCAAGCTTATTAAGCAATGTAAAAATACCTAATTTGTATGCTTAACAACATTTTTACTCATTGTAACATTTTTTTGAGATTTCATAAATTGTTTTCAAAAATCTGGAGCAGTGCTGCTTTAAGAAATATTTCATGTCTTAAACCCTAATCCTGCTAAATTTATGAAAATGGACTTGTCCAGCTTCCATTTTTGGAACTATCCATTATCAATTTAGGGGATTTCATTTTGAAAGTTTAAAGTTGTTCAGCTGACAGTATAGAAAATGTTCAGATTTATGGACGTTATTGGCAGGCCAGGTCTATATACTGGTGGTAAAAGGCAACTCATTTTTGGTGTTCCAGTATGTTAAAGGTTGAATATATTGTCATTAAGGATAATTTAGACTGTGACTACATGTATAAAGCCAGACCAACCTTGAGTTCTGTGCAGTCTTGACTAGGCTAGACATTATACTGTTGGTTGATACAAGTATTATGATACCTATATCTTTCCTTTGTAACAATCTTTGTTTATGACTGTTTCAAAGAAGTGAATCATACAAAATGAGCTTTATATGGGATAAATGTTTTTTTCCAAAATCTTTGCATGTGGAATTCTTGTATCTATAATGGATTGTTGCATGAGAACTATACTAGTCTTGTATTGTATTTGGGAACTTTTCCTCAATGCTTGTAGGAACCAGATCATTTGAGACGACTTCAGGATAATCTTACGATGGCGTTACAGCGTGAAGAAGAAAAGCGGGGTGAAGGTCGGCCAGGGGTTAGTCCGAAGTTTAACCCACCAATGTCGTCTCCGCTCATGCAAAACATAAGACAGGTCCGTATAGCATAGTGTGTTATAGCTGTAAAAGTCGTCATATAGCTTAATTAGTTATGATTTTTACTGTAAACATACCAAATGTCAAAAAAAGGTGACATGGCTCTTTGGTTAAGGTGCATGCATCTCAACCTAGACAGTGTGGTGGATTCAAACCCTACTTTAGTTTCAAAAATGTTTCCGCTTACCAGTATATCACTAATACTAGTTATTTCCAAGAGGTGGACTTGATAAGAGCTTGAATTAATGTTAGAAAAAAATATCCAACCATTGTCCTGCAACAAGTCTTTGCCACCTGTGTAGGGATAGCATCAGTGCGTACATCAGTGCAGTCTTACCAGGCTCTATACTGTTGACTGTTGGTTGTTTTATGCTTGACTATTAGAAAAATAGGGAGAGCTTTTGTACTCTACCCAGTGTTGGCATCACAGTTTGGTTAAGTTTTTGGATACAAAATTACTGAAAGTAATGGGTTGAAATGTCACACACTTGTTCCGCTGTGATTATCTAACATGATGGGCAAAGGTACCATAAAATTGAGTTATCCTTTTTACAGAGTTATGCCCCTTGCTTTAATCTTGAGCACTGAGAATTGTCAAGCATGCTGTCTTTGGGACATTTCTTGATTTTTTTATATTGAAATCCCTTAAAGTTTGAATGGATTATTAAAAAAACTCACAGCTTGGAAAACATATTATCTAAATATAGCTGGTTAAGGATTTGACTGAAAAGATGGTTTATGTGGGGTGGAGTGGGGCATGAAGGATTTAACGGTCTCTAAACATCAACAAACATTTTAAAATCTCATTTGAAGCTAAATTTGTACTCTGAAATATTTCTCTGCTGTAAACTAGTTCTGGGAATATTCTGCTGTTATGCATATATCTACCTCTTTCTTAAGCCTCTATGCATAAGTTGTAATATATTCTGCTTTATTATATGTTATTATTGCTTCATGTATGTCTTATCCCATCTGTTCTTAAGGTGTACATGTATGTCCAACTAGGGATATTTAATTTTGTTTTACTTAGAAACCAATTTATTGATTTACCTATCTTTGGCCTAAAAGATTACCCATCCTTGTCTTTATGGATTATAAAGTTTCTTTAAAAATCCTGATTGAGAACTGAGATTATTTACAAATTTTATGCATATTTGATATAAAAAAGGTTTTTGTTTTTTTTTACGCTGGATCATTATAGTGTAACATTAATGTTTGTTGTTATAGCCGGGATCAGCACCTGGAAATATGATGTTCAACATGCAACAACAGATGCAGCCAAATATGTTACAACAATTACAACGAAATAGATTCCCAAGTCAACAACAGGTAAATTTTATTTTATTTTTTGTAAAAATTAAATGAAGAGGTTTTCTTTAATGACTGCAATACATATACATACTTTCCTATAAAAAAAATATTTTAACCCATTTTGGTTTGGATTTATGCCATCAGTAAAGAATTGGGATAACTGGCACAGGGTACGTACCTCAATATGGATGGCAGGGGATTGTTATCTTGGGATGGCTGACTGGATCCTCCGGCGTGATGAAATTTCTCCATGACTACCTGTACCCAGGGTCATTGAGTCTAATGATTCAAATAATAATTTGTCTTTCATTGTGATTCAGAAATCATGTGGGATAAGTTGTCATTAACTTTTGGAGAAATTGGTACATGTAAGTACTGGTAAGATATCCAGGATAGATGGTTAGGTGAGGCGACCATGGAAATATATGACGAAATCTGTGTTGAAATCAGCATTAAAAACAGATATAAAACAAAATGGTTCAGCTGCTCATTGTAAGGCTGATATATTGAAATCCCTCTCATAATAGTTAACAGTTCTATTGAGACAGCAAGTCCAATTTTCATATAAAGTATTGACAGAGTTAGTGCTTGTTCAGGGTTCAATAATGATAAATCTATGCTATAAAAGTACAGAGCAATGTTACTGTTTGCTGGTCCATTCAATGTTTGTTAGGAAGCTTTCAAGAAGGTTGTCCTACATAGGTGTCTGTTTATGGCAGGAATCATACAGGAAGTAAACCCATATCCTTCCTCCACTTGTGAAGAAAATGACCAATGATCATTACAGTGTCGATGTGACTTAAAACCTGGATAAAAAAAATTGGAACAAAATTCTAACTAATGTTTTTACTTCTAGATGGCGATGCAAGTACAGCAACGTTCAAATCTGCCTGTGTCACAGCAGCAACAACAAGGTAACCCACGCATGATGTTCTCACAGCCGCTCATACAACAGACAATATACCCACTTCAAGTTCAGCCTCAACAACAGATCGCCCAACAACAACTTGGAGGGACAATTTTGTTTCAAAATGCACAACCAAATTTAATGACTTACGGAATGCCTCCACGTCCGTACTGACTTTGAAAAAGAAATTGTACGGGACCAAGTGAACTTTTTAAGTAAGAAATGTTAAGTGCTACTAAAATATGGCATTATGAAATAGTCCTGGTTTGGTTTTGACGAAAGGAATTATAATTCTAATATCCAGAAATGTCACCGAGTTCAGAACTTTGCAAATGTGACATTACAGCCTGTCCAGGGAATCGATACAGTCAAGGTCTCGGAGATCAAAAATATGGATAATATTTAGTTAGAATTGTAGTTGTATTCTGTTGTTTTCATTTGCAGATTTTCTAAGAATTTTTTGTGTCCCATGAAATAATAATGAGTATGAAAAATGTTCAAATCAAAGATATGCATATGAATTTTTTTTTTAATTCAATGAATTTTGGGAAGCAGTTGATAGAATAAATAAATGGCTAATTTTATTTAGGAAATAGTTCATACTTCTATGTGATCTCATTAGTCAAATGCATTAGGAATGATTATTGGTCAGACACTGTTTGAGCCGCGTCATGACAAAACCAACATAATGGGTTTGCGACCAGCATGGATCCAGACCAGCCTGCGCATCCGCGCAGTCTGATCAGGATCCATGCTGTTCGCTTACAAACCCTATAACAAGTAGACACTGATAGCGAACAGTATGGATCCTGATCAGACTGTGCGGATGCGCAGGCTGGTCTTGATCCATGCTGGTCGCAAACCCATTATGTTGGTTTTGTCGTGACGCGGCTCATTTTGTTTTTCATAACTCATTGTAGTTTTAGCTCACCTGAGCACAAAGTGCTATGCTGGGAGTTAGCTTTTGTGATGTCAATGTGCCTGTCATTTGTTGTTGTCTATAAATTAAACCACTACATAGATTTTGACCAAGTTTCACAGAAATGATCTATAGATGGGCCTCTACAAAAGTCTTATAAATCATATCCCTGGAGTCAAATTGACACTACCCTGGGGGTCACTTAGTTTATAAAGACTTGTACGGAAAAAAGCAATGCCCAGAGATTTGATATTTGGCAAACTACATTGCTACAGACTTAGTGAAACTCATTGAAGCTTTCTTGTGTAAATAACTTGAATCTTTAGAATGTACACTGTTAATTCATTAATTGTGCATGTTATAGTATATGGTAAAGAAGGGGAATGGTGGCCAAGGGTGGTTCCAGGAAGTGCACTAGAAAGTGATTAATATATGTTGCAAGAACTTGTTTCGCAATCAAGCTAAAATAAATATGTTAAACCTATTAAATATATATAGTATATGGTTGCAAGGATGACAGTTAAACATCATGTGAAACTACTATGAATACCCTTTGGTCCAGTTTTTAAAATAGTTATGATTATTTTAAGAATTGCAAAGGAGTCCCATTAAAGATTGTTCATGATTTTCTGTAAAAATAGTTGATGATTGGCAATATGACAATTAAATATCAAATACAACTGCATTGGATATCACTTAAAACTGCAAATGATAGCACTTAAGCATGTTAGTGATGTACATTGTATTTCCATATTGTATATAGAAATAGTTAATGAATGTCCCAGTTCAAATACCCTCGTTCATGATAAAAATAGTTCATTACACAATGCCTTAATAACCACATGGCTTTCTTTCTTTCTTTTTTATAATGGTTCATGATTTGATATACACATTTATAAATGCCTCTATGAATGTTGAATTTGATTGATAACTCAAAGGCTATGTTTAATGAATATTCATATTTATAAATCAGTTCATGATATTTGGTGTTATAAGATCAAGTTCATGATATTATATTGTTTTATAATATAAGTTAATATCAATATAAATTTTACCATGTTGTAACCATATAACTTGTTTATATACAACATTTGAAATAAGTTTATGTTTCTTCAATGACCAATTCTTTTCATTTAGTTACCAAACTTTCATGGCATCTTTGTAATTATTTGTATAATTCCATGCTCAATTAAATACAAATATTACGATAAAAAGTGTTTTTGTTTCTTATTAATTTTCCTCCTTATATATAGGGCTTGAACCAGGTCATTTCTTACTGCATATAGTGAATATCAACAATGTAGAATACGGTATTATTGCCTTTAGCTCTTATATTTTGCTACTCTGTATAGAATTGTTTGGTAATTACTAGTCATTACTACAAGCCAAGATCTTGTGTATTCAGTTTAAGCAGTGTTAACCCTTACCATATTAACTATCTGAAATGGACTCCTTCATCTTTCTGGTCATAATCTGGTGTATTCACTTTTAGGGAAAAGTGAACGGTGAATTACAGATGTGCTGGCTAACCTTGGCCTGCACTGGTCACAAGGGTAGAGTGGGTTGCTGCTGGCAGGCTAAAGATTAATGATTGACCCCAAGTCTGTGGTAATCAGTCAAATCCATTTGCATAATTATTTCAACACAATTGTATGGATACCAAATTCACTTGATTTGATATTCTATTCTAAAGCAAGACAAGTACATTATACAAGATTCAGCCAATAATCTTTGAATTCATGTTGGGGGAGGGCATAAGATATGGAAGATAAAGCTTCATTCAGGATTCCACAGACGAAATGGATGAACAAATTACTTGGAAGTGGAGAAAATAATCTAACTTTCCTAATGCCAACAGTGTTAAGGTCAAATAGTATCTTTCCACAAAAACCTTTAGGTACCCTTCTGATTGTTATTTCAGGCATCAAAGTAAATATAAACTGATAATGTATAATCTAACTGGCTTATTCCCTCATGTAAATGAATCATTTATTTATTTTGCTCAGACATTTAACTGATCTTGCCTGTAACTACATGGCCTAGACCTTTGGATACAAAGTCCCTGGTTGGATAAAACTCACCCTAGTGAGTGATTTCATGTCGGCAGTTCAAGCCACTCGGCCACTGATGCTGCAATGAATTTTCCAGGGAAAGAGAAATAAGCAAAACTGAATATTTTCTTTACACCACCAGTGTTTTTATATTTTCTTTAAAAAGAAAAAAATGGCCCAGTAATAAACAAAATACATTATTACATATAAAAGATTTTTCATAATTGTGAAAATTGATAAAAACAAGAAAACTCCACCTGTAAGGTTAAAAGAAATACAAAATTACAACTTTTAACAAAATTTGAAGATGGAACAAAGGTTACTTACATGGAAAAAAGACATTGATTTCATGTCAGTTTACAGTAATTTTGAAAAAAAAAAAAGATCTGGTTCAGTTATTAAACAAGAGGGCCATGATGGCCCTGAGGTCGCTCACCTGTATATAGGCCGCCCCAACCCCCAGGGCTTTTATTTGCACAAACTTGGTAGACACCCATAAGAAAATGTTTCATGCTAAACATCTAAGCTCTAGCTCATTGGGCTATTTAAAAGAAGATTTTTTTAAAGTTTTTACTATACACATATAGTTAAAAACAATGACACGCCTGGGGCCGGGCCAGTTATGACCCCAGGGTTTTTATTTGAACAAACTTTGACACTTACTAGAATATGTTTCATGCTTAATATCTAAACTCTAGCTATTTGGGTTTTTTCAAAGAAGATTTTAAGTTTTTGCTATACACATATAAGGAAAATCAATGACCCCGGGGCAGGGCCAATTTTGACCCCAGGTCTTTTATTTGAACAAACTTTGTAGACACTCACTAAAAGATGTTTCATGCTTAATATCTTAACTCTAGCTATTTGGGTTTTTTCAAAAAAGATTTTTTAAGTTTTTGCTATACACATATAAGGAAAATCAATGACCCCCGGGGCGGGGCCAATTTTGACCCCAGGGCTTTTATTTGAACAAACTTGGTAGACACCTATTAGAACATGTTTGATGCTAAATATCTTAACCATAGCTCTTTGAGTTCTTTAAAAGAAGATTTTTAAGTTTTTACTATATGCATATATAGGGAAAAATCAATGACCCCCCGGGCGGGGTCAATTTTGACCCCAGGGCTTTTATTTGAACAAACTTGGTAGACACTTATTAGAACATGTTTCATGCTAAATATCTTAGCTCTAACTCTTTTGGTTCTTTAAAAGAAGATTTTTTTAAGTTTTTACTATATGCATATAGGGAAAATCAATGACCCCCTGGGGCGGGGCCAATTTTGACCCCAGGGCTTTTCTTAGAACAAACTTGATAGACACCTATTAGAACATGTTTGATGCTCAATATCTTAGCCATAGCTCTTTGAGTTCTTTAAAAGAAGATTTTTTAAGTTTTCACTATATGCATATAGGGAAAATCAATGACCCCCCGGGGCGGGGCCAATTTTGACCCCAGGGCTTTTATTTGAACAAACTTGGTAGACACTCACTAGAAGATGTTTCATGCCAAATATCTAAGCTCTAGCTCTTATGGTTTTTTAAAAGAAGATATTTAAAGTTTTTTCTTTCGGTTGCCATGGCAACCAGAGTTCTGCATGGAATTAAATTCTTTGAACAATTTTTAAAGGTGACCACCAAAGGAACATTCCTGTGAAGTTTGGATGAAATTGGCCTTGTGGTTTATGAGGAGATGTCATTTAAAGTAAAAGTTTACGGACGAACGACGGACGACGGACGGACGGACGCCGGACGAAAAGCGATCACAAAAGCTCACCCTGTCACTTTGTGACAGGTGAGCTAAAAATTTATAAGCGTAACTTGTAATAATTTCATTTAGATATAAGTTTTATATCAAGACTGAAAGCTTATTTTGAACAACCCTCTAGTCCATTCCTGGAACAAACCAGTACTGGTGTGGATGTGATATCAGGAAACACTAGTCCTCTCCTTGGAACTAACCAGTGTGATAACAGGAAACATTTCCAAGAACTTTACAGTGCTGGTGTCATTGGAGAAATCATTGTTGTGGCCCAGTAGAGATCAAACCCATTATCCCTGGGTTGGGACATATATTGTGTTTTACATTGCAAAAATACAGTACCGCCTAAAAGGTCATATGGCAACTTTCCAGCTTAACTGGTGGAGGGAGACCTTGGGTGCCCCTTGATGCATTATTTCAGGTACCGGAGTGGAACTAACGATTTTTCTTATGCTAGCTGGATAGGGGCAAGGGGTTTGGAGTCAGCGACCATAACCAATTGGCAAGAAACTATCTTGTTAGGTCATCGTTTCCTGATCAGTTTGTTCATGTTTATCAAATTGAGCCAATAATCTTTTCAACACTTCAATAATTCTTAAGCGAATATTCAACTGAAAAATAAAAGAAAAAAGAAATGAATAATAATTTTCTGCTGACATGAAATATTTAGTAAAAGTAGCTTAAAATGATTTATCAAAAATAACTGAAGCCTTATAATTGCTTGAAAATTTTGTCAGAATAAAATTTGCCAAACTGTATTTTAATAGTCTATGCAAAATATATTGATAATAAACAAACATTTTAGCTAAAATGCAATGTATAACAGTAAAATGTTCTTTGAACTACAGTGACAATTGTCTGCTTTGAGTTAATAACAAAACTACAAATTTCAGGGATAATTTTCTTTCAACATTAACATGGTAAAGTTACAATCTAGTACATACATATTGCATAGCATCCGTGGTAATCCATGCGTACTTATTACGTATATTAACTTCATTTGTATGTTGTTCAGCGAAATCAGTACCCTTGAGTTTCGACAATGTTTACATAGAAAAGAGCACACCACTTTCAGAATTAATGAGTGATAGTTTAACATTAAAGATGAAAAAAAGTTCCTCCAATTGAGAACATCAGCTGTTCTATTTTAACTACCTGGCTATGACACTCGTGCAAATATCACTTGGCTAACTCTAGCTATACAACTGGTGCTCACTCTATGAAACATATTTCAATGCTACACACAAACAATTACATGTACCTTTGGTTTTTGTTTTGGACATTACAATGATGTAAGTTTACGAATTATAATATCTATATACACATAATGACACATGAAGCCTCAGAAATGAATACATTTGAGCCGCGTCACGACAAAACCAACATAATGGGTTTGCGACCAGCACGGATCCAGACCAGCCTGCGCATCCACCCAGTCTGATCAGGATCCATGCTGTTCGCTTACAAACCCTATAACAAGTAGAGAAACTGATAGCGAACAGCATGGATCCTGATCAGACTGCGCGGATGCGCAGGCTGGTCTGGATCCATGCTGGTCGCAAACCCATTATTGTTGGTTTTGTCGTGACGCGGCTCATTTAGATAATTGATTTACAGCATGTTAGATGCTTAGTACATAAAGAAAACAGTTTTGAATGTGAAATAATTTGTCATATAAGTAGCAAAACATAAACAAAGTGGTATTTTGTCTTCTACACAAATCACTATAGCTTTATGAAATAAAAGAAGCAAAAGATGGACAATGCATGAGTAACATTTCAGAAAAATTGGAACAGTACAACAAAAATAAAGCACTTCAGAAATCAAAATAATAGTATTTCTGGAGCTTAATGGAACTTAAAGATTAGTATAAAACATTGTGATAAAAATGGCAGCATTATTTCAGGACTTTGTGAAAAAACTATTCTTCCTTTATGTTATATGACTTACAAAGCCCTTGTTATGGTAGTTTTGCAAGTTTGCTGGATTTCTAAAATCATAGTCACTGGTACATAAATAAAAAATATATAATTAAAGGAGCTCCACTCAGGTAAAAAAAAAGCCTAAATACATAAAATTTGAAATTCTAACATAGAGAAAGTGAGGCACATAAATGGAAAAATCTGCAAAAGATAGTAAGGAAATATACTCAGAATTAAATTTTGTATCAATTTTGTGTGCAATTTTTAGCCTGATTTGAGCAAAAAGCATTGTAACGCTTTTCATTTTGGGGTCATTTTGCATAATAAAAATTATTACTCTGGGGTGAGGGAAAGGTCTGAAAATTTCCACATAACTTATTGGTCCAAACTTCACGCTAAAAACCCTCAGTGGAGTCCCTTTGAGCATTTGCGTAAAACATTCTATTACACTCTTATTACATATACTAGTAAATACATACACAAAGAAAAAGAAATATTTTCCCTCCCTGGAAGTGCCAGAAAATTTTCAATTCTTTATAATAAATCGTAATACAGGATTTTATAAGTTTGTAAATTTACAAAATGGAATAATTCAATCAAAAATGTATGCTTCAGCTCCATGTCTTGGTAGTTTGATCTACCTTTTGAAAATCTGGAGAAGTGTGCAAAGTTTAATGTGTTAATCGTAAGTGGTTTTGAAGGTGGTCTATCACGCAATTAATCAATCTTCAATTAAATTAAGCCTATGGTACAGTTGTGTGTTTCTGTTTAAATTCACTTTTATTTCTAATTCTTTATAATATAAGAAATTAAACCGAAATAGCATTGAAATCATGACTAGCTTAACTTAAAACTAAATATTTCAATCCAAGGTATATTAATCAAGAAAGGCATTTTACAATCTAATCTACATTTTGTGACAATTTTCCTGCATAATTCAGTCTTTCAAACTCTTTCTATAACTCTGTAAATATTATAGTACATCACAACGGTAAGGGTGATTTTCATTTGAAGATGTGTAAAAAAAATATATATACACAAGCTGTTGTAAATACTGGTAAAGAAATCACTTATCGTTAACCATTTAACCTGCCAAAAATCTTTTCCGCCCTTAACCTGTTGGAACTAAATGTGACTTGACTTTGTCACTAGTATAGAGGCAGGTGAGCCTGCACAACCTTGCATGCTAACATGGCTTTATACTGTTATATAAGCTCATTTTTTATATCATATTTCTTTGCACTTTGAAATGGACTATTTCAAATTAAAAACTGGGCAAATCAATTAATTCGGCAGGTTAAGTGTTATACTACAACAGTACAGAACAATGAAAGATTAAAAACAATTTCTACCATTAAAATAAACTAACTTTCCACCAGTATCATAACAAGCACAAATATGGCAAATGAAACAATCGTTATATTGTTCTTGTTCACATCTCAAAGTAAAAACTTTAACACATTAACAACATTTATAAAAGTTGCATAGAAAATCTAAATATGTTACATAATAATATAAACAAGAAATGGTTCAGAATGAAAATCTGATTAATTAAAGAGTTAACATACAATGAACATCATGAAGTAAACTAAAGACTTAACAATAGCAAAGAATTCAAATTTCAAGCAATATTATTTCAGTAAATTCACAATAGAACATGTTTTTTTTTTAAATTTTTTCATTTCTTTGTCAGAGTAATGTAAATAGTAGTGCACATGGCTGAATGAGTTTAAACAAATGCTTAACAATTGTCAAGTGACTTCCACAAGCTGTGAATACTTTGTAGAAAGAACAGCCCCAGTTTAAATTATGAAATAGTCAATTTACTGGGTTGAAAATGCAAAAGAAGTCCAGAACTATACATCAACAATATAGATTCTGTAATGAGATAGATGATAGAGTATGTTTGAGCAGACTAACATGACTTTATATACAGGCGAAGAAAACCTGATCTAATCTGATCTAAGTATTCATTATTTCAGAAAGAAAGAAAACTATATACAAGTAAAATGGTTTCCTGCGGGGAACATTTATAATGATATAAAGATATTTCATTTAACTATTTTCAACATTGTTTGTTTTTTTTTCTTGGGGGGGGGGGGGGATATATAAACGTTTGTATCAGGAATATAGTTGACAATATTCGATCAATATAGAAGAAGTTCTTTGGAAACTGGTGACCGTTGATTACCGAAGCAGGTCGAACATAAAACAATTATTTCTTTGTAAGAAAATGATTAAATAGGCCTACCACTTTATGAATAATTTAGAGCAAAAAAAATTAAATAAAGTAAACACACGTACAAGTTTACGCAAAAAATATCTCTATTTATTATGGCAGATTCCACTACGAATATTTTAATTTTGTAGATTTTCAGTATAAACAATTTATTGTTTGTAAAATTTGAGATACATATTAAAGAAACATTGATAATTTTCAATCACATCATTCAACTTTCCACCTTAAATGGTAAAATAATGATAGAAAATTAGAAATATCACGCAAAAATTTTTTGTTCTTAATTAGGTGTAATTCTGACTAATTCCCTAGAGGTAAATCCGTAACGTATCGGCAAACGGTATTTAGCCAGGTTTTTGAAAAGGTCAATTAACCAATCATGTACGGTTTACAGATCACATGCTCCTCCATGTACTGAAAACATGTCACGTGCTCCTCCATGCCTCAAAAGTTAAACGCGTACCAATACCCTGCGGTCTCCAGACCGCAGGGAATAATAATAAATTTTTGAATAATAAAACTTTCCGTTACCAACAATATTAATGTCATGGCACCCTGCAAATCTGTGTTTCTTTTAGAGGGGATGTCGATGAAAGATGTCATGCCAGAGGTGTGTTCTCTCAGACCAAGAAAAGGCAAATATACCCTCATTAAGCTTAGACTATCTGTATAGACTTGTCAAACTTGTTTATCAAATTGGCTACTAAGTTTTTGTAACCGGATTCTGAAACCCTTTAAATTTACAAATGAACAGTTCCAAATGCAAAGCAGGGTTAGCCCATTTTATAAATTTAGCACATAAGGTTTAACTTTAAAGACTAGCAACTGAAGCCCCTAAAACTACAAATGGACAGATCCAAATTCAAAACAGAGTCAGTCCATTATATAAATTTAGAAGTGTCAGGGTTACATATGCAGGCTAGCACCTTCTTTATGACTGGTTAAATTTTACATTGAACATAATAATCATTAATGATAACATTGAAATTAATCACTTGTAACTAAAATAATGCATGCATATAACTACTTTAATATTTAATTGGTCCCATTTTTTCATCAAGGTACATTTGTTATATAAAACCCAGGCTTTGTAATGGGACAAAATGTTCAACAGGATGAAAACATAAAATGCTTACAAATAATAAAAATAATTAAGCTTACAATTCAAGGAGAAAAAAAAGTAGCAAAAAATGCTACTGGAAACTAATTCTAACTGATGCAACCAGTGGAGATGTCCATGCTGGCTGATCATGGTAATCATTGTTTCATATTTAGTCAGAAGATATTTTGGAATTTTCCTTAAAAATGCTGAATTGTTTTGTTCAGATTGATAGACAGACAAATCAATTTTAAGATATTTAGTGTGGTTAAGGTATAACACTAGAAATAAAACACATCTACAATGTAAATCACTTGTGTCAAGTCAGTAAGGTCAGTGGCCATCATATTCACTTGCTTTTACGACAGTTTTTAATTAAAACCGTGATTGAACTGTAAACTTAACTTTTTTGTATTAATTTTGTTATGAAAGCTTAATTTGATCTCTATTATTATGAAAAACAACTACAACAATTTATAGAAACTCAAAATAGGTTATGTTTGTAATATTTTCTTTCTTTTTATATATATAAAACTAATAATATCTGTCATAAAATGTTGTGGTTCAGATTGAAATAACTGTAGAGGGTATCCATCCATTGAGTGGTTATAAGGCTTGCCTCAAACACAGTTCATTCACAACATGCATTATGTTTGACCTCATTTTAAAGCATGCAACTCACCTGGCACTCCCATGTTGATGAAATTTCCAGCATGGGTAAAAGTAACGGAAACACCAGTCTGATATACAAGAATGGATTTTCCATTGTTAATGTCAGTGTTAGGAAGTGTTATCTGCACCTTACATGTAATATGAATATCTAGGTGCAACATGAGTCGCTTTCTCTAAATGATGTCATTCTTTTTATTGAAAAACTTCAAAAGGTCAAAGTTCATGCAGATTGCTACTACATGTATTGCTGTTTATACTTTTGTGAAATGAATGTTTGTAACATGACTTTGGATAAATAATAAAATATAATAAAAACAATTGAATATATATATCTATATATAATAATACTGTATATCTGTTATCAGGTTGCTTTTCCGAGCTCTATTTTCTTCTGTAATGCACGTGCTGAATGGTATATCATAGAATCTATAAGACCAGCCACTGAAAAATAAAGGTGCCATCATGAACTAAACATCCAAATATGACAGTCTGTAAAGCAAAATATACATATACATAGAGGATATTGAATAAGTGTAAGTTCAATTCTGAATTTATTGAACAAGTTGAATAAAATTATATTAGCGAGCATCTCGGGTTCATGATATTATTTTATTCAACTAAATCAGTAATGAACTTACACAAATTTAATATTCTATTAATCACATACAAAAAAAAACCGGTTTAAAGTGAAAAATAGTTATTTTTCATTGACACAACTGTAGTATAATGCTAATATTTAGCGCATCTTTCAATATGTTTGTAAATTGCAAATAATGTCACTTCAAAATATATGCATGGCTGTGCAATACCATTTTTACAGAGTCACAATGCCTGGATTTGTCAAAGAGCTCCGCCTATTATACAAAATATAATAGTCAAGATAAAAAGTACAACAGTCTATAATTTATTTGCTTCTGGACAAAACTATTAGAAATTTACAAAAAAGCATTTCTGAACACTGGTCTACATTTGTGTAATTATGCATTATCTTATAAATAGAAAAATAAATACCTGTGAAAATTCCTCCTATAATTGCACATACCCCTGTGAGAAAATGCATAAAAGATCTGAAAAAATAGTAAATACATGTATTTTATGAGCATAATTTCAGATTTCACTATGTATGTAATGTGATACCAGTACTATGAAACTGTTTTTAGAGCATTTCCTTATAATTGACCATAGTGAGTTTGTTTTTTGAAGATGTGCAATATCTTTTTTCTCTTTAAAGGATATACATGCAATCATTTACCTGACTATTTACAAAACACTAAATCGAACTTCCAAAAAAATTCTGGTTTTCATTGTCTACTTCAACACTTAACTTATACCAGTGAACTATTGTTTTTTTCTTGTTAAAATATATGACATGTTCAAACTTTCCTGATGTTGTAAATAAATGACTTTTTGATGCTGTTTGATTATTGGACAAAACTATCCACTATGTTAGGGAGTATTTCAAAATATGTACAGACTAGAATAGCAAACAGTGCAGACCATGATCATACTGCATTAATGTACCGGCTGATCTTGGTCTGCACTTGTAACATAATGGGAATAATAAGTTGCTGCCATTAACTAATAAAAGCACCACATTGACTTAATAAGAACTATTTTCATGGGTAATCTTTACAACCTGAGGTCAATAAAATAAGGTTACTCTGCAATTGAAAGTAATCAATATTTGACTCCTTTTTAACTTAATTACTATTTAACGACTAGCAATTCATATAGCAAAATATAAAGTAATACAGGACTGATATACACAATAAAACAATGGATCAGTACTTATTTCTTTACCTTCTTTTTTCTGTATATTTAACCATCATAGGTGAAAGTTCGTAGGTAACAAACATTCCTGGTAAACCTGAGTCTCCTAGTAAACCAATGACTTTTGAATGTTTTGTGGCAGAAAATTGGTTAGTAGCTACAGTCTGAAATAAAAAAAAAAAGAAAAATAGAAATCTCGTAATGATTATAATAATAATAATAATAATATTAATAATAAATGAATTGGAAATTTCACAGAGCATATAAAAAAGAGAAGTCGCAAGAATGGCACAACCAACTAATCTCAGCACATGGTAGCTATAGTAAAACAAGAGACATGCAGCAATTTCACAAAAGGGAGATAATTCAGTGAAATCCATGTTTGAAAGAAGTGTTTCAATCAGTGAACTTAAATACCTACCTTGAAAACACAGAAATTTTTTAAAGTTCACAAAGGGAAATTACTCAGTAAAACAAAAGTTGTCTGAGGAGCAGATACCTCCACTTTTCTTGATGCTGGATAGTAATTGCATATTTTTTATAGATGTTTTTGAAGAGATAAATTGACTTTTGACCTAAAAATGGAGATTTAAGGCAGAACTCTGCATCCATATGTCAAGTTTTAATGGCAGAACTAAAACTTAATCGTAAAAAGTTAACAAAGTTCTCTATAACCATTCTGTTTTGACCTGAAAATGTTTGTGCATATACATCTTAAGTTTGAGGTTCCCAGGACAATGCGCATTGACTTAAATGCCAATCTAAGTTTTGCTATTACAAGTTCTAGTGACCTTGGCCTTTGAACTGAAAATGAGTGCGAAACGTAGATCTTATGAAGGTACATCTACATAAAAATTTGAATGTCCCAGACATTGTTCTTTGATTCAAAGGCAAATTTTATGTTTTGTTATTACAGGTCCGAGTGACCTTTGACCTGAAAAAGGTGCTGCGGGTAGAACTCAGTGATTTACATCAACATTTTTTTAGTTTAATTATAATAGCTGTAAGTATTTGAAGTTATATAAGAAAAACTTAAGCACCATGACTATCAACCTGCCTTTTTCCTATTCTAAAAATCATGCTAGAGCTATGGGTATAAATTTGACTGTTACCAACAATCATGATCCCAAAGACAAGATTATATTCATTGTAACCTTGAGGCTGCTCACAAACCTTATTTACCTTGACCAAGGTAAATGCCAACACCAGGATAGCAGTGGCCTAGTGGTTAAGGTGTCTACCTCTCAAACCAGGGATCATAGGTTTAAGCCCATGTTTCCTCATATGATACCAGTATTGGTTAGTTCCAGGAAGGTGATTCTTTTTTAAAAATATTTTTAGTTGGGTTTACATTGCATTAACACAGGAGAGGTCATATTGCAAATCAGGTGCCCCTCTGTGCATTATTTCAGGCATGAACGGGCACCTGAGTAGAACCACTGACTTTCTTTAGCCATAAGCTAGCTGAAGAGTTTCTCACAGGAAGCTGATTTGTCGCAAAATGATCAATTTATGTTGCAAGAACTAGCACAAGTTTCACAATCCAGTTTAAACTGCTGCTAGTGCAAGCCATATGTTTTATTATAATACTGCACGTTTGTAACGTCGCTTTTCATTGGATAATCGTGACGTTTATATAGTTTTATATACACGGCTACTGTCGATTCATGAAGAAATCTTACTTTTTTCTCTAAAAAATGATGCGTGCTGTATAATAAATTCGTTATAAAGATAATTGACAGGTTATATGGCCGTATATAAACGGCTGTTTGCAATATAACCCTCGCCTAGCTGCTCGGGTTATATTTACAAATAGCCGTTTATATAGGGCCATATAACCTGTCAACAATCTTTATATATAACTAATAATATAAATAGTAATAGCTTAATTTTTATTTTATTTTTTTCATAAAATTTTTAATTTTGCCATCAAAACTGTATTATATGGTTTCTTCACAAAGCACACACAAAATAGCCTTGTATATGATTGTTTTTGCCTAATTAAAAAATATCTCTATGACTCTTTGACAAGTTTAATAAGTTACACTAATGATGGACTGGGACATGAATATTTTGAAACAATTGCCAATTATAGATAGTAAACGACATATACTAGTATGAAAAAAAATCTTACCACTCCATCAACATTTGTGTAAGTTGTTGGTACAATCTTGATAAAATACTGGAACATTGTTTGAGCTAAAAAAAAAAACATAATTTTTTTTATAGTACATGTCTTAAATGTAAATTCAGTCAATCACTTCCTGTTTTTCTAATCATATGAGACCTTTTTACTGTTGTCTTTAGTGCAGTAACAATAATACTGAATTTAAAAAAAAAAATAATAAAAAGTTGGGCCAAGCCGGGATTCGAACCCGGGACCTCGCGCACCCGAAGCGCGAATCATACCCCTAGACCACTTGGCCTTGACGACAAAAGGCGTTGATAAATAAGACTATATTGCTGACGTGTATATCAATTACACTTCGTCAATTTCCGTACATTGCCGAAAGTTACCGAGATTCGGAAATAAAAATGGTCTCCGTGTGACCTAGCACATTGCATGTCAAATCCTATGAAACATTTTTCACTTCATACGAAATAAAAAACGGTAATTATAGTTTAATACTGATGTTCTCTTTTTTCCTACAGTTAGTAATTGTTATAAATTAAAGCATACTCAACTAAGGGTTACTTTGCGACTTGTAAACTTAATTCGTCCTCATTAAATTTCGAACCATAACAGATGAAACACCGGTCGGGTATTTCATAATACATTATATTTGAAATTGAATAGCATCGTTTTTCTTTGTATGATGACAATTTACTTTGATGACATGGTTATAAATTGTAAGACATTTGCATTTTTCAAGTCAGTGAAGATGTCTTTAAAATTTACAAAAATTTTTTTTTACTTGTCTAGAAAGTCTAGTCAAACTAATTGTACATATTATATATTTTCATATATCTTTCATTGTTTAACATTTTCAAGTTTTTACTGATGGAAATTAAAAAGTTTTATTGATGAAAGAATGTGAATTTATAGAGAAAGGGGGAATAATTTATATATTGATATGTATTTTTGGCCATACTTTAGAATCTGTCCACAGCTATTTTCAACATTGTGATTTTACCCAATATTATTTCTTCAAAATATATGTTTTTCTTTTAAATTACTCAAATAACTTCTAGGGTTAGGGTTAGAGGGTTAGGATTTTATAAAAACATGGATTTTGTTGCGGACAGATTCTATAACTTTGTATAAGTGCTCCATATGTTTTGCCTACTTATATTATATATAATATTTTATATAATATAGATATTTTCTTGTAGAAGATATTGTTCAAAGTGTATCGCCACTCGCGATTAAGGACAAACAGTGTTTAACATAATAACATTTATTGTAGCAAAATTCAATCTAAAAACTTTATTTATGTATCAAACTATCAATCATAAAACATCTTGTCTTGATATGTCTTTTACAAACAATACACTGCCAACTCTTTAAATTTCTTTTTGTTAGTGATAACTCTTTAAACATTTATTTAAACAAACAAACATAATGGGTTTTTAAATGAAGGTTGACTTGAACACTTCCGAAGTTGGTACAGGGCCACATTGCATATTAGCATACAAATGTATGAAAAACAACTTCTAACAATTCATTCTCACTTGATTTTTGTTTCATACATAAAACAATTCAGTTTTAAAGAATTTTAAACAACACATTGCACATGGTTTTACTTGTAATGACATTATTATACATATATACTAGCATACATATTCTCCATTTCAGAACATTTGAAATGCCAGTACCACAAGGAAGTTACAGACAAGGTCCTAGTTGTTGGGATCGAATCAAATTAGGTTTTATGATGGGCTTCAGTGTTGGTTTAGCAACAGGTGTACTCTTCGGTGGATTTCAAGCTTTTAGGTTTGTGTACATGTAATTACCAAATACAGAATCTGGGGTGTATGTGGCCAAGTAATTAAGGTCACTGACTTCAAATCGCTTGGCCGCAAATTCTATCAGGGACTTTGGATTATTACGAGCTAGCTTAAGCATGGTTTGGGGTTCTACCAATGTGCCTGTTTGTGCTTTAAATAATGCACAAAGGGGAACCTGAGATACAATTTGATATATGCCCAGTGCACTCCATAAATCTTAGTTTTATACTCTTGTATTTTATTTATTGAGTGGCAAATTGGCCTAGTCGTTAACATGTCAGACTAGTAATCAAAATAAATGATTGCTAACTGCATGGGTTTGAACCTTGTCAGGGCAAGTTGTTGTGTCCTTAAAAAAAAGAACAAAACACACACAGTTTATAGCTTCCTAAACAACTAAAATAAATTCTGTATAAACCAAATCTAACAGTAGCCAAAAACTTTAAATTAGAGCAGTCAGCAGAAATTTCTAAAATATTTTTATTTATCTTGGCTAGGTAAAATATGCTGGTGGGAAACTTAGCAGATTGATTTTTCCCTAATCCACATAATGGAACCAACCAAAGTTTAATATTTATATTTCACTTTTTTCATACACTTTGATATGACATATAATATCATTATTCGTTCTTTTTGTAGATACGGAGCACGCGGTCGTGAACTTTTTCAAACAGTCGGAAAATCCAGCTTACAAGGTGCCGGAACATTTGGAACTTTTATGGCAATAGGGTCAGGAATTCGTTGCTAGCAGTGTGTTTCATTTAATCAAACTAAACAATAAGAAAACTGCCGGTCAGGCAATTCTATCAGTGCTTAACCTCTTGGAAGAAAAGTGAATATTTTTATTGACCATAACAGCTTCTGGAATTGCTTCATAATTTTTGTAATGAAAAAGAAATGAAGAAAAAGAACAAGAAAATAAACTCCTAATTAAAAGAAATACAAAATATAGACAGTAACATGTTATGCATACTGGTTAAAATATTACTAAAATACGGTTTAAATTTTTGTTTGTTCTCAGGCATAAATTTTGAATGTATAAAATACATTAAACACATGCATGGTCATTTCTATTATCATATTCCATAAATCTATGGGGAAAAACAATGGGCACCATTTAAATTCTTATGTTGTTCATTGTAGATTTTAATTTACACATATCTTACAGTTGAAATTAATCGGCTGAAGTACATGTATTTACTAGTGTTTAGCCTGAACAAATCTTGTTAATGAAGACTTAAAGATGTGTTACCATATGTTACAATGTGATGCATACATTGCATAGTTATAATTTAGACCATTTGTAAAAAATATGCTTTCAATATATGTTTGTTTAAATTATGATGAAGTAAAAAGTACTACAAAACCAGATATTGATCTTTCAATTTGCAACACTTTGTTATATGGTTAGAGCTGTGGATAAGATGTCAGCCTCTTATGAAGAGAGCATTTGAGCCGTGTCATGTCAAAACCGACGTAATGCATTTGCGACCAGCATGGATCCAGACCAGTCTGCGCATATGCGCAGTCTGATCAGGATCCATGCTGTTCGATTACAAACCCTATAACACTTAGAGAAACTGATAGCGAACAGCATGGATCCTGATCAGACTGTGCGGATGCGCAGGCTTGTCTGGATCCATGCTGGTCGCAAACCCATTATGTTGGTTTTGTCGTGACGCGGCTCATTTGTTGGAAAATATACGGAAGAGAATTAATTGTATAAACACCCAAACTGTATCAAAACCTATTAACACTTACTCTGTTGGAATTGAAACTAAATTTAGCCTTTGCCACCAGTATAAAGCAAGGCCAGTCTGAACATACATAAAGTTTGACTATGCTGTTGGTTGATTAATTTTGTATTTTTCCAAAATAGACAATTGACAGTTAAGGATGCTGGTTAAGTCTATTTAAAGGAACTCCACTGAGGTTCAAAAGCCCCAAAAAACATCAAATTTGAAAACCTTAGATCAGCTGACTTAAAATGGAAAAATTGAAAACCAATTTTAAGCACGAATTTTAGCCTGATTTTTACCCTTTTCATATTTTGTTATTTTTTCTTTGTAACTAGAGCACGGCATGCCATGTTAATACTTGTCAGTTAAAGATATTAAGTTTAAAAGGGGCTTAACTGCAAAAATATTGCTTTCAGAATTATGCTCTGTGTGTAACAACTGTCATGATAAGCAAGTATTCAAAGTTTCATGTTGATACCTTTTGTAAAATAAAATAATGGGTTAATGTTTTTTTCACTACAACAATGACGAGACAACACATCAGCGATCATAAAAGCTGGACTTTTTTTCGAAACAAACAAGCTAAAAATGATTATCCTCAACAAAGTGAGCGAACGATCTGAAATGTTGCAAAAAAATTTTTTGGTATAGACCGTCATCAAAAGGTATAAAAAATCTAGAAAAAAGTACTTCTAGTCCAAATATGTGTAAAAACTTCAGTGGAGTTCCTTTAAGAATTTAAGGAGTATAAAGGTCAAAATTAAACTTACTTGACTCGTCAACCTGAACTAGACCATCCAGAGGATTAATTTTACCAGGATATTCCTCACCAAATGACAGCTGGTGTATGGTGTGAGATGTGTTATACTGGAAAAAGAAAGAAAAATGCACTGGAAATTCTTAATGTTTCATCTGATACTGAAGTCTAGGAATACTGGTGGGAAAAGAATTGTCACATTAAAGTGACTTAAGCCACAAAATATAGCATGCTTTATATTGTCTGGCAATGGGGAAAAAGTAAAACAGTGTATGAATTAACAAAAACCTCGAAGATTTCTCTTAAGTATGAAGGTTGAAGACTTAACCACAAATATGGAATGTAAGGCCCTGGATAAACAAGATTGTACTGTATAGACCGTTGATCAATATGTATTTAAAAGTATCTGTGTGGTAAACCCAATACTACCTTATGCAATTTACGACAAGCACAGATTTAAGAGAACTTCATAAATCTCCTGGTTTGGTTTACTTGCAAACATATTTTTCTTTAAATTTTAGGACAAATACATTATCAGGACTAGAATCAGTGGACATAAACTAAGTGCACAATTTAAATCATTTTTGCAGCCAATACATTTTATTATTTTTCATTCATCTTAAGAAAAGCAAACAACATGTTACAATTATTGATTAACAACAATAGGTATATTTTGTTCTTAAATTAATTTAATTTGTGTTTTGTTTATTGTGTTTTGTTTATTTATGTACAAAAAGTTTCAGAGTTGAGTAGAAATGTTATTCAAGCTAAAAAAATCTGCAAGTATTTATTACTGTAAATGTCTGTTCATAAATAATAGATATACAAGTATTTTACCTTTGCTCCTCCTAATGCTTGTAAGTCATGGACTGAAAGAAAAGTTAAACATCCATTAATATAGATCATTATTACATACATGTAATCAACTGGTAAGGTTTTAGTTCATGGGAACACTGACAGTATAGATCATAATTATGGTGATTCTCCAGGTTTACCCATAGAAGGCCTTAAAGTGTATAAAACTATACATGTATCTATAAATGAAATATTTTATAAGATTTATATTTGTTATATCAATATCATATATGGTAAAGTCTCAAAAGTGTTGTCATACAGAATGTCTCTTCTATTAACACATATGGAATATGTATTTAAACAGAACAAAATGTTCAGGAACAAATTATGTTGCTATTTTATAAAGGTTTTTAACTGTTCAGCTATGATTTGGTGCAAGCGTCATTTGCTCATAAGGAAAAATACCAACATATTTCTTGCATACAGGTAATTTGTTCTTATACAAAATTCAATGAAAATTTAATAAAGCGGCAGTTAGCGATATACTTCATCAGTTTTTTAAATGACCACCGTTTCTTTTACTTAAAACGAGCAGACGCTGGTAAAACCACACCTTCTGTAAACAAGCTCGACTGTTTTTCTCATATGACCGAAAAATTTTTGGTCCTTGAAAGATTAATCAACAGCTCCCGGGGCAAAAGATTAAAAAAGCACCATTAGTCACTTGGGGGATGAAAGGCCCTCCTTTAAAATTATAATTTGAGCAAATTTAATTGTAAAATAAAATTGGAGAAAAAACCCCTGTAAATTTCTGTTAAAAATCTTATTATGTTTCTACAACATTTTTTAAAAATCATCAGGTATAAAAACAATTTTTATTTTTTTCATAAAGTCTATATAAGAAAAAAAAGGGCCATGATTTGGCCCCGAGGTCGCTCACCTGTTTAATAGGCCCGCCCCAACCCCCCCGGGGTTTTTATTTCACAAACTTGGTAGACACCCAAAAGAAAAATGTTTCATGCTAAACATCTAAGCTCTAGCTCATTGGGCTATTTAAAAGAAGATTTTTTTAAAGTTTTTACTATACACATATAGTTAAAAACAATGACACGCCTGGGGCCGGGCCAGTTATGACCCAGGGTTTTTATTTGAACAAACTTTGTAGACACTTACTAGAATATGTTTCATGCTTAATATCTAAACTCTAGCTATTTGGGTTTTTTCAAAGAAGATTTTAAGTTTTTGCTATACACATATAAGGAAAATCAATGACCCGGGGCAGGGCCAATTTTGACCCCAGGTCTTTTATTTGAACAAACCTTGTAGACACTCACTAAAAGATGTTTCATGCTTAATAAACTTAACTCTAGCTATTTGGGTTTTTTCAAAAAAAGATTTTTTTAAGTTTTTGCTATACACATATAAGGAAAATCAATGACCCCCGGGGCGGGGCCAATTTTGACCCCAGGGCTTTTATTTGAACAAACTTGGTAGACACCTATTAGAACATGTTTGATGCTAAATATCTTAACCATAGCTCTTTGAGTTCTTTAAAAGAAGATTTTTAAGTTTTTACTATATGCATATATAGGGAAAAATCAATGACCCCCCGGGCGGGGTCAATTTTTGACCCCAGGGCTTTTATTTGAACAAACTTGGTAGACACTTATTAGAACATGTTTCATGCTAAATATCTTAGCTCTAACTCTTTTGGTTCTTTAAAAGAAGATTTTTTAAGTTTTTACTATATGCATATAGGGAAAATCAATGACCCCCTGGGGCGGGGCCAATTTTGACCCCAGGGCTTTTCTTTGAACAAACTTGATAGACACCTATTAGAACATGTTTGATGCTCAATATCTTAGCCATAGCTCTTTGAGTTCTTTAAAAGAAGATTTTTTAAGTTTTCACTATATGCATATAGGGAAAATCAATGACCCCCCGGGGCGGGGCCAATTTTGACCCCAGGGCTTTTATTTGAACAAACTTGGTAGACACTCACTAGAAGATGTTTCATGCCAAATATCTAAGCTCTAGCTCTTATGGTTTTTTAAAAGAAGATATTTAAAGTTTTTTCTTTCGGTTGCCATGGCAACCAGAGTTCTGCATGGAATTAAATTCTTTGAACAATTTTTAAAGGTGACCACCAAAGGAACATTCCTGTGAAGTTTGGATGAAATTGGCCTTGTGGTTTATGAGGAGATGTCATTTAAAGTAAAAGTTTACGGACGACAGACGGACGACGGACGGACGACGGACGCCGGACGAAAAGCGATCACAAAAGCTCACCCTGTCACTTTGTGACAGGTGAGCTAAAAAGATTGTTTAATAGTCGAACCATATTTAAGTAACCCCAAGTTTATTAGCATTATACAAAGCATAAATAAAAATACTGAATACTTTAAAAAAAAACCTTCAAAATCATACCATGAACATGATGCTGTTGGAAGCTTTTCCCTGGCGCCATATGAAAATTACCACCAACCTGGTTTAATGATATAGATAAAACATGTCAAGAAATTCTTGAGTCCAAACAAAATTACAGTATAAGACAACAATTTAAATAAACGTGTGTTAGTTTAACAGTACAATCCTGTCCAAAATTTGTTAAAAAATAAAACAAATGAGGTGTATTTTTTTCAAAATTTTACTTTGCAGGTCAATGTCATTTAGGTTTCACAGTCATAATTTGATATGTTAACATTTTCAGATGTTTGTCCACGCCAAACGAGTCTTTTTTTGTTTGTTATTGGGATTAAAGTGACACCTACACTGTAATTGTCATATAGCAACTTTCTAGCTTTACTGGTGGAGAAAACTTTAGGCACCTCTCCATGCATTATTTCCAACATGAACGAGCCCCTGAGTAGAACTAGCTTATGGGAGCTTCCTTGCAGAAAGGTATCAAAGTCCCACTAGTATATAGAATGAACTAAATACAAGCTGTGGTTACAAATAGTCAAGTAACACACAGGCATACTAACAACCCCCTACAATCTCTCAATCTGAGGGCATAAAAAATGCAGGATCCTATTCTTTTAAGAGATTTGTATGTACAATTTTTAATATATAGCATATTAAAGTTGTATATATTAAGTAAAATGATTTACTAAATTCAAACAACTTTAATATGAGACATGTAAATTACAAATCAGTTGATCTTTTAATTGTCATACAAATAATCAAAGAAATTCTTAAAATCTTACAACTGAGTCCCCTCAAACCCTAATCAAGAACCTTAAGATTGGTACATAACTACATTTTACTCGAGCTGCACATACCTTATTTACTTCAATATACCCGTAAACACTACATCCTTCATTCTGTTGAGCTTTAATTTTATCCGACCATCCTTCTCTCTTACATTGCTCTATGATATCAGTCTCCCTCAAAGCCCAACCCTTCTTTCTGTATTGTTCCCTCACTTCCTCACAGGTATTACAACATCTGAAAACAAGAAACATGGTAATGCCACAAAACCAGGTTTTCAATTATCACCATTGAAGAAAGTTATGTTGTAGTTGAAATACAAGCTATCTTATGCGAAGTCTTCACATAAGCTTAATTTAAAGCAAGTGTCATTAAATCATCTCATTCCAAACTCTTGTTATTGATCGGAAATTGATTTTCTATTTTCAGTAACAATAACCTTGACCTTGATCATATGAGCCATAAGTTTATTCTCATAAACGTGGGTTCTATCAATATATTAGTTTTAATTTGATAATATGCTTTTGTAAATGCAATTTATGCTACTATATCTTTTAAGGTACTTACTTCTTCAGCTTTTGACATAATACAGTAAACTTTTCCAATTCTCACAATAATTGGTTGTATTTATATTGTAGACACTTCAGTTTGTTAACAAATATTAATATACAGATTTATCACATAAAATACATTGCAGGAGTGTGAAAAACCATTTAATAAAAACGATATTACATTGCCATCAAAGCCCCTTTCCTTCCCACACTCTTTTGATGATAGAAGCAAGTGGGGGCATGTACATGGATAAGCCTGCCAACATCTATTAACAGAATCCTCACTATTCACTGCATTATTTTAGCATTTGGATACCACAATCCAATGTGCAGATACCATATTCATTTGCTTTGAATATTAATAATTGCTTAAAGATTATAAAACTTCTAGACTTTTTCAAAATAAAGATACTTTTTCTATCGCTGACTTTATGTAAGAAAAACTCACTTTTTATCATCTGTTTCTGCTCCATAACAACTCTCGCATCTGTCTGGGTCAAGCTTTTGTTTCACTGCCTAGTTTAAATAAAATAACATGACATATATAACTCTACATACTTTTTTTTTACCAATAAATTCATTTCTAATAAAGACATTATATACATGTACAAATACATCAGAAATTTCACATCCTGTTTGAAATTTGCCCTTGCGCCTTCATAAGCTCAAACATTAATAAGCCAAGTCAAATACTCTTAGATCAATAAGTCAAGAACAATCAAACTTGAGCAAAAATGTACAATGTATTAAAATTTTTAGAAAAGTAAAAAAGGTAAAAATTTACATGTTATGTTCGATTAATGACTGATTTTGCAGTATTTATCACCACATTTCAACTGTGCGACTAAGGCAGTAGGGGCTTTTCTTACATATTTTGACCTCTTTTAAGTAATTTGTGTGGAATGAAAATGCCGATTCCAATTAGTAAATTACTTTCTTTGTTTGTTTCACAATATTTTACTTTTTAATATATTTTCAAAATTTTCATGAAAATTAGCATGCATAAAGAAGCATGCTGCTTTAAGTCAATAAATATCAGTAACTTACATCTACTATTTCTTCTGATTTATCTCCTAAATCTGTAAAAAAAAACACAATAAAACATGAACTTATACTCTCCATAGTATAACTGTAGTAGATCTTATTTCTTATTCTTATAATAATGTTTCAAACATTGAAGTAATTACTGTGGATAGTAAAATGCCTTACGCTGAAACATACAGTGTACTTACTTTACCTTGATTGTGATAAAAGCTTAAAATTTACTTGAACCACAAATCCCTGGGGTTAAAGGCAGACACCTTAACCACTAGGTCAATTATCCGTTTTAGTGCCTAATATGAACTGAAACCACTTAACTGATATACATGTACTCTGTCTTAATTCATCTATAAATTTTCATATTAACAATTAGCAGGAATCTAGTAGCATGTGAACCACATACATGTATACAAGAAAAAAATCCTGAATACATCTATGTTACATAACATGTGGCAAATATCTCAAGTGACAAGAGGTTGTGTGAGAATACTATTAACAAATTTCAAAACCCAAACCTTGTTTTTCTGGCTCATCCTCCACCAATTCTCCATTTAGCTTGAGACGTTGTTTATATAAGTTATGATCAACATCTATTTGATTCTCCCCTGATATATCCATGGCATCAATACTCAAAACTATAAATATATAGAAGAAAAACAATACAGTACAAATCTTCATAGGCAAAGATTTAAATGAGATAATGTTTTGTGTGTTTTTTTTTTGTTTTTTTTGGGTGGATTCAATGTTACACCCACACAGTAGAGGTCATATGACAACTTTCCAACTTTTACTGGTGGAGGAAGACCTCAGGTGCCCCTTTGTACATTAATTAAGGCACAAACTAGTATCTGACCACTGACATTCTGTAAGCTAGCTGGATAGCTTTCTCACATGAAGAATCCAAAGACAGTGGTGCGGCTCTCATCTACTGCAGTGAGAGGCAAGAGGTTTGAAGTCAATGACCTTAACCACTCCGCCACAGACACCCAAGATACAAGAACCATCCATTGATCTGATGTTTGTTGAAACTTAAAAACTCTATATCAATGCATTGTTATATAATTGCTTGTTTCAATGTTTTGCAGGGTCCAGTAACCTTGAACTTTAATGTTTTGACTCAGAACTCATTAAGGTGTGTCTATAAACAAAATTCTAAGTTCCTTCTTCACTGCACTTTTATTCAATATCCAGTTACTAGTATATGTTTTGTTGTTACAGGCCCCTATGACTTTGACCTTTTGACCTGAAAATGGATGTTTCTGGTAGAACTCTTAAAGGTTTATTTACAAACAAAGTTTGAAGTTCCTACATCAATGCACTTTGATTTTAAGGCCAGCTTGACCTGTGATCTTTTGGCAAGAAAGACCCTCAAATGAAGCTTTAATCTTTTTGTTAGTTTTGAATTTGGTGACTATAAACCAATACTTGATAAACAAATTAACCAATGCCTTCACTGCCATTGAATTGAGTCATGACAATACCTAATTTTTTATTTGAAAAATGGAGCTTGTAAAAATGCCAATGTTACCTAGCATCATTTCTAAGAATAAATAATACATAAGCATTTTAAGATAAAAAGGTATGGTAACTGTCAGATTATTAAATCTAGTCAGAAATTACAAAAGTGCAGGTTAGCCTGGCTCTATTCTGGTGTTATAAGCTTGTCTTTCTCACAGCGAACATACCTAGGTCACCCTACCTTTAAATACAAGCTGGCCTTACTCTCTACTGTTGGCATACAGTTACACCAGTCAACCTGCAGGCCACAACTGAATCTACCCATGCAACAAGTGCAGACTAAAATCTTGGTCCGCATTTATTGCAATTCAATCAGTATATATTTTGAAAATTTGCCTAAGATGATAAATGGTTATGTCCATACTGAAAGATGGACAAGTCCATTTAAGATGTTAGTCATGGTAAGGGTTTACAACATCACTTTACACTGGAAAAAACACTTACAAGCACAAGGCATATTATGGAATGTAACATTTAAGTTGATTTTCATTTTCAAGTTCCCTCGAGAAATGTCCACAAATAATTCTGGCTGGACTTCTTTTGTCAAGTAGTAGTTCAATTCCGAAATGAACAAAACAAACATCAACACTCCACTGATTATTGTCACTGAAATGTAATTGAATCTATCTTATTATACGCCTCTACATATTTTCAATCAATACGTTTATGATAAATACAAAATATAAGTAAAATATGAGAATTTTTAAAAAATTTTATGCTCCTAGTTTTTCCTATAAGTTGCCATTGCAAAAAAAAGTGTAAATAATATCAGTAAATTGGTGTTACTGATGGACTGAAATTGTTAAAAAGTATAATTGAAAATGTGTTCTTTACTGATGATGCACAATAAAAACAAAGTAAAATATATGTCCTGATATGTCCATAGATCATATGTTACTAAAAATGTAAGTTCAGTTTGGTTTAAGCAAGTTGAAATTACTAGAACTAGCAAAAGTTTGCAAGTGCAGAAAATGTATATTCTACCCCTGACAAATTACTGTAGCTTGGCATAGTGACCCATATGAATTAGAGTGGTTTCTACAAACTACCAATTCGGCAAACTTAATTCATGAAGAAGTGCAAGTGGTTTTGTCAATCTTATGTTATATAGTAATTAAACGCAACATTTATAGTACATAGATGTGAATTGTTTTCACCATCAATATAATTATATTTTGTTTTTTTAAATAATTAATGACACAAATCTATCATTTAATAATGAATATAAAATATACTGTATATGTATGTATGTATGTCACAAATGATGAATTACTTGTTGTTTTTTAAATTGAAAACCAACAAAAAAATAAAACAGACTGTAAGTTGCAAGCCCAATCAGGCATTTTGAACAGCGGAGCCATTGAAATAAATGAATAAAGATTTAAGTTAGTTTTAATATCTTCAGAGATCTTGAATAAAAATTTATATTAACACCTATGATAATTGATGTGTCAAGTACAATAGCTTTTTTATACACTTAACATTAAGCTTTCTGAAACCATAATCCGGCAGGTTGGTGAAACCTCATTCAACCACATAATGCAGGTCATTAGCACCTGTAGTTCTGGTTTCCAAAACTTTATATGCCGCTTTCTAACATTTTTGTTTTGATGTGGCACGTGGCATTAAAGTTTTGAATCAGACCAATTACAAAACTTATCTAACCAGAATAACACAAAGTCTTGCTTGATTAACCTTATTTTTCATTTGCAAAAATTGCCTTTTCCCAATTAATTATTCTGTATTATTCAATTAACTTATTAAGAATTATTTTAACATCATTCTATACCATCTTGTACCTTTTTAAGTAACAAAATATTCATACTGTTAATAAAATGGCCAATTAAACTGCAAAACATAAATCAATTACAATGCACACTGACTTAAGTCAGTCATGACATTTAGGAGCTACACAAGGTCTAGTTAGACTAGTCACACCGTATTACCGGCGGCAGTGATGGCAGATCACTGCAGTGATGGCAGATATCTGAAAATTACCGATCGGTACAGGTAGGTTATAGATTTGGTTGGTTTAATTATATTACACAATTACGGCCCATTTCATTGCTATAAAAGTATTGTCCATTGAATGGAGATAATGTAAGGTAATTTTAGACTCGTTTTTTCCTGTTTTAAGACTATTTTGAGCAGGTTAAAAGTGACAGCCTCGAAAAATCCGTGAAAATGTCTGTTTTCTGTTCAAAATATCTCAAGTTTTAAGAAAATGACAGGATTTCCAGTTATCAATATGGACGTTCATCCATTGGGGTCACGCAAGCCAAATATCTACCCCGTGAGTCTTTTCTTGAAAGTTTTACAGACGCTCAATCTTGTCCGGTCGAAGAAAAAATGCTGCCGTTGTAGGCAGATACATATTATAAATGCTGCCGTCGATGGCAGAAATACCATGAAAGTGGCTAACATTCTGACAGAAAATCAAGTTCAATCTTTTATCAATTCCTCTTTTCTTTGCGTCCTTTTAGTCGGAATTGACACGTTAAACTATCATTTCTAATATTTTCTCAAGATAGAAAAGTTATTTATGCGGTGTGTGCATCGATAAAAAGCTTTTTAGCAACATGCAGTTACAATACAAAAAGTGATGATTTAGTACGACAAAATTACACTATAAATAGAGAAATGAACATGAAAAACTTCATTTTTCTATATTCATGCATGTGTGCTTAATCTGTTGTGTCTGTCAGTTACAATCATACAATACTATATGTATCTTAAGTTTGGTGAAGTCAGCAACTTCTGATATACTTTCCATCAATAAATAAATTAAAATGCTACTCAAGTACTGACCACCTGTTAATTACCGACAAAATTATTTCTCACACATCTTTGCTGCCCAATCATGCTGATGCTTGAATACTAAAGGTAATACTTAAGCATCTTATAAACCATTCAAGACAGATAGAGACCTTGTTTGACCCGGTGTATTTGTTTACGCCAGAAAAAAGATTCTGTCAATGTGGCAATAAACACATGGTGTTTGGTGGTCATTATGTTGCATGGTCGTAATACAGGTTAATGATTTGATAAGAAATACACACAAATGTCTGACATAAGTGGGTGGCAATGCCGGATTAGAGACGTGTCGGTATGCTGATTATTTTTCTCAATGAATAAAGAAAGCAAATATTTTGTACTTTTGAAAAGAACCCCTTAATAGTGTGGTCCTATTTGAGGTGTGGTCGTTAGATGGTATTTTACTGTAATCAAATTTACATCTACTTTGATGAAATGATCAATAATATCAACCCAAGTTAGATTCTTTAGAAAGTAACTACATAGTTTAATAAACTGAATAAACTTAAATTCTTTTGTTTGTAATGATTTAACGTTTAAGACTACTTCCTCGTAACCATCATTTATTAGAACAAGAACTAGGATTATCCTATTTTCAGTATTGCAAGTGATAAGCGCAAGACCTAGAGCATGCTTTCATCAATATGAAGTTTTAAACATACGCAAATATCATAGCTTGATAAAAATATGAATCTTTCCGTAATGAAACATTAGTTAGAGCTTGCAGCTAAACATATCCGAAAACTATACTACTATCTAAAATGAAATTACCAGTCGCCCCGCCAAAAGTTTTTATCCTAAAGTCTTCCAGTGTTTTAGGATATGCGTCGAATCGACGTAGACGTTCCATTATGGCTTTTGCTTGCATGATTTCTGCAAAAATGCTGTAAATTATCTTTATTTACAGGACGTGTAAATCATAGGCAGCGGACGCTTGTTTTCTAAAGAACCCAAGAACATAAAATTGTCACAAAGTATTATACATGATAAATTATCACAAAGATTTCATAATAAGCAAAAAGAGATATATTTTCTTTTGTATATTAATTCTTAGCAAAGTTAAATGTAGTACTTAATTAAATGTAGTACTTAATGTATATGCTATTAAGTTTTGTTTTGTTTACCAAATTATTAGAGTTTATAAACAATGGTAATATAACGATTTGCCCCACTGACGATTCCCCACATAATGATTCACACAGAATAGAGACTGGTCATACTGCCCATTTACATTTTTTATATAAAACACTTGCTGGTCCAGTCTCCTCGCATCTGTGGTAGAATAGACAAATGATAAATGTAAGAAGCTAATAAATGTAATTAGTTTTGTGAAGAATAACATAATTTTACTTTTCATGCAAACTTTAATATTATAATTTTTTTTTTTTTTGTTAAAAAAAAGAAAAAAAGACTTTATTTTAATGTGTTGAAATATTTTGTTTAGAAAATTCAGTTTGTTAATTACTGCCTGACAAATCTTAAACATAATCCACAGTCAATTATGATTATGTATCAGCTCAAAGACGTTTCCAACATATCATTTCCTATATAAAAACATTTATATCTAAATGTAATGCCATTAAATGTTTTTATCCTGCTTCAGCCATGGCAAGGAAAGTGAACAGCATCTTCACCTACCTTTGATTACAGTCAATAATGACTTTTATTGCGATTAAAGCCATGGCTTAATCAAAGCATATTTGAACTGCTCTCAATTCTGAATGCAGAAACTAATTTTTCCTATAGGATTTTTTTTAATACATCAATTAAAGAAGTTGCCTTTTTTTGTATGACAATAAATACTGCATTGTTGCCCAAGTCAGAATAATAACAAGACCCCTTCATATATGCTTTTACTTGCATGCTAAATATAAAAATTCATTGATATCAATTGTCTACGGCATCCTTAGGAAATAGATATTAGGGTGTTCTTCCTTTGATCTTCTTTTGATCATTTTCAACTCCACATGTGACTTTTTCAACACCACATTTGAATTTTTCAACAACACATTTGACTTTTCCAACCCCATGTGCTATTTTTCAACCCCCAAACTTCAGTTTGTACAGAATGAACCTCATAATGTTAAGTCAAGATGTACGCAAATCTCTAACCCCATTATGTCTATCCCCTCAGATCAAACAAATGTCTTACAGAAATGGAATAAACAACTACTTTTTTTGTTATATTCTTTTGAGGGCAATTGACATCCCCTTATTCTATTGTAACTCAAATAGTTCTCTTTTGTTTAAAGTTACATGGTCCCCTATTTATTTTCTGCAGTGAGGTCTGATGGACAGATATCAGCATACCACAGTATGTCCCAAAATTCTTCAGGCTTATAAAAAACAACATATTTTTTTTTAAATATGTCTTTATTTCTAAAAATATGGTTTAAAATCATACCACGAGCATAAACATAAAATAGCATAAAGTCTAAAACACAAAAAAGAAATTTAAGATACACTTTACTCAGTCTAGGCTAGGTAAATGAAGAGGTTACATCTAACAAAAAAGGCAAGAAAAAAGGCTAAAGTGCAGAAGAAACTTTCCATCAGATAAAGATATACATATGTACTGTCCACACAAATACACTTAAAACAAAACAGATCACTCTTGAAATATCAAAATGTAGGGGAAAAAAGTAGAACTGAAAAAATGACATTTTAAACATATACATGTATTCTAAGGAAGACAATAATTATGTTATTATGTTTTTCTAATTTTAGCATAATTATACTACTGTATTTTTAACTTTAGCACAATTACTTTTTTTAGACTGTCCAAGATTTCACCAAAAGCTATACCTTTGCTTACTAAATGTGCAAATTGATAGTAAGAATAAAGACAGGACAAATTAACCTGCACTAATGGCAGTGAAAAGGTTAACCCTGTATAAGCTGCAATAACAGGTTTATGTTATTAGCATAGAGCTTGTCTGAAGTTTTGCACAATCTCAGCAGACTTTTTTACAAATGGTTGCATAATTTTTTTTTAACCCAAAGATACCATAAATTAGCAAAGGACATTTCCAAATTTAGCACTGAGGAGCAAGTGATTTAAAATCAGCAACTTTAACCACTCAACCAAGTAGATTTCACTGAAGTGGAACATTGTCTAATTTCATTTAACAGATACTTTGTAAAATGCTTAACTAAGCAAAATAATAAAATTTAATATGAATATAAATCATGATTAAGAATCTTTATGTCTCTTATACATACAAACATGAGTAACATATATACATGTAATATCATGGCATATATTCTTGTATAAAGAACCACTACACTACTGGAATCTGGTATTTTTGCCAGTTTCAATTTATAACTTGTCATTTTGTCTTAAAATATATGTAAAACTATTGCAAACAACCCATATCATAATATATTCTAAAATAAAACATGTAGCATCTAAAATAATTATGACAATTTAGTTACCATGTAACAACTGGAATACCTTAAGAGTAAAAAAAACATATCTAATAATTACATTATACATGTACTAAAATAATATTACATAATGAATTGACTTAACATCTGACTTAACTTAAAATCTTAAGCATAAAATAGGGCTGTCATTGAATATTGCATTATTAATGATATTCATTGTCCGATACAATATTGATACACACTTTCACATATCGATACAAGCTAAAATTTATTTATTTCTGTTAGGGAATATACCTTTCTATTTTGCATATAAGAGAAGTCAATTTTTCCCAATTTTCTTGGCTAATTTGAACTCTATTAACAAATGTCAGTGACAAAAATAACAGAAAAAACAAACTTTTGTTAGTTTGTAATACATGCATTTGTAATGTCTAATACAAGCATGCGTAACACCATGATCCTAATTTAAAACACATATTTTTCATTGCACCTACTGTTAAAGTCAATATATCGATATATCGTCGATATTTGTCTCTCGATATGTCAATACAAAATTGTCCATCAATGACAGCCCTAGCATAAAATAACTAACAAGCTTACACAGTATGAAAAGAAAGACTACCTAAGACAATGTGCTTAACTATTCTCAGTGCTTGACAGTAAGAAAAGGAGCATAACTCTGTAAAAAAGTTACTTTAGAGTTATGAGAGAATATATACACACATACCACCACATCGATACAGCGCCTAGCAGAACAGTCATGAAAGCATAGCCACTGCTCGATGTGGTGGTATGTGTGTATATATTCTCTCATTTCTATCAATTTATCTGCACACTTGTATCTTAAGTGATCCCACGCAGGGGAAAGTATAACTGTATTGAATTTAATTATCTCCCTTTATATATACTTTATCTGTCTAAATTCATTGTATCCTACGGATCTACTTGATCTTACGTGATCCAGTTGACTTTCGGAAATAGATATATAGTTCTCTGGTCCCAATCAGTGAAGAAGACAATAAAAATGCCATCGTTGATTTGTGAGATATGATAACAGAGAACAAACTCTATATATGTGAATGTTGAGCTTGTTTCAATGTGTAGTGCAGTTTGTGACTGTATATAAAGCTGTTCTGAAACCATCATTTTTGTGATGGTGGATGAGCAGTGGCTATGCTTTCATGACTGTTCTGCTAGGCGCTGTGCCGTAATTGGACTGGCATATCGATGTGGTGGTATGTGTGTATATATTCTCTCATTTCTATCAATTTATCTGCACACTTGTATCTTAAGTGATCCCACGCAGGGGAAAGTATAACTGTATTGAATTTAATTATCTCCCTTTATATATACTTTATCTGTCTAAATTCATTGTATCCTACGGATCTACTTGATCTTACGTGATCCAGTTGACTTTCGGAAATAGATATATAGTTCTCTGGTCCCAATCAGTGAAGAAGACAATAAAAATGCCATCGTTGATTTGTGAGATATGATAACAGAGAACAAACTCTATATATGTGAATGTTGAGCTTGTTTCAATGTGTAGTGCAGTTTGTGACTGTATATAAAGCTGTTCTGAAACCATCATTTTTTGTGATGGTGGATGAGCAGTGGCTATGCTTTCATGACTGTTCTGCTAGGCGCTGTGCCGTAATTGGACTGGCATATCGATGTGGTGGTATGTGTGTATATATTCTCTCATTTCTATCAATTTATCTGCACACTTGTATCTTAAGTGATCCCACGCAGGGGAAAGTATAACTGTATTGAATTTAATTATCTCCCTTTATATATACTTTAGAGTTATGAAACATGTCATGCCCATCATGTAAGATAATCACTCAGAGAGAACAATTTTGTTACAACCAATTCCCTTCACAAGTTTTGGATATACCAACTTGCATGCAAAACACTTAACCAAAGTGTGATGATGACACCAACAATGAATACCATAACTCTCCTTTTTCTTACAATAGTCAAGCCCAACTTATATATAGGCATTAAACACGTTGTTTATTAAAATATATAGGACTATTTGTAATCAAATTATCTTATATAAAAAGTCAACATGGCATGCAAATGATAATATCAAAGCCATCATTTCTATCTTACAGCTCGTAACCTGCATGCCAATAGATGTGTAAACAAAAGCTAAAAAGCCCATAATTCTCCAGACATCATTTCAGTTTTATTCTTCTAAAGCATTGTATTTTTGGGTCCTGTTATAGTTTTTAAAAAAGTAACTAATTGGCCAATTACCAAAACCATCTATGCTCTGGTTATTTGATTATAATTGTTTCTTTGAAATAATGGTCTTATGTTTGTAAAAATCACTTAATGTCTTTTATTTTGCCCCAAATTAGAAGTATTTCTTTATTTTCATATAAACTGGTATAAATCTGGTATGCTGCACCTGAATGCTGTAAAAACAGATAAATTATTCTGTAACAAAATATCTGACTGCTACATATTTTTTTACATTTAGCCATGATGATTTTGTGCTTGCAACAACTGTTTTAAATTCAGAAATTTACAAGCATCACCCAATCTTTGTGTGTCATTTATTTGCATTAAAGGTCAAAGTACCTTGAAGGTCAAGGTCATTTATAAGGAAAGTCAAGTTCATTTTGGGGCCAACTTAAAGGTCTTGTCCATAGAGTTGTTGTGTAGTAGATTTAAGTAACTTGTGAAAAATTTTACAACACAACATTAATTCACAAACATACATCATAAAATAATATTTACTTTATAGATTTGGCTAAATAATAAAAATTAAATTAAAATAAAACATTTTCATACAATAAGTCAATGTGTAATTTAAATATTATTAAATTGAACACAACATAACTGTGGCAAGATACATTTGCAATGCTGTTCAATTCTGGGTGATTTTTACAACGAGAAAAACAGAGTGAGTGAATGATTTAAAATTTTGCAAAAAGATCGCAACCAACATCATTTCATTCATTAATTTTGAAAAACTCCAGTTCCCAACATGTTTAAAAAGAGTCAGAAAAAAATATCAATATAATTACATAAAGTGACATAACGTAAAAATCTAAAAAACATTATTTGTACAGGTTACGTATATTTGTATTCCAACACTAAACAGGAGTATTCTAGCAGCATAAAAGACAGTAATAAAACAAACAAATAAATATGACCAAGGCAAAATTTAGCAAATACCATATATCAGGTTATTTTCTCGTACAGCAAATTTCGTGACTTTGGCAGTAATCTAAATTTACCTAATATAATTTTAGTGATTTTGTTGTACACGTTTGTTTTGTTGTTTTTTTTGCGGTTTTCTGCTGACACAGTATGACCAGTCTTTTTGTCAGAGATTTATTGTTTCCACAGATATTTGTTTTGAATTTTCCTACTGATTTATCGCTTACAAGTATGTATTTCACACTTAATGTCTTGTCTCACCTTATTGTTAACATGTTATTGTCAAGCTGCCTATTTTTGTACACTTACTAGCAAGGTGTGAATTATTTTATTCTATCGGACAATCAATTCGACAATCAGTTAAATTAAAGTTAACAAAACTACCTGTTTGCTTACTATTTCACTTTAAATTTCATGAATATTGAAAATTGATATTTAATAAATTGATTTGTATATATCACAATGTAAAATATATACGACTAAACTGGATAGCAAATCTAAAACAGAAACACGTGAAATACCCTTATTAACTTGAAGGAAGATTTAGCAAATCTATTTTACATGATATTCATAGCATGCTAATACAGCGAAAATTAACTACTCTCGAAAAAAACCTGATGTACAGTACGCTAGCACAAATAATACAAAAAAGTAGATGAACAATTTAAATACAGGAAAAAAAATGGTTAAAACAAATATGTTTGAAGCAAATCTTCTTACTTGAGCAACAAAATTGAAATATGCCAAAAAAGCAAACATTCTGGAATGGAGTAATCTCTAATGACAAGTCTCTCTATATAATAATACATTCATTTAATAACAGCCATGAATAATTCCAGTTAACTATGTTATAGGAATAAACCACAAACACGTTATACATGAATAATATCAATTAAATATGTAATGTATCTGGAATAATATCAGCGTATAATTCCAGTTTATAAAGTAATAGGAATAGTATCAGTAAATAATTCTAACCAATAATGTTGTAGGAATAATATCAATTAATAAGTCCAGTTTATAAATAAATTATCATAAGGAATAATAAGTGTGAATATTTCCAATTAATCATTGTAAGGAATAATACCTGTGATTTAATTCCAATTAATCATCATGTTACCAACAATATCAGTGAATAAAGTCCAGTTTATAATGTAACAAAAATAATACCTGTGAATAATTCCAATTAATTATGTAACATAACATAAGTGAAGAATTACAAATACACTGAACATGCCTGATAAATAATTCCAGATGTATATGTATATGAAATAGGAAAAAAGTAAATGAATTATTCCAAATAAATATGAAATGAAAATAGTATGAAATACTAATTGCAATTTATTATATGTGGGAATAATCATCTTTCAATAATTCCAATTAAATTCATAATAAGAATAGAATGATTAATATTTCTGAATAATTCCAGTTCTGATCAAACTTGTTCTGGAATAAAAGTTTAAGATATCAGTTTTTTCATACAAAACAAAGGGGGTATAAAGATTCACAAAAAAACAACCCAGTAAGGTGTGTAATATATTTGTATATTATCTATATGTTCTTACAACAAGTTTTGTTTTCTCCTATATCCTTAACTTTCCATGATAAAATATAAACAACAAAGCATGAATATCTATCATCTCAAAATACTTTTGAACTTCTATTCAAACTTAATTTCAGTGCATTATATACATTATAGACTAGAAAGAAATACAAATCTACATGTATATATGTGTACTACATCATCACCTTAGTGCAGTAACAGATTAACTCTTATTATAATTTATAAGGAGTTAACCCATTACTGCACTAAGGTGACAATATAATGTTTGACTAAAATTTGTAGTTCCTTGGATAAAATTTTAATGCTTAGTCCAAAAATAAAAACAGATTTTGTCTTCCATATCTCTACAAAATTAAGACAGATTTTGTCTTCCATATCTCTAATGTGGATTACATTATGAAATTGAAAGAACACAGGATACATACCTAGCAGAGACTGATATTTTGACATAAATAATTATACATGTTTATATATTAATAAAATGTGTTTAAATTAATGTTTCTACATAAATTATTACACCAGTACTGGAATTATTACTCCAGGTAGCGGACTCGAAAGTTAAGATGCAAGAACTTGTTTCGCAATCAAGCTTAAATGAATATGTTTAAACTATGTTAAATAAACAAGCAACTAAACACCAAATCATCAAAATAGGAAAAAATTAACTTTTACACTGCCTCTTAACAGAAATTTGACATTGGTTATATCAAGGTCAGCATGTTCTTGGGTATATAACTAAACGTAATTAACTATGAAAATAAAAATATTGAGAACACTGACATGATACTGGTTGATAACACTTTGATACAGCTAAAATATAAGCCATTATGAGGAAGAATAGAAATAAAATCTTAGTGTATTATAAGCCCTGGTGACCTTGACACTACACTTGTGGGTAGAGGATAGGGAAAGGTACCACCACAACAAATATGTAAGAAACTAGTCAATAAAAAATTGTCACCTTTGTGCAGTTAACTCGTTACTTTTTCGTATGGAGGACCAACAACAACATTGTCTACATTTTGCTACTTTTACAACAAATAATTACACTTTCATTGCTACTTTTGTCAGGTCATAAGCATCTAAAGTGCTCTAAAATCAATATCAAAATGTCATAAAACTCATATGCATAATATACATTTAACTTTCTGAGGCATAATGTGCCTTTAACTTTCTAAGGCAAAATGTGCCTTTAACGTTCTGAGGCATAATGTGCCTTAAACATTCTGTCTTTTGAAACTTTTCAGTAACATATTTTTCACATTTTCAAGCAAATATTCTCAAAACATATTAGTTTGTAGTAAACTTAAAATGCTCTAGATTATCTATATATACTTATCAATACATACAAAACACCTGAAAAGTAAAAATATGGCTATAAGCTATAAATACAAAAACATACAACCCTGTTCTACATAACCAATATTATAACCTCTTGGATAAGTAATAAACAAAAACAAAACTTTATTTGTGACACATCAAATAGCTTAAAATCATATAATCCTAATTTTGTAAAAAAGAAAAGATTACAATATCTTATATCATATAAATGAATATATCATACAGAAGATATGCTAACTTATGTACCAATATTAAATAATAAATTAAGCACAAAAGGTCAAAAAAGGAACCCTTAAGGAATCCCCAAACTGTCAAAATTGAAATGATGCAGACTCAGTTTGATTGTGTCTGTTCACGGTCACATTCAAAGTACTTCTCTGTGATTGGTCAATTTCAAGCACAGCCATATCCAATAAGATTTTAGCATTTAAGAATGATCTGGTTCACACAATTTTATAATATTTTGAAGATTTGATGCAAAAAAAAAATCTTTTACACATGTTTAACTTTCAGCCATATTGCACTTAGCCCTAAATATGTTTCCCAGCCACTCATATAAATTCTTTGCATGCTGGGAAAATTGTTGTCTGCTTTAGCAAAGTGTTGGCCGATTTAGCAGTGTTGTCATGCTTAAAATATCATCTGCTTAATTTCTGTATTTCTCCAACTATTTCCAAAATGAAATAAACATTGATTGTCAATCAGTACTCAGCATTTTGGTCTGATACCTGTTAAGAGGCTAAGGTACTCAGCATTTTGGTTTGGTACCCAATAAGACAGTGAGGTACTCAGCCAATAAGATGCTAAGGTACTGAGCATTTTGGTCAGGTAACCAATAAGACAGTGAGGTACTCAGCATTGGTACCTGACAAAAGGCTGAAGACCTTGGCATTATGGTCTGCTAGGATGCTAGGCTATGCAGTATTTGGTTTAGTATGTGACAAAAGACCAAGATACACAATATTTGGTACCTGACAAGTCACTGAGGTATTCAGCATTTGATCTGCTATCAAGTTTTTTATATAGCCTTAAGTTATTGTCTGACAATTAGCAGACAAAGAGTCAAGCAAATTAATTAAATAAACACTAGATAACTGGCAATGTATAAAACACAATGAAATAATTTTCATTCCATAATTCTAAATGACTTTAAGATATTTTAATCAATAGTTTATTTTTATACTATGCCAAAACATGATTCTTAATGAAAAGTTTGATTTTCTGAATAAAAAAGAAACACATACTGGCAACTATGATGCAATGTAACCATGCCATTCTGTTAAACTCACTCTGTATCCTGCCGATAAAACTGACAGTTACACAGGGCGGAAAATCATGCATGATACACAAAAATGCAAATTCTGAGCAGTGCAAGAAAAAAAAGGAACCAAAGGTTCATAAAGTCGAATCTAGGTCACCTTTTCCTGTAAATTGTTTTTCTGTTGTCCATAAATCATGCTATAGATGCATTTCACATAACAATAATTACCTCCCATGGCCGCCATTTTGACAGTCATTCCAAAATATGACATATTGACATATGCCAAAGATAAGATAAAAAAATGCTGATTATTCTATCATCTTCTTGAAAACTGATAAAAAAAACTTTTATATACTGGTGCTATAACAGAATTTTCCATCTTATGTATAAAAAAAATGACAATTCAACAAAATCAGCTAATTTTTAATATTTTGTCAATATTACAGCATATAGAATATTACCCCACAAATTAGCGGCCACTTTTGGCAAGTGAGGTAAATCTTATTAAAATTTGGAACTATTTATAGGCTCATGGAATATGTATATGATATATATTTCATTACAAAATACAACAACATTTAAGAAGAATGTGACCTTTAAACATTAACAATTATTATGACCTTTGACCTATGAGTATGCTCTAAATTAATGGGCTATCTTCATGTATTTTAATGCTGATCTGGAGGCAGATATGTCCATCATGATGAATCTTAACTTTTGACCTTTAACATTTGTCAGAAAATCAAAAGGTCACATCTATGATATGTTAAAACAAAGTTAAAATTGAACTTGAACTTAAAATTATCACAAATTTTTTTTCTATATATTTTTTTGGTCTTTTTTTTCAATATTATGTTAAAAAATTTCTTAAAAATTGGAATGCATCAAAAATGTAATTTCCTGGGTGGTAAAATATAAATTTCTACTTTGCAAATAATGAACAAGTATTATGTTGTTAATTTATAATAAAATCTAAAAAACCCAAAGTATTATCGTCAAAAATAGAAAATATAATAAATTGTTTTACTTTTATATCTCTTAGTCAGAAATGTGCTTAAAATTAGCTAAAATGACATAAAAATAAGCAAAAATAACATCACATTCCCTCCACTCCCCTACCCCATGGGCTGGTACTGAAAGTGTTTAGCCCTTTGCCAAAAATATATAGCCAAGCCACCCTAGAAAAATCTATAATGTTGGCAGCTAAATTATTTTATTATTGAAATTCCTTAGAAGTATAATGAACTGTTCCAATTTCAAAGCTGGCCATTTCACAAATTCAGCAGGATTAGGGTTAATCATGTTCAAAGATAATCAAGCACTCACTAGATGTTTATCAGTGAGATAATTTTTGTATCACTAACTGTATATCACTCTTTGCAAAAATTTACTGATTTTACAAAAATGAAAAAAAAAAAAAAAAAAAATTTGCAGAAAACATATGATTTTATATTACGTAAATTTTAAGCATTAATAAAATAAAATAACTAAAATAAAACAATAAAACTCTTCATTCAGTCCATTTTTATGCCATTTGATTTTGCCGATTTATTAGCGGTTCCATCTGGAAGATGGTTGTTGCACTCAACAGTATGTCTAGAATTAGTACCATTACTTTTCAAGGACATATTCTTGTTGTCAGACTGAGCTGCTGGAATGAATGGCAGAATGAAGAAACTTGCAAACACCACAACATGCAGGCAACCATACATGTTACTGAAATAAATGAAAAAAGAAATGAGCCGTGCCACGACAAAACCAACATAGTGCGTTTGCGACCAGCATGGATCCAGACCAGCCTGCGCATCCGCGCAGTCTGGTCAGGATCCATGCTGTTCGCTTAAGACCCTAAAACAAGTAAAGAAACTAATAGCGAACAGCATGGATCCTGATCAGACTGCGCGGATGTGCAGGCTGGTCTGGATCCTTGCTGGTCGCAAACCCATTATGTTGGTTTTGTCGTGACACGGCTCAAATCATTAATAGTACTTACACAATATAATTATGCTACCTACAGTTCTCAAAGTCTTTATGGACTTGTCAATTTTTCAATCTAGGCATAAGCCTCCATTATTTTTTTGGAAAATTTCACATGTACTGACTGAGTAATAAACAATGCTGACAATGATCAGACAGCATGGATAGGCCACCTGATCTAGGTCTGCATTGGTTGATTGGGTAGAATTTCAAGCCGCCTACAGGCTAAAGGTGCTGGAAGGATTCTATTTTCAAAGGATATTTTAATGCATTGTTGAACTGTGTAAAATTACAAGAATAAACGTTTCTATGATGATAAGAATCGTATCAAAGCACCCGAAAAGAAGAAATAATTCAATGGGACTACTAGTGGCTTTTAAAAATTAATATTTGAACCAGTACTTTATCGAATCAGGGGGATAAACAATCAATGTATCATTAAAGTTTATTGTTTTGTTTTTTAGTTTATTTTTATTGTCTCACTGACGCTGTTAAGGTCATATCATGACTTTACAGATTTTACTGGTGGAGGAAGACCTTAGTGGTGACTGTGCATTATTTCAGACAAGTGCAAGCATTTGATTGGAACCACCAACTTTTAGTAAAATAGCTAGATAGCTTAAAAATTTCCAGACAGGATTCAAATCCAAAGTGGTGAGACCAAAGTGGTTTTTAAGACAACCCCATGTATATAGTTTAATATTTTGATAGATTTGCAAAGTATACTCACTATGTATAGAAGGTCAATGTCTGTCCAAGATGGAGTATCGTAAATGGCACAACTAAATACGAGATAACAATATGTGTGCATAACCACGTCAGTACATCATAGAATACCTGTAGATTTCTTGTTCTTTGAAAGTATGGCCTTATTTTTTTACGTGCCTGCAATAGAAAATTTGAATTATCTGTACATTAAATAGCATTGATAGGGCTTCATGTAAGATAGTTGTTACATCTTCTCTGTATCTCATATTATATGAGTTATTATAATACTGCACATTTTTAACGTCGCTTTTCATTGGATAATCGTGACGTTTATATAGTTTTATATACACGGCTGTTGTCGATCCATGAAGAAATCTTACTTTTTTCTCTAAAAAATGATGCTTGCTGTATTATAAATTCGTTATAAAGATTGTTGACAGGTTATATGACCGTATATAAAAGGCTGTTTGCAATATAACCCTCGCCTAGCGGCTCGGGTTTTATTTACAAACAGCTGTTTATATAGGGCCATATAACCTGTCAACGATCTTTATAACTAATAAAATAAATTCTTGCAAAGCCCTTGACTTTTCTTAAAATTAAAATCCACCTCATTATCATTTACTTAGACAAAAGCTATGGGTTGTTTAAAGAAGTCACTTTCCAGAATATGTAATACAAAATATTTATTTTTCTTTACTCTAACTTACATTTCTTGCTGATTCCGACACAAAATTAGCAAATATGAATGTGAAATAGTAACCAGGGTAACAGCCATGCCACATGGCACTGAGAAAAAATGTGGCAAATTTTTTCATCACAGGAATTCTATCATAACAAACGAGCCTGAGCCAGACAGCAGTCTGAATGTTCCAGTTATCTAGGTACATTTTGGGACTTGTTGCTCCCTGAAATGATATGTTAATTTTCAATTTTTGTACATGTAGCAAATACGGCTGATAAAACATGTATATAAGACAATTAACCCTCAACGCAACAAATATCTTTGAAGGACTTGTCCTTTTTTCAATCTTGACAAAACCATGATAATTCATCACTTTTTAGGGTAAATTTCAAAATCCAAACTCACTGACCAGCAAACAGTACAGGCCAAGATCAGACAACACAGATTCATGGCTAATCTCATGTGCCCTAGTCACATTGCTAGAAAACTGTTACCGCCAGTAGGTTAGGTGAAAAGAATATCAGAAAATGAAGCACCAGCCTAATTATATATATATATATAAGGTTAATTTCCAGTTGTATTTTTTCTATAATGTAACAGTCAGTAAAAGAAGGCTTTCCAAAATCCAGCGAGACGGTAAATAAATAAGCCAGCAAGACGGTAACTGAATTATGTATGTGTTTGCAATACATTGTGCCATGATGATGAACATTTGTGCCAAATTTAAAGAAAATCAATAATTTTGTAACTTCAGTCAATAACCCAGCAATGTTAAGACATAACCCTGAAAGTCCCGACACTAACTATAAAATGTCACACAATAATACTACATGTATATAAAGGTAAATAACTGTTATAAATGTACCTCTATTCCTAGAACATTTACATTGGTGACCAGGTTCCACTTTGGCTGACCTTTACAGTCATAACCATTGAATCCAAAGCCCGATGCATTACAAATAGCATCACCTGAAACCAAACACGCAATCACATCACATTTTCTTATTTTAACCATGAACATATAAATAACTAGATTGAGTAATATCAATTATATTGTAGAATTATTTTCATTCTACTCATGGATCTTTAATTTAAGGCACATCAATACTCAACCATTACTTTACAGACTTATGATTTGCTGTTCTTATCTATTCCACATATGGAATATGTGTTAACACATGACATATAGTATAATGCTATGTTAGATATCTACCTCATAATACTGACATTTAGCCGAGTTTGTCATTCCCCTATCACCCTTATTTGACATGGTATGATCTATAATTCATAAATTTGATATGATTCTTGATCTTGCTCGACAACACAGCAAGAAAGATATAGAAATATTTAACTAAGAGGAAGGGCTACATAATATTTGGCCTTGACAACACAGCAGTGAGACATATAAATATTTAACTAACATTGTTCCAAAATATATCGATGGCATCAACACATGCACTTTCATGTTCACATTGTATCTCTTGATGTTGACATTGAATTTGTAGTTGTTTTATGACATGTATTTTTTACCAGAATAAAACTGTCTATCTATCTATAAAGAAAAGGCTACATAATATTTGGCTTGACAACGCAGCAAGAAAGATATAGAAATATTTAACTTACCAAGAGAAAAGGCTACATAATATTTGGCTCGACAACACAGCATTGAGAATATCATATACCAGAAACGATACAGAAAACTGTTGTTTCTTATAAATTCAGGATCTGAAATAAGATGAAAATATTTGAAGACATATATGACCGTGATCGGAACAACATTATTTCAGATACAGAAAGAGGAAGCCCTTAAATGCCCTCATATTATTATTACAAATACATTTGATCAAGACCTCAGGTGGCCTTCTGTGCAATATTTTCAGGCATTTACAAGCACCAGAGAAAGACTGCTGATGTTCTGTAAGCTAGAGGGATTCATTCTTCACATAAAAGAATCCAAAGTCCCTGGCTGGAGTGCAATGGTAATGTGCAAAAGGTTTGAAGTCAACAACCTTAACCACATCTTTAAGACTTTCCATGCTGAATAAGGGCGAGTGACCTGCCTTGCTAACAAATAAGGGCAAGTGACCTGCCTTGCTAACAATCAGAAATCCATGAAAAAATTTTAACCTTGACCCTGCAAGTAGCAACTGAATCTATGCATGTGACCACAGCAAACCAAATAAGTCATATGTACTATACATATTTTGAATTTTCCCTAAAAATGATAAATGGTTTTGTCCAGTTTGAAAGATGGACAAGTTCATTGATGATATTTTGTGTGGTAAGAGTTGAACTTTTAAATTGAACTGCTAATAGTATAGAATCTCTGCATCAGATTGAACCGATGTTCAGGCCAGCCTGGCTATAAACTGGTAACATAGGTTTGTTATTATTGCTCCCTGAAGTCAAAGGGGGAAGTGTCCTTTTATTTTTTTTTCAGACACATTTGTGCCTCTGGGTTGAAACATCAATTATTGATTAGTAAAACTGGTAGCTTGAAATTGAAATACTCAGTCATTAAGTACCTAAATTTTCCAAAATAAACTTTTATTCTTTATATATATATATATGTTTATTATCAAATTCAGTTATTATTTTTTTTTAAGTTACACCAAAACTGTAAAAGTGACATGGTGATTTTTTGGCTTTACTTCAGGAGGAAGACCTCAAGTGCCCATGTTTACATTATTTCAGTGGCAATGGCCTTCTTTGATCTAGTAAGATAGGAAAATTAATATAGAACCAGGCAGAACTTTTACCTACAATGGTAAGGGGCAAATGATTCAAAGTCAGTGACATTAATCACTCAACCATGATGACTCCCTGGCACCATAAGGCACTTTTATTAAAATTAGAAATACTTGAATTGAGCAAAAGCCTTCAATTTTTAGCTAAATAAGAATCTTGATGTTAATATGATGAAGTTAACTTACCACAATTGAGTATTTCAGGAAATATAGGTTTCATTGTAAAATGGAAACCCATCCAAAACAAAGCAACAGACAGCTTATAGGTAACGGCATACTGAAACAGACATAAACATGAATGATGACAACTTGTCCCAAATCACAGTCACAATTTCACAATGCCCTGTAATCAAAAAACGACCACTGGATTATTGAGGTGAACAGGTGGGTTGATAAGTATTCAGAAGAAATAAGATACAAAGTAAAAAACTAAAACACAAAGAAACTTACAAATGGAGAAAACTTGTTGCTCCCAGAATATACATTGTTATTTTGCTGAAAGTACAGAAAAAGATATAAATATGAATTTGTATTTGTTTTTTCTTGCAGTTATATACAGGAAAATAAAAAAAAAATCTTCATTTCCAAGACGGGATCGCTTAGTTAACCATAATTAGTTGCTAATATCGTGCAATCTAGATAAAACCATTTTTACGAAATATTTCAAAATAAGTACTGACTGAATAGTGAACAGTGCAAACATTGATCAGACGGTACATATGTGCAAATTTGATTTACTAATTTCACATAATTATGCTTTCTTTAAAGCATATTTCATCACTTTAGTGCAGTTAAGGATTAACTCCTATGAAATTATATAGGGAGTTAACCTGTTACTGCATTAAGGCGACAATTATGTTACATCATTTCATAAATGCAACAATATCTACAAAACGTATACTATATAAAGCAATATTTACCACACCATTTTCCTCAGGTCTCTTACTTATGTCTGTTCCATCTACGTAAGCAATATAATCTTTGTAGAAACTCAGGGGTCCAACAACTACACCTTGAAAGTAGAATAGATAGCTGAAGTACTCCAATGCTGATGGTGGCTTGCTGGAAAAAAAAGGTCATTATATTAGTCTTTGCACTACATTTTTGTCCAATGAAAATGCCTAAATTTGAAACTTTCTGACATGAAAAACATCACATGTATCTAGATTAAAAGTTCACATGCCTTTGAAAAGTAGGTCAATGACAAAGTTAGTTAGACACTAATAAGAAACAAGAGGGCCATGATGGCCCTGAAATCACTCACCTGTATATAGGCCCCTGGGCCAAGGCCAATTTTAAACCAGGGGCTTTTATTTGAACAAACTTGGTAGACACCCATTAGAAGATGTTTCATGATAAATATCTAAGCTCTAGCTCTTTGGTGGGGTTTATATAAGAAGAGTTTTTTACTATATACTTATAGGGAAAAACTATGACTCCCCCCCCCCCCCTCCCCTGGAAGGTGTCAAAATTGGTACCACATGATTTCTGAATCAGTTGTGAGACACAAATGATCATTTTACTAAATCTTAAAATACAACTGTCACAGAAAAATTGCGCCTGGATCAAAACCAGTCACCACTTATTTACAAATCCACTGCTCTCCCTTTTGAGCTTGACAAGCAGACTGACACCAGTACAGCGACACTGACTGGACTTGATAATTTTGGATACTTAATTTTTGCACCTTGTTTTTGAAAATCCCTTCAACTTTAGACAGTACTGGGCAAATCCATTTCACAAATTTACCAGTTAATGGCTTAATTTTAGTAATGGAAAACTTTTACATTGAACACTTTGTAAGTTCTAAATTTGATTTGTACTAAACTTTTTTGATAAACAGTAGGCAATATCTTCCCTGTCAAATATAAAAGTGGGCTATTTTCTTGAAGGCTATTAATATTTATTGCAACAAAATACATGTATAGCAAAGATAAGATACTCGAAACAGCCCCCAACACCATTAACCACCCCTCCCCGAAATATGGTATAACTAAGAGACCACTACTATTACCTGATCATATATCTTTTTTGTAGATCTGAGAGCTTATCCTTGTTACCCTGACGACCATCATAAATACTGCATGCTAGGCTGCTGATCTTCTCAGTGACTATCATTAGTGGCCTGAAAAAAGTATACCTTTCCCTCATTCATTGTATGTAAACTTATCATGTTATTTAAGAAATAATATTTCCTAAAAGTGATTTTATCCCTAAATAATATCACTGTTTGGAGTTTGTATGCGAGGAGCTATAATACAAGGGCGTAGCCCCAGTGATATCATAATTCGCATCCAAACAACAAACAGTGATATTATCAAGCGATAATATCACCAATTTGGATATTTTATTTCGATTCTAACACAACATCAACAAATAAATGCTTCCGTACCTGATATTAAGCTTAATTGCGCCTTATTTGTTTCTGTACTTATTTTTAGCGCATCTTATTTTTAGTGGTTACGTCACATGTATAATGATTACGTCACATGTCTAAATATAGAACATCAACAGGAATTTTTTGGAAAATAACACACACTTTGGGTTCTTCTATATTCCATAGGGAAAAATGCGGGTTGTGTTACAATTCCTAGTATGTCTTATCTATCAATATAATAGGTCCCTGCTCTGACCTTTTTTTATTTAACTACAAACATTGACATGTGCTCTTTTGTTAACAAATACATGTATGTTGTGGTGAAATAAGTATTGTATCCACTTATCTGATAATTAGAATTAGACAGGTCAGGGATCTATGCATCTCACATTTACACCTAGAAAATCAATCTGTACATTTATACCTAGTATATATATATATTGACCTACCCTGATACATCTATCTGTACAGTAAGTAATATAGACCTACCCTGATACATCTATACTATACAGTATGTAATATAGACCTACCCTGATACATCTATACTGTACAGTATGTAATATATTGACCTACCCTGATACATCTATACTGTATAATATATCCTCCGGTATCATAAATGCCCGGTATAGATGTAATGTCACTAGATATGTCAGCGCCAAACCAAACACACCTCTGAAAAGATATACTCCAAATTACTGATCAGACAAAATAGCAAATGATTAATTTCTTGAGAGTTGTTAAAAAGTAATTTAATTGGCCACACAAAAAAAATTGATTTATTTGAATTGGTTAAATAAATGATTAATTTGTTAAACAAATAATTAATTGGCTAAAAAATTATCAATTGGCTAAACAAAGATATAATTGGCCAAACAAACTGGTGAATTTGCTAACCCTAAACCTGCTATGGACTGGTCTATCTTTCAATGATTTGACAAATACATTCATTTTTTCATGGAAAATTTCAGTCAGTATAACTGAATAGCGAACAATGCAAACCATGATCAGACTGCATTGGTTGCATTGCCATATCCAATTACCACCTTCATGTTGAAGTGGATTAGTCTACAATGGGCACTTTTTCCATAAAGATTTCGAATATTGATAAAAAACAATAGAATTTATCATTTTGATATTCTTATAAAATATTTCTTGAAAGAAAATTTGATATACGTCTCAATGATCGAGTATGAACATTCATATAATGAAGTAAAAAATTTTGTTCTGGAACAATTTATTATCTGCTATATAAAGATACAATGTATATAATATCAGATCATATATCACACACACACCAATATATAATTGAGCCGCGCCATGACAAAACCAACATAGTGCGTTTGCAACCAGCATGGATCCAGACCAGCCTGCGCATCCGCGCAGTCTGATCAGGATCCATGCTGTTCGCTATCAGTTTCTCTACTTGTAATAGGGTTGGTAAGCGAACAGCATGGATCCTGATCAGACTGCATGGATGTGCAGGCTGGTCTGGATCCATGTTGGTCGCAAACGCACTATGTTGGTTTTGTCGTGATGCGGCTCATATTTTGTTGTCATGTACTATACTCAAATACATGTACTATCAACATAATTATTTATGGTATTACAGACCTTCCAAAATGGATCAATTCAGTTTAAGGGTTTAACAATGATATTCCACTAAACAAATGATCTATTGGTAAAACAAATCATTAATACATAAATAACATACATAACATACATCAAAATTGACACAACTCCCTCTTAACTGAAAACTACAGAGAAGAATTATCCATTCACTTTCCAAATGCATGTTGAGCAAAGTACTTAAAACAAATCTATGAAACCAATGTCATTAATGAGAGACTCAATGAACCAACAATAGTAAGAAAACACATGATTAAAACTCTGTTATCTTTAATTTTCTTAGCTGAATAGACCTATGAATAGGCGTTATCTGGAACTCTGCAAAATTGGGGTTTTCTTCTCATCTAATCCCCGGGTTCAAGCAAACTTTTATCTTTCAGTTTCATGGTGCAAAACTGTTCACCATAGAGAGTTTAATGCTTTGTGCTTATTATCAATACACTTCAGCCTCATTAAAACGCTCATGTTGGGGTCCAATGTCTCAACACCGCGTTCTAACGAGGCTCTCATTAGAACGCTCATTGCGAAATTACCTCATTACCCCACCCACCACATATATATATATATATAACGCTGATTTCTTTCCTTACTGTTCATTGAATATCGACATTATCTTTTTCTAAAACCATTCAATGATGTAAACATATATTACATTCACAAATAATACTAATTATATTTAAAAGAAACGAAAAACTTTCGAAAGAAAATTATAAATCATGTAATGTAAACAGTTAGCCATTACTGTAATGACGTTTGATTAACTAGGGGAACAACTTAAGCTGGACTGTAAATAACACTGTAATTTACAGTCCAGCTTTAGTTGTGTCCCCTAGTAAATCAAACGCCAATTACTTCCTGTCATGGCCGCTCTATTTACAGTGCAGGATTTTAAATTGATTTTAAGCTTGTGGGTTATTTAATTCAGCGCCGTTTACATGTCAAAGATATGTGTGTGAATTTTAGTTTATTTACACTCACCACCGGTTGCCAATGTCACAGTTATGTTATGAATTTGAGATTTTGGAAACAATTTGAAGACAGGTAAAACAACAAAAGAGCGGATAAACGCTTACCTGGGCATGTTTTTCACACCTTTGGCGCTCATAAATGTCCTAATAACAATTGTTTATTGTACTTGAATGTCAAATTGAGCAAGTGTTATAGCACGCTATAAATCTAAGTCTATTTAAAAAAAATTTTTTTTTATTTTTTTGGGAGCCAAGGTCTATGAGCGCTATACTGAGATTAGCGTTATAATGAAGAGCGAGTTATCGAGGCTACAGTGTATATTTACGGTATACCAAATGTATCTGTAAAAGTTTTTTTTGTACTTTGAAGATTAGATTGGGAAAAAAGACATTTTTAGAGTTCTGGAGTAACTCTTTAATGACATTTCATTGGAGTGTATACTTACATATGCATGACTGACTGTGGAAGTAACATCATGGCTATATAACATAGAACAGACTGGGCTACAACATGGTTGAACTGCCTGGATAACATAAAATACAGAATACATTAAAATAAGCAAGCTCACGCTACAACTCACTTTTATTTAAATCATCAATGGCTTATAGACTTTATGGATTCTGGTGAAACATGGTGTACCTATTTATACAAAAACTCTTGCTGAGTTTCAAGAAAATTGGACAAACCAATTTCAAGATACATGTCCGAATGGACCAACACACAGACAGCGCCATTTAAATATCCCATTTCTGCGTTATTCAGGACAGGGCATAATGATAAATCTGTACTCAGTTTCTAGCAAGTCATGGGCTTGTAAGTCCTTTTTGTCATACTAGTTACAACCGTTTTGCATCAAACCCTCATTATGCAATATACTATCAAATTCTTCAGGCTTACTAAACACCATATATGGTGTTAAAAAAATTGTAAATTTAGAACTTACATTCCGAAACTGAAAAAGCCAACTGATACTCCAATCGTCATGGCAACAATGTGTCTCACAGTGACCCCCACCTTGGACGGTGGAAGATACTTGTAATACAATATGGCACATACTAAACAGAATGCTTCTCCACCGAAAAATATCAACTGAAAGAAATATTGAAATGTAATTCAAAACTGTTCTATGATTTGCATTCACTTAATTTAAAATTACTTGTGTGATTGACAAATTTAAATTACATGTACTTGTTTGATTGATGAAAAGGTTGAAGAATAAATGTTACAAATTTTCCGAGAAACCATTGATATTTATATCAAAATGAAAACAGAAAATAAAAATATATACAAATTTTAATGATAAATTGAGATTAAAACATAAATTGATCATGTAATTCTTCATATGTGAAAACCTTTATTCTTTAATCATAAATACAGTCATTTATTTTTTCATAAATATAAAGTTGATTTACAGATTGTTATATATTAACTATTATTAAAATACAATGCTTAGCTATAAACCAGTCACTGCACGCAAATTCCATGAAATCTAATCTAAACTATTTTAGCATCAGTTAAGATTAACAGATTATGTAACAGATTATCAAACAGAAAACATTAAACAAGTGTCAGGATAATCATCACATCTCAAAATCTGAAAGCCTGGAGTGTAAGCTCTAGAGTTATAATGTTAATTAAATTTGAGCCACGTCACGACAAAACCAACACAATGTGTTTGCGACCTGCGCATCCGTGCAGTCTGATCAGGATCCATGCTGTTTGCTTACCAACTCTATAACAAGTAGAGAAACTGATAGCGAACAGTATGGATCCTGATCAGATTGCGGGGATGCGCAGGCTGGTCTGGATCCATGCTGGTCGCAAACGCACTATGTTGGTTTTGTCATGACGCGGCTCATTATTTTAGTCTCTACAAAGCTACAATCTGAGTACATGTACATGTTAGTCAGAAGTGAGGCGTTAAAAAAGAACAACAACAGTTTGTTTCCTAATTTCACAGCCATTATAACCCTTACTTTGTATTCACATAAACGTTTGTAATCTTTCTTACTCTCCAAGCCTGTAATTTCTTCTTACTTTGTTTCATTCCTTATCCAACGAAATTCCTTACATGAATTCAATCACATTAAAATCATATCTTGAATGGCGCTTCACTATCTTTTGTATTGTAGCGTAAAATTACAAAGCCAAAACCATGATCTGATTTTAATGAGATTGATGGGTATAATATTTATACTGCATGGAATTTGAAACCGTTCAATGTTAAATACTGACATGTCTAGAGCCTTAAGACAGACTGGCATGGATGGATTACCAATATCCATAAAAGGTTTATAGTCACTACCCCTGTTAAAATTAACCCTTACCATCTTAAATGACATATATATGTTTAAATCTGGACAAAACTATTCATCTTTTTGAGGGAAAATTTCAAAATAAATTCTGATTAAATAGCAAACTATGGAGAAAATGATCAGCCAGTTAATCACTGTCTGTTCTTGTTGCATGCTGGTACATACAACAACTTGTGCCAGCTGATCTATGTCTGGTCTGGTTGCTGGGTAGATACAAATGCTGCCAGCAGACTGTCAGACTAAGGTTTCAAACTGTTTACACTCTGGTGAGATGGCAGATTAACTAGCCTGACTCCAGGGGTTACATATACATACTAATGTCTATGATCACTGCAAATATTTATTCTGTTTATATAACTTTCAAGTTGGTAATTTCTTACATTCTGAATAAAGTCATTCCAACCTTCCCATTATTGTTTCAAATACATTTTGTAACTGTGAAATTGTGAAACAGCCATTCTTTTTCTGAAGAAAAGACTTTAAGATTTCTAATATATTTATATTTTGCAATGCTGCAACAAAATAATCTTGATTGTTGTGTCCTTAAATTATCAAATTGTGGAATATTCTAAAATATGAGAATCAATGGAATTTGGACAATATCAAGTTATGATCATAATCAGCAGTTTTTGTTGATTTTTTTTAAAAATTACAAAATTTAATGTATAATGAAATAAAGGCATGAAAGTGTGACAGAACTTTGTGACACAAACTATGGAATGTAACTATGTTCTCCAAATACTGACTAGAATGCTATAAAGTAGTGAATGTGAACAATTAAAAAAAAAAACAACAGAAAATAAGGATTTACGTCAGGTAGTGACCTTTTCAAAAAATATGAATTAAGATTCTTTATCTTCAATAATGTAGATTTTATTGTTGAGTAGATACCTGTATAATAACAGGTCACTTTTCTTCTTGTAATACAGAGTAATAGAAACAAGGGCAGCAAATCTTTTTATTCAATCTGTGATTAGTCTCTGTCCTATATTTACATAATTGACACAGGATGATACTATGCTAAATAACTTAATTAAATTAACTTGTACATTTTTCAATCTGGACATGAACATTCATCATTTCAAGGGAAAATGAATTTATTGGGCTTTATGTCATATGGTGAGTTTCCAGCCTTTACTGATGGAGGAAGACTTTGGGACTGCCTCTCAATGTATTATTTCAGACACAAACGTGCACCAGAGTAGAACTGCAGATGTTCCATGAAAATTAAAAAAAATATTGTACTGACTGAATAGAAAGTAGTGTCTGAATATGATTAGAGGGCACTGGTTCTACAATAGTCTAATTAGCAGATTCTGTAGTGGCCAGTAAGGTTAGTGTTAATTAATACTACTTGAATGAAGGAAAGTGATGATTAATTTCATATTCTAATCTAATCATTTGATCTATCAATATTATTGCTAATCAATATTAATGCACTTAATTAAAGAGCATTATTAACACAAAGATATCCTTAAAAAATTGTACTACTATAAAAGGCAATTTATTAAATTGAACATTATTGTTAATGATTATAAAAGCCAAATGTACATATAAAGAGAGACATTAAAAAAAAAATCTTAAAAATCGTAAGTTTTCAAAGCTGAAAGCAACCACTTGTTTCATCAGGGTTTTCATTTTTTTATCTGAGGCAACACATTTGCCAATGAAAACAACCAGTTTGGCAAAGGGTCAAGGGGAATATTTTAATATACAACCTGTTTTAAAAGCATTTCAACCGATTATCTCGCTTTTAACCATATTTTGCACAAACTATGTACATGTATCGCATAGATAGTTGTGTAAGATTGTCAATCTGTTAATAATGAAAACCCTGGAATGTTATAGAAATGTGAAAATAACAGTTTTACTGTGTTGTCTTAAATATTGATAGTACTATAATAAGAGAGTTGAAAGACAGTTAGAGGAAAAACTATAGGCCAAGAACAGGGCATTACAAGTTGAAGTTATGACCATTTCAAACAATTTAGAAACCAAGACATATCTCATATGTTTTTTTTTATATTTTTTTAAATATATTTTCATTTGCTTGGCAGGATTTCTTTCTTTTTTACAATCAAAGGTTTGACATTTTATACAATACATTGTCTTGCATAATTATACAAATGCAAATGAATTGGTTAAAATACCAATGGTAGAAATATGTTAATAGACTGGGTTGGTTTATAGATAGGTTTTTCCTATCTTATCCTTAGGATCAAACAAACTTTTACAGTTATAACTCAGTACATGTAATTTGTCACCTTTGTGCAATAATGGGGTCACTCCATATATAATTCATTAGAAGTTAACCTATTACTGTACTTAGCCGATGATAAGCTGATGATATATCGATAATAACTGCAACTTGTTGATTACTCTATTATGCACTGTAAAGCTATAACAGAAAAAGTTTGTTTATACTCCAGGATTTGCAGAGTTTATTCCAATAAAGTTTATTAATACCTCCCAAACCAAGCATTCTTTCTAATGATATGTACATAAGTAATATATCTTGGTTTCTAGGTTCAATTTGGCAATGTTTTAGCCTTAACCCAATATGGTGACATCTAACAATATCATGTAATCATATCTACCTTATTTTGTATGTTTCTTTCTGTAAAACACAATCTATTTTTGTTAAATAAAATTCAAATACAAAAAACAAATTCATTGACAAGTATATACATTTTATACTGCAATATGCAAAATATATGTGTACTTTTATAACCAAATTTCTTAACATCCATATTATTTTTACCTGGAAAAGAAAGGAATTTATTCATCTATTTATTTATTCATTCATTTTAACGTCCATTTACCCGCTTTTATTTTTTCAATCAGCCACAAGAAAATTAAAATTACATTGTAATTAACACAACCACAGTTTTCTTTTGTGGTAAGATTTCAATAGGAGTTACCTCTTTGAATATCATATTAAAGAAAGTAAAATGGGAACCATTTAAGATTTCCCACGGCTGTAGTTTGAAAACATAGAGGAAGCAAAACTATGATAAAATTCTTGTCTCTTATTTTAATCAGTTGCACCTAAATTTTATCTTTGAAAGGTACACAACTGATAAAATGTGATAATAAATTATCATTGCCTGTAAATACCAATAGGTGTGGTAAATATTATCGGTCAGCAAATATTATCTTAATAATAATCATATTGAACTCTTTTTCATAACAATTATAAAGCATTTTTGAAATACAAAATCTTAACAGCTGAGAATTTACTGGAAAAAACAACAACAACAATAAAGTAAGATTTTTGGTGAGGCAAATGAGGTTAAATCTGAAATTTGGTCAAGCAAACCTGAAATTTGGTCAGGCAAATCTCTAATTTGTTTCAGCAAATCTGAAATTTGGTCGGGCAAATCTGAAATTTGGTCAGGCAAATCTCTAATTTGTTTCAGCAAATCTCTAATTTGTTTCAGCAAATCTCTAATTTGTCAGGCAAATCTCTAATTTGTTTCAGCAAATCTAGCAAATCTCTTATTTGTTTCAGCAAATCTAAATTTGGCCAGGCAATTCTGAAATTTGCTCAATCAAATCTGAAATTTGATACAAATTAATACAGAACTCATACAAAGACATTTTTTCCCCCTATTTTTACTTTTCCAATCACTGCAACATTTTAAATACTTTATTTTGTATTGTTCTATACAGGCAAAATAACAGTGTATGAAATATACATTAACCTGTCAAACATAATATTATGTAAATAATATGTAATTCATATTTTGTATATTAGTAGTTTTTAATATTTTT